GAGATATCACACAAGGATTTCAGAAATCACCATTTCGCTCAAGAACCAGGGCGAAGAAGCATATAAACCCAAAGAATATGGAAAGAGCATTGTCATCACGCGTAAATTTACTAAGGATGGATCTTCTTCATGGAAAATCAAGAGTAAGGACGGCAAGGTTGTATCCACAAAGAGAGACGAGCTTTCAGCCATCTGTGATCACATGAACATACAAGTTGATAATCCCATGAATGTCCTCAGTCAAGGTGAGTACTACGTGCATGTATGCGTCTTCGATTCCATGTTAAAGTTTACGTAGATGCTGCTAGGCAATTTCTAAGTGCTTCCCATCCCTCCGATAAATACAAGGTTGGTTTGCTTCCACATTCTAGTGTACTTCGTTCACATATATGCATCGCAGTTCTTCCTGCGAGGCACCCAACTATCGCAGCTTTCTGAGGAATATGACGCTTGCCTTGATAATATCAACCAGACCAAGAAGGTGTTACACCAGAAAAAGCAAGTTCTCCCTGACCTACGCGCTGCATTCAAAGAGGCCAGCGTGCGCTTTGAAGAAGCAAGCAAGGCAAGAGAGCAGCGCTGCAAGGTTGATGAGCTCAAGAAGGAGCTTGCCTGGGCTCACGTTGCAGCGAAGCAAGCGGTAAGAACAGATCTCCTCAATATCCCCTTTGATCCGCATGACATGGTTGATTGTATATATCGTGAATAACGGACTGATGCAGCTATAATTTCTAGGAAATGGAGGCAAAGCTTGAGGAAGTTGCGAAGGCGGAACGCCGCTTGCCCAAGATCGAGGCTGAGATGAAGACAGCCGAGGTGTGCTCCTAGAAAGTCATGGGCACCGATATTCATATGCTCACATATTCTCGTTAGTCCCAATTCCAGCTTGCCTCCGATGCTGTAGAACAATTCGATAAAGAGTATTCCGCACTTGGTGATATTGATCACCTCACCAAGCAGCGCGACGATCTACAGGAGAAAATGCGCAGCAACCGAGTGAAGATAGGAAACTTCAAGGTCTATATACCTATTCTTCTGCTTTACTTCTTGTCTGACATGATTGTCTTTTCATAGAATGACGAGAAACAAATGAACACATCTCTTAACTCTCTCAATGATGCCATTAAGAACTACACGAGAAATATCGCTGAAGAAGAGCATCGTCTCGCTGCAGACACACAAGTAAAACGAGACGAGCTTAACCGAAAACTAGAGTCCGCCAGAACGGATGTCACGAACGCCGATCAAGCGCACAAGGACTTCCTTGAAGCCAAGCGTCAAAAAATGGCTGATCAGGAAAGCATCAAGCACAGGGGGCTCGCCGCCGAAGCCAAGAAGAACAGCGCACAGGAGCGTGTTGTTGCGGCCCAGAGTATGATCTCTCAGTGCAAGGAGAAAGGACGGAATGCACTTGCTCCGTACGGCCGAGACATCAAAGGTGTCCTCGACCAGATTGCGAAGACGAGATGGCATGGGGACGTGCCTGTTGGTCCGCTTGGGATACATGTCAAACTGAAGGACATGGCGTGGGCAGATTTGATGAGAATTCAGCTCGGAGGCCTGATGAGTGCGTTTGCAGTCACTGATGCCAGGGACAGACCACAACTCAAGAAGTTACTTGACCAGACGAAGAAGTGTGTTAGTCAATCCTCGTGTTACCTCGTCAGGCTGACCATGATACAGCTTTCATATTAATATTATCATATCCGAGCGTGACATGTTTGACTTCAGCGCAGGGGAGCCACCCGATCACATTCCCACTGTTCTTCGTGTCCTGGAGGCAAGTCTGTACTGTTTTCATTACTACATATCTAACGCTGCTATCCAGATCACAGACCCTTACGTCCTCCGCCTGTTAATCAACCAAGCAAATATTGAGCGTACGGTCGTTGCGCCCAAGCGTCTCGATGCTGACAACATCCTGAAACGCATGAATGGAGGAGGCGTCGCGTGGGCAGCTGATTACATGCGTGTCCATCGATATGCTGAGGGAGGCGGTCAGTCGATCAAATTGCAAAGGCTTCCTCCAAATGACCCCCGCAACATGATGTTCACATCGAGTGACTCTGCCTCTGTGCTTAGGTTCGTCTATATTGTACGATCTCACAATCATGCTGAATCATTTTGCAGCACTTGGCAAGAGAACTTGCAGAATGCAGAAGGTGAATGTAAGGCTGCACAAGACGAGGCTGGTCAGCTCAGACAGCAGTTTCAAGCCCTGGCACGCGAAATCAATGGGATGAATGTTAGTCTCACCCATTCCTCTCCGTTATACCATTCCTGAACACGCATGGTTTGCTAGGCACAAGAACGCTCTTTATTCGAAACTCACCGTGCTGCTAAACAAGAGCTTGCTTCGCTTCAAGAGGAGGCAAAAGAAGAGATGCCGGCTGATATCATGGGATTGCAGAGCGCGAAAGATGTATGTTTACGTGAATTTCATCTATCTCGGCTGACAATCCTCTCCGTACAGGAAGCCGAAGCGGAAAAGGCCTCGATCATGCAACAATTCGAGGATGCTGTCGGTAGGAGAACCGCTATCGATCAAGAACAGGCTACTTTACTTGTGGAGTTGAACAAAATCAAAGGCCAGATTCATAACTTTGAAGAAGCACGTCAGGGAGTTCAGGTAATTGTTACTTCCACGTCCTGTCTGCTGTCGCCTAACGCCGGAATATAGAAAAAGATCGAGGACGCTGCTACGAGTCGTCTTGAAGCCCAAAGCAACAAAAATCACTACACAAAGAAGCTCGAGGACGAAACTAAAAAGGTTGAAGCTATTGATGTCATTGCGAAACAGCTACAGGAGGAGTTCATAGTCAGTATTTCAGCATTCATAACAGAGCTTGAGCGCTAACTTTCTATCAGAACTGGACCTCGAGTGCTGAGGAGTACTGCGAACGGGTTGAAAATCCCCGCAAAGTCGATATAGTGGAGCGCACTCTTGAATCCGTTCAGAAAGCACTCAAAGAACGAGAGCGCAGGCATGGCGCAACGGTCGAGGAAATGACGATTGAGGTGAACAATGCGAAAGCTGTCCTAGACAGCGTAGAAAAGGAACTCAGAAGTCTCGCTGCGCTGAATAATGTAAGGCTGGCTCGCGCTAATGGATTAATTCACTGACACTATTCTTTAGGCTCTGAAGAGGTCACTTGTTATTCGCTTAAACCGCTGGCAAGAATTCCGGCGTCACATTGCTTTACGATGCAAGGTTGTATTCCAGTACCATCTTTCCAATCGTGGGTACTTTGGAAAGATTCTGTTTGACCATGCCAACCAAACGCTCCAGCTGAAGGTATGTCTCTTTGTATACGAATGACCTACGGCTTACGTTCTGTAATCAGGTTCAAACCGATGATCAGATGGCTACGCAAGGGAGGGACAAAGATCCCCGGTCACTGAGTGGCGGGGAGAAATCATTCTCGACGATCTGTTTATTACTCTCACTTTGGGATGCGATCGGCTGCCCTCTTCGCTGCCTAGGTCAGTGCACACATGGAGATACACTCCTCTTTCTGACCGTCTTTAGATGAGTTCGACGTTTTCATGGATGCTGTCAATCGCCGCATCAGTATGAAGATGATGATCGACACCGCCAATGCTTCGGACAAGAAACAGTATATCCTGATCACGCCCCAAGATATGGGCAACATCCACGTCGGCCAGACAGTCCGTGTCCATCGGATGAGCGATCCTGAGCGTGGGCAGGGAATTCTGGCATTTACTTAACCCTGTTGGCTCGTGTTTTATCTGTTCTCGACAGGTCGTAGATGTATTCAGATGATACATTATTCCTCACCATTTTTGGTCGTGCTTTTCGAGTACTACACTAACGCTCCAGCACCTAAATATTATGATAAGACGCAGTGGTAGTGCCAGTGCTAATATATACGAGCAGCCATTGTTTGGCTGTCACTCATTTAGCCTTGCGATGGAGCGCTGAGCAGTGACTATCCCATGTTGTCCTCTGGGCATCAAGCGCTAAGCATTGATCCCGCGGAACCAATTCGTGTCTACCCCACGTGCACCTGAGCGTCTCCTTTTCAATCTCAGCTGCTCATATCACGTACATTCGCTCGATATTTGCACCGTGATCACTCACTCCCGCCCATTCAGGTACTCAGGCCTCAGGCCTCAGGTCCAAGTAGTGCTCATAATCTTATTCCGAGTCAGACACAGGTTCCGGCCCTTCTGCTGACGAAACACAACGCCGCCGGCTCCGAGCGCAGTTGGGCATAGTCCTGTGTCTGTACTACAAGCCGTTCAACTTCGTAGCCCACAGCATCCATAGAAACGGTAACCTATAAATGATTCTCCCAATAGATCTCACTTCGAACCAAACATAACGATGAACTTATTTGCCATCCCCTCTCCATCCAGTCTCTGGACAACTGTACGTCCGGGTGGCGCATTTAACGTTGCTTGTAACTTATGAGATCCGATTGACGCCGGGGCATTTTTGGGCCCGCCACGATTGCGGCAGACACGGCGGCATCAAAATAGCTACGTCCAATTTGGTGACGTAGTCCAAGCACTGCAACTCGATACCAAACGGCGGTCTGAGTGAACTGACCTGTCGTCGACGAGAGATGTAACAATATATCGCATTTATGAAGACTGCAGATGTTCCTCCCAAGTTCAGTGCGCTTCTTTAATCTTAGAGGCCCAGAACGCTGGCGGCTGTGCGATAACGGGAATCATTTAAAAGAAGCAACACCGACAATTCATTTGATTGGGCTACTAATTGTATGCCGGGAGTAGCAATTGGCAGTCCACCCATAGCGTACACCGTATTCACATTCTGACATGTTGCACCCACACTTTAAAGCCACTCGCCAAACAAAATTACCAGGGCTTGGGTATAAATCTGGGTCATCGGCGAACTTAAACCCCGCACTCCTCCGACCTTGCTCAGTCAATCCCGGTGAGCACAATCCAGCGCCGTTCCAACTGCAACTTACCAAATCCCGCAGCCATATTGTAATATGCCTGTCCCAGTCATGTACTATAATGTCGAAGTCGTCCAATTCTGGCAAGGGCAGAAAGAACCCCTACAGCCCTACCCACTTCACTGGGTGATTTACATCCCAACCGCTCCCGGTATCGGGAACACATACCACATACTAGGAAACATGGATACCTACACCATAGATTTCAGACGCAACCAACCATACCCAAACCCAGATGCATGGCGCGGAAGCTTCGCCGTTGGAAAAGTAGCTGCGCATCAGCTAACATTGATGGAGCGACACCTGGCAAGCATTCCTATCGCGCGTCACGACCCCAGATGGAACTGCCAAAGCTGGGTGTGGGAGGGTCTCAGGCATCTTCGACACCAAGGTTTCAATATTAGCTGGGAGATCAGGCTTTCAGATCTTCAAACGCAGATGTACTGCTTGCTGGAGGATTGGGAATACGGTCGAATTTGAAGAGGGCGGGGATCTGGGGTGAGAGGGGTTTGTGGATGGTTGATCAAAATGTTTGATGTCGTTGCTCGGAGTGGCAACGCTCACCATAAAGTTAAGATTTCAGCATCTGCATTCTACGTCTGTATTAACACCGGCATCATAGACATCGCGAGTGAACTTTATTGTCTTGATCGAAAGAGAGAGTATCCTCACCGATCAAGTTCTGTGGCGCTGACAGACCGACGCGGAGTCTTGTGCCATACCACGAGACGTGCTATGACTTTCAATCCCTCGCATTAGGAGAGATGCGACTTGCATCGCCCATGTGGAACAGGAGATGCTGTACTAAGTAGTGAGTAGTGCTTCAGGATCTGATGTACGCTTTGCAGAAGGGACGGCCGTCTGCCATCTATTGGTCTGACTATGGGGGACTAAGTTGAGCCTTGCCAACTAGATGCGACAAAAATAACGGCTGCACATGAGTGAAACACGAGGGCGCTTTGGACTCATGAATCAGAAGCACTGTAAATCCAAAAAAATCTCAAACATCCTTGTGTCTTCGGAAACGACTAATTATAAATGACAAGTACACTCACCTTTGAAGCTGAACATTGTAAGACTTCCATGACCGCACAAGTTCCCACCTCGGCCACTGCTCAAGTGTGTGCGACACTGTACGGATTCTGGTACTTTCAACACGGCAACCAGCCTCATATAATTCTTCACCCCTCACTGTTGTACCATCTCCCACCATACTACCTTGCCCTTACCCTTGCCTTTTCTCACCATCTACCTTTTCCTCAGCCCATACTTTTGCATCCCCCACAGCAATCCGCATCCCCGCCCAACATGCATCCACAAGCCCCGCACCACCCGCCATACCCATAACGAGACTCGCAGCATAGTAAAAATTCGCGTTCCCACGACCCTCGCTCACCCAGAGTACATGTTGAAGCGGGAGGAGGAGCGCAGCGTGTAGGTGGAGGAGTGTAGTAATAATGGGATGTCGGAGGTCTGGAAGAATGCGAGTGAAGTGAGTACGAGACGGGGTATGGTTGTAGGAGAGGAGGGGACTTACAGCCATGTACTTCAGGGAAGATGGATATCATGCTGAGGAACAAGCCTGGGTCTGCGAGAGTTAAGTACGCTTTGAACGTCCCCAGGACGCCTATGAGGAGGAACGCGGCATAGAGGGGATCGTGTCTACGGATGGGGTGTATCAGAACCCATGAAAACTAGCACGTATATATTATCAAGAATGTCTTACTGAAATTTTATGCAGATAGGTAATATGTATATGACAAGGTGAACCTAACTATGCAGTTAGATGGCATGCGTGTACGATGAAATGAGAACGCACGGAAAAGACCATGAGGAAGAATGGTCTGAAATGATCGAACATCTCAGTGAAAAAGTACCACCAAAGACCAGGGTTAGGCGTGAGGTCTGGTAGCGTGAGGCTGGGACGCTGTGTTTATGAACCATCTGTCAGGAATTAAAAGTCGGCTTACGTTGCGTCCCACGACGCCCTGACCCAACTCCAGCTTCCTCCCGCAATAATGCATGCCGCGCCTACAAGGACGCACCAGCATAGTGTGAACTCACCAAAGAGGAACGGTATATGCTTGAGGTTGCCATAAAAAGGACGTGGGGAAGCGAGGTGAGACACAGGAGAGGAGACGAGGACCATGAAGATTGGAAGAAGTAGAAGGATAGAGGAGGGGGTAAGGTGAACTGCGAATGCGATAGCGAGAAGTGCAGAAGATACCTTGCCTAGCATTGGGGAATGCGTGTGAGCCGACTTGGACAGACGCGTTGGGACGTACCTTGAGATGCAAACATGAGAGCAAGGAGGGTAAGGGTATTTTCGAATGTAGATGTGGATAGCGCAAGTGATGGCAGGAGGAGGTAGGGATTCAGCAAGTAGCTGCGCAGTGCCGCAGTGCGTTAGGTGCGTACTCGAAATACGGTGATGGATCGTACACGCTTATGATAAAGTTTTCTACACTGGATCTCGTACCAGTTTGAGATGATAAACCCTGGCGTGCGCGCCATATACGGAGAAGCGCCCATGCTCTCACAGCATCAGATATAGCCCATATAATTGGGAGTGAAGGTACTATGGTTGAAAATAAGGAGAGTAGGAGAGGGGACTATGGCGCAGATGGTCAGCCCATGACATTTGGTCCACTGAAATGTCATACATGGTGAAAAGATCCTCCTGTGTATGGATCGATATTGTTATCGAGAAGCCAAAGACCTTCTTTCACTGGAATTGACATGTATTAGCGATAGAATCACTTGGCTGGCAGTACTTTGGCACATACAGCGAAGGTAGGAGGTCAATGGCGAACTAAGTTGATGGTCATGTTTGAGGAGATTTTGACCTGAAAGAGGTAGAACTGCGAACAGAAGGCGAAGACATACCAGAAATGAAAACGCTGGTGGTATGTTCATCGCACCGCTAAACATAAAACTTAAAAGGCAAGTGTCGTTTATCGGGGTGGCAGTGTGGCAGTGCTGGCTAACTTCTTTCACAGCACTGTACAGCAGGCCAGTTAATGGATGCTGTAGTAAAGCAGGCAAGGCTTCGCCATACTATTATCTGATGGTATATAATCTCCTCTTCACCATGATTCCGCCTCTTCCAGCTTCCCAAGTCATCGCACACTAACATCGCATCCCCCATGTATTATTCAACTCGTCCTCGATGGGATATCCCTGATCCCAACAACTTCCCTCTAGCTTTGCACAATACTCGCTACAATGGGTGGCCCAAACCTCCAATACAGCTTCCTCATGTCGCTGCGCCTTCGTTCAAGAAGCCCGCTGAACAGCACGTCACATTTGCCCTCAACACCCCGTCAAACCGTCGTCCCGTTGACGGTAACGCCATTCATACCCGTAAGCAACTATTCATGTTCTATATCTGGCTGTCTGTCTCAACCGTTATCAGAACCATACTCGATGCATCTTCAACTTGACACTCACCCACGCGCGAATTCTGGGGCGCAAGGTATTTCCCCCCTCCTTCGTTTTGCTCTAAACCCATTTTTTTCTGTAGGTATCATGTGGCCAGTTGAATACCAATCCCATGACGTTTCCGACTCGTGCACGTGGAACGGTAGGTTCCTGTCGTTGATTCCAGTTATCATACAATCTGACTCGATGATAAAGGTGGCCAGAATCCATCTCTCCAAGGTGTTTTTGAGACGCGTACTGCAGCTCGACACCACAAAGAGAATGCAGCGATTAAACGCAAGTGTCCCCGTTCGTTTAGTTACGACTGCCAAGATGTTGAGTTGCGTGCTTTCTTAGATGACCCTGCACGACGAACAAAGATTTCAATCCCACTGATCGATAAGGACACACAAATCGGTGCGGTCCAGACCCAGCTTGTAATCATGATTGCATTGATCTTGATGCCTTCCATCAGCCTACCTCCTCGCAGCACCATGCGCGCAACTGGTAAACCATTGGCGATACCCACCGAACTCGCTCTATTTTCCACCATCATCTTCATATGCAGGGTGGGGATCTGAGTTCCTTCGAGTACTCACGCTAGCACGGCACAACCGAATACGACTGATCAGCCAAGACTTTCCCTGGGCATTCAACATCAGCCCTGAACCCAGTGCTGCAGAACAAGGTGTGACGTGTCTCGATGTCCTCAATGCGCTGCATGCTGCATTGCAACGTCCATTCTCGGATACAGAGTGGGGAGCCGCTGCGCAGGACAAACAAGCGAGCCTCATCAGAGCGCGCGATCGTCAGCTAAATATGAAACCTGCTTTGTGGCTCTGATCTGGATATGATGCAGATGCACAACCTGCGACAATAGCCTCTAATACTGTGTGTACTGGCTTGGGTCTCGTGTTGCGTTTTTGGGGCTTGTCAAGGATGAGCCATTTGTGAGGAGGCTCATTCCGGGTGCGGGAAAGCCTAGCGTATAATTCGTCTGATAAATTCGTGCCACATTCAATACAACTACACTAGTTCTGTGTATTGAAATTGCAATATTTATACAGTTCCACATATGCTGGGTTTGCGAAAATAGTCATCTTGGAAGAGTGCATTGATCAACCGAATGCCAATTGTGAAATGGGTATCGAGGGAATCATCAATCCGCCAGCTTCTTCCCTTCATCCTTGAAGATCTTGAGGTCATTCTGCCACGGCTCCCACACTTGTCCATATTTCTCGAGCAGTCCCGCCAACTCCTTTCGTTGCTCCCTCTGTAACCAGAATGAATAAGTACGCGTCACTGATGAATCCAGCTATGCTCACTATATTCCAAGGCTCTTCTGCGTATACATCACTGAACAACTCTGCCAGGTCGGGCTTCTTAAGAGTCTCTGCGCGTTTGAACGATGCGAGCACATCCTGTTTCAAACGAGACTTGAGCTCTTCTTCTTCTGTCTTATCCCACCATCCCCGGGATTCCATGAATAAGCGGAAACGCGTGATGGGGTTGTCGATCTTCTTTCTGTCCTCGACTTCCTGGCGTCCCCTATACGCAAACGAGTCGTCTGACGTCGAGTGATGGCCAACCCTATAGGTCATCATCTCGACCAGGACTGCCCGACCACCTTCTAAGCATCGCCTTCGTCCTTCCTTAACAGCGCTCATTACCGCAAGCACGTCGTTTCCATCTACACGAACAGTATCGATACCATAACCTGCGAAGAAAATTCAATCACTGATACAAACACGCAACTTGTGAGGGGGTTACCTGGACCTCTTGCGCTCAAAGAATCGCCATAATATTGTTGCGAGCTTGGGGTGCTGATAGCGAAGCCGTTGTTGCGTGCCAGGAACAATGTTGGTGAAGGTAGTGTGGAAGCAAGGAGCATTCCAGCGTGGAAGTCCCCCTCGGACGCTGCCCCTTCCCCAAAAAATACGCAGGCCACATTTTTGGAGCGTCTCTCTGGGTCGCGTTTCAGTGCATAACCAACCCCAGCAGCTTGTGGTATTTGAGTTGCGAGTGGAGATGATATCTGGTGGAAATGATGCTGTGTGGAGCCGAAATGCTAACGGAGTGTTAGTGAATTCTGGTAAAGGAAAGGACAATGAGGCAAGGTAACATACTACGGGCATCTGGCGACCTTTGCCGGAATCTTCGTGGGTTCCGAAACACTGGGCCATGACACGGTCAAGACTGAAGCCACGCCATAGGAGCACCCCAACTTCACGGTACTGTGCTGCACTTGGAATTAGCAAAGATATAAATAATGAATGAATTCATCCGACCCAACACTCTGGAAACGTAGCTTGTGGTTAACTCGACCGAGATAACGGTTCTCAGGGAAACTTACTCGTCATCATCAGCCAGTGCAGCAGCAGAGCCAATCACAGCCGCCTCTTCTCCATACTTGATAAGGGTCAGCAATTGTAATTCATACTGCGTGGCCATTTATCTTACAGAAGTCATCTAAAGATTTGTCAGAGGATATTCGAGATGCATCATTCGCTTGTGCACGTACATAGAAGGATATCTTGCCCTGACGTTGGACATTGTAAAGTATATTATCCAGCGTCGGAAGCAACTGCATATTTTCATATCTAATTCAAGGCTGTGTAAGCTCCGATACTGAATTACTGCGAAGTCAACCTACAATCGTCGCGCGAACTGTTCGCTGATCTGAATGAACTTGAAGGTCAATTGGTCTGTTTGGTACGGAAGAGGGCACACATGCCTCGGGCACTTCAGCACCTTCTATTGGAATACCAAACCCATCGAGGACTCTATAGCTTGGTATCTTGCTACCGTCTCCAGTTACAGAATTGAAGAATCCAAGCTTCGACACGACTGGTGAGTCCGTCGTGGGGAGACAGCCTAATGAAGAGGTAGGTTGGGATGAGAGCGCTCGACCTCCTGGGCGAATCCTTGTCAGTAGAGGAGAATATTTGACTGACAATGAACGCAGCATTTCTAGAGACGCGCGGATGGCAGTAGTTCCGGAACAAGTGAGTGAAGAACCCGTGACACGGTCCACGGAGCTTGAGGTAAAGTTAAAGTAGTATTTGATCTAATAATAGCTACACGTCCGTTATGATGATGACACACTTCCTGGATTGGACGCTCAGATCAACAACGGAGAACTGAACAGCACGCCGGTCATACAGGGAGTTGAGCCTTGCATGCACGAGTTGAGGTACTCAAAGACAACATTCTCAGAGACAAGGTGCACTGCTGCTATGATCAACGTGGCGCGAGTTTAGAGGGAAGGTGCGTTAAGAAACACCGCATGAGCACTTCGTCAGATGAACTCACAAGCTTCATCTGCAGGACTTCAAAATGGCGCAAGATTGTGAAGATGAGGATGCCGGCCGGTTGCCTTTATTCTGGATGGCTTACATTCAATGCACTGAGAAGCATTGCGCAGCAGTCAGACAATTCTGGTTATTTTCATAGCACATAGACGATGCAGAGAGCCATGGGAAATTGCATTTGGGACAGGACTGCGTGTGAGGCGCAAGCGCAGGGGCAGTCGCAAAAACGGTGGGATAGGTATGAGGGTAATACAGCGGGTCATGAAACAATGGGTATGTAAGTATTTCGTGTTCGACATCAAATACTAAACCGAACCCAAGACGCACAAGTGGAATGCGAGATATCGCAGGTGAAGATGACAGTAATTGCAGAATAATTAAGCACTACGAAACGAAAAGAAGGGAACAGAAAGTTATACTCAAATGTGACCCGAACCGTAAGCGAAAAACAATTTGATGCGAAATACCTAGTGTGCCTGGCCATGGACTCAACTGATAATACTATCGAAAAGTGTTCGAGGTGAGTTTGCATGGAAAGGTTTTGCTGATGCCCTAGAGGTGCGGAAGGCCCCGTCTATCACACAGTACTCATGTGGGAGTCCGAGTCATGGCAGGTGGCCCCATGATGCATCATGGGCTGGTAAGTACAAGGTTATTTTTCTCCACCTCGACCATTTTATGAAGCGTACCATATGCATGATAACATCTTTATAATAGTCACACCCTTGTTGGCGCGCACCTGCTTTCTCTTGGGAGTATAAATCGACCATCCTGCTGTTTCTGCGAGTGCTGACTTACTAGGTGAATGCTCCAGGATTCAGTACTCAGTCGTTACATTCGCGCTGCATTTCCGTCCAAATCGCGAAACAAAATTTGCAGGTCAATCGCATACGGTAGTGCCTATTGTTAGAATAGCATCTTACGCCATTTATTGACATCATCGCACAATTCTGCCTGGGGATAGATAGTGGGACGGTCGTGCCTGTCTTATTCGAGTGCTTTTATACGGGGGTGTTCCTTCCTCCACACTCATTTCTTTCGATGACGACCTCTGTGAGTGTCCCGGAGAAGCACGCCCTGACAACGGACAGCCTGATTAGGCCCGTCTCTTTACTGTCTTCTGTTGAAAAAAGAAGTGCTTCTTTGCCCACTGATGACCTGGTAGATGAGACGGAGGAACAGTTCTCGTGGACAAAGTCCATCTTTCGTCCAAACCACACGGTCTCTCATGACCCTGATGCAATCGCGACAAGACGCTCTGTTTTTGATGATCCTGGCCTTGCGCAATACTATTGGCCCAATAAGGACTACGAGAATCTTCACAGATTCGATCCAACCGCTCGTTGGACGTACAGGGAGGAAAGGGTCAGGTTTTATACCTATCGCGTTTTAAAGCGAGGTTGCTCATGTTAAATCCGAGGAAAGGCCCTGGTCCGCAAGTTGGATTGGAGGATTATGCTTACGGCAGCTATAGGATTTTCCGCCTTGAACTTGGACAGGAGCAATATCAGCCAGGCAAACTCGGACAATTTCTTGCAGGATCTTGAATTGACTACAGACGGCAAGTTTGTTCGTTTGCTATCCGAGTAATATTTTGATTTCAGTCATCCAGACTTCAACCTCGGAAATACTGTGTTCTTGTTGGCATTTTTATGCGCAGAACTACCGTCACAGCTTGTCTCGAAGCGGGTATGTGGATTTACTGTACACTGTTTCGTCTGGCTTATGGTCGTATTCAAGATTGGACCGGATCGCTGGATACCAACGCAAATCTGTCTCTGGAGTATGTAACAGAACAACTGTATCAAAACATTTCTCATCGATAGCTCATAGGTTTTGTGTCTCTGTCACAATTCTGGCTGACTGGTAGGACCTCATTCCTGGTTTGCCGAGCGCTTCTTGGGTAATGTCATGTAATTACTGTCCCAAACCTTCTTTTCACTGACTAGTGAATTCAGCGTCTTACAAGGCGGGTAAGTCCAAATCCTGCACGCGCTCGAGTACCCTTTTTCACATTCTACAGCTTTATCCCTGACCTGATATTATATCTATCTTGCATGTCAATTACCTGCTACGTCATGTTATATTGCTGACTTTTCGGGCAGATTTTTACACGAAGACGGAGCTACCCACGCGCCTTGCCCTGTTTTGGATGACTGAGAACTTCGTCGCCATCCTCGCTAGTTTTATAGCCTATGGCGTGCTTCACATGGATGGTGTGGCTGGCATTGCTGGATGGCGGTCAGTAGAAATTTAATGCTCATTTCGCAAAAACCTGATTTGATCTAAGGTGGCTATTCATAATTGAGTGCGTCCATTTCTTTTCAATGACATAAGACACGCGAACTTGACCCTCCCACAGGGGAATCCTCACTCTGCTTATAGGAATTTTCTGTTTTTTCAACATGCCCCCATCTCCAACGCAGACCAAAGCATGGTTCAGGCCAAAGGGTTGGTTCACGGAAAGAGAAGAAATCGTCATCGTCAACCGAGTACTTCGGGATGATCCCACTAAGGTAAGTAATTATGTCCCAGTTTCCTTAGACTTTGTAATCACCCCCTTAGGGTGACATGCACAACCGCGAGGGTCTTACATTGCGTCGTCTCTGGACAGCAGTGTGTGATTATGATCTTTGGCCAATTTACATCCTGTACGCTGTTCCCTTGATCTTTGCAAGAGTGAGACACTTATGAAACGTAGCGGCCTCATGTTTGGCATCCCGAACAGTCCCCCCTCGACGTATCTCACTTTACTACTTACGAACATCGGGTGTGTATTACAAGTATCCCTTCGTTCGACACACTGAAGACCAGGAACCCAGATTCAATACATTTGATACCAACCTCCTTACGATACCCTCTCTGGCTATCGGAATTGTCACTATGTTTTGGATCACGCTTGTCTCAGAGTCCGTCAATGAACGTACGATTGTATCGATGATGATGGACCTCTGGACATTACCTTTCCTCGTTGCACTCTATGCATTGCCTAGCAATCCTAATCCTTGGATATTTTTCGTAAGTGACGCATTTTACGCAGTGCATCATACGCGGTTTATTCAACTGTTCAGGTTGTGGCGACTGGTCTACTGTCATATCCGTAAGTCCGAACTTGTCAGCATTAATATTCTTAAAGACCATTCTTGACATCCTCGTGTTACCAGTTATACCCATCCAATCCAGGTACTACTTAAAACAATCGTTGAGCGAAACAAATACTCATCTCTTGTTACAGGTGGGGTGGTGCTCTCGTAACGCCGGGGCAGTGGCAAGTCGAACAGTCAACGCGTCGTTGTACAACATGTGTGGAATTCTCTATTTTCAAACCTGAGACATACTCATCTTCCGCTAGGTTCGTACAAGTCAGCGGAATCGTATCCGCACAGATCTACGTAGCCAGCGATGCTCCCAGATGTATGTCACTCTTCTTTTCTTTTCCAGGCAACATAATCGTCACACTCATCTCCGCGCGCAGATCAACGCGGCAACAGGACCCTCATCATTATCTGCTGCGTCAACATCTGTATTCTGTACCCAGCTACGAAGGTATATTACATCTGGCGCAACCGACAACGAGCTAAGATTTGGGATGCGATGACGACAGAGGTGAGTTCATCGTGAACTTTCTGAAGAGCTAGGGCTCTGGCGCTAAAGACTTGTTAAATGATAGGAACGTGCCCACTATCTGAGCACGACCAAGGATGTTGGAAACAGAAGACTCGATTTCCGTTTTGCGCATTGATGACTTGTTCAATTATGTAGATTTGATCAATGCCACCTTGGGGTGCTGATAGAGAAGCCATTGTTGCGTGCCAGGAACCACGTTGGTGAAGGCAGCGTGGAAGTCCCCCTCAGACACTGCCCCTTCCCGAAAAATACGCAGGCCTTCATATTGATAAAAAAAGAAGTCTGGTCAATCGAATTCGATATAAAAATAGCTGTAAGAGCCTAGGCCCGGGTTGTACTTCTTGATCAAAATCGAGAATCATCGGTGGCATGAGGCTCTAGTTTTGGTTCGACTTTCAAGTTGATTCAATCGTAAATGTGCAATGGTATGCAAATTATGTATGGAGTTTGCGTACTGTGGTTAAAGCTCCCGTCGTTGAAGTCCATACATTGATGGACGAAATGGTGGTTATCACCACGACATCTAGGTCCACTTGGGTGAGATGCCAACAATGGGTCACAAGCATTACAGCGACCCAATAGGACCCGCTCATCTCCCAAAGGTACCCCATGAAAGCATAGAGAGTTGCCATGCAAACAATACAGTTCGGAGATCGTAACATGTATGACTGGGTAGTATTTCCATGAGGCTTACTAATCAATAATAGACTCAAAAGCCTCGTACAGGACTCTATAAAATGGTTGAGAACTGTGCACTGCGGGATGGAATAGTTGCAAACACACTGCATACAATTCGATCGAAAGACTGCGGCTACTATGAGAGCGCAAGCACGTCTCTGATAAAATTAATTGTCAGTACCTGCTCTTGCGAATCAGCAGCAACATTCGAGTTCCACCCAGTCAGCTTGTCAGCACATCGTTCAGTCGGACGACCGTGAATTCAGGCTCAGTGCTAGGTATAAAACTGGCAAGGAATCAAAGAATCAAATGGTACAGTAAAATCTTTGCTACGTGGAACTAGCAGGAGTGATGTTAGCAACTGCGAGGACGGATGTTGAAGACAAGGAACTCACACATCTCGGCAACTCGACCAGCGCGTTCCATACGCCATGCGGCTCAAATCAAGCTGCGGATATCCTCTGGGTATCACCAATGAAGTCCAAGGAGTATAAAATGCATGTCGGGAAGCGGGGGGTACCCAGAAAAGGAGCTGATGATCGGGTCCCATCACCCATCCATCACCCTGCAGCAAGAAAGGGGTTGAATTAGAATCATGGTGAGAGGCGGGTTCAAGCAGGTCAGCGGGGTTGGGCAAAGCGTGTTTCAGGCTGGATGAGAAGGAAATGAGGCGATTATTCCAAGTGTTGGTTGGCATGATACGGCTTTCTTGGGTGGAAGGTGTGGTGCTTCGATGCAGCGAAAATGCGGAGGAATCTGGTTCTCTGGACTCGGAGGATGGCTTCACATTCACTGCACTCCACAGCCGCACAGTCTGATCCTCAGAACCAGATGCGATGCGAGTACCATTCGGTGAGAACGAGACTGACATAACTGCTCCAGTGTGCCCCTCCAAGGGCTCACCCAATGGTTGTCCCGTCCCTACATCCCACAGTCGCACAGTCTTATCCTCCGAACCAGACGCGATGCGAGTACTATCCGGTGAGAACGAAACTGATATCACTGCTCCAGTGTGCCTCTCCAAGGGCTCACCGAATAGCTTTCCCGTCCCTACATCCCACAGCCGCACAGTCTTATCCCTAGAACTTGACGCGATGCGAGTACCATCTGGTGAGAAAGCGACTGATATAACTGCTCCAGTATGCCCCTCCAAGGGCTCACCCAATGGTTGTCCCGTCCCTACATCCCACAGTTGCACAGTTTCATCCTCCGAACCAGACGCGATGCGAGTGCCATCCGGTGTAAACGAGACTGACAAAACCGCTCCAGTGTGCCCCTCCAAGGGCTCACCCAATAGTTTTCCCGTCCCTACTACATCCCACAGCCGCACAGTCTTATCCTCCGAGCCAGACGCGATGCGAGTTCCGTCCGGTGAGAACGAGACCGATATAACTGCTCCAGTGTGGCCCGTCAAGGGCTGACCCAATGGCTGTCCCGTTCTTGCATCCCACAGCCACACCGTGTTATCGTACGAACCAGACGCGATGCAAGTACAATCCGGTGAGAACAAGACTGACAAAACCGCTGCAGTATGCCCCTGCAAGGGTTGACCCAATCGCTGTCCCGTCCACACATCCCACAGCCGCACAGTCTTATCCTCCGAACCAGACGCGATACGAGTACCATCCGGTGAAAACGAGACTGAAAAAACCGCTCCAGTGTGCCCCTCCAAGGGATCATCCAATAGCTGTCCCGTCCCTGCATCCCACAGCCGCACAGTCTGATCCTCCGAAGCAGACGCGATGCGAGTACCATCCGGTGAAAATGAGACTAAGAAAACCACTCCAGTGTGCCCCTCCAAGGGCTCACCCAATGGTTTTCCCGTCCCTACATCCCACAGCCGCACAGTCTTATCCCCAGAACTTGACGCGATGCGAATACCATCCGGTGAGAATGAGATTGAGTAAACCGCTCCAGTGTGGCCCTCCAAGGGCTCACCTAATGGCTGCCCCGTTACCGCATCCCACAGCCGCATAGTGTTATCCTCTGAACCAGACGTGATGCGAGTACCATCTGGTGAGAACGAGACTGACAAAACCGCTCCAGTGTGCCCCTGCAAGTGCTCGCCCAATGGCTGTCCCGTCACTGCATCCCACAGCCGCACAGTCTTATCCTCCGAACCAGACACCATGTGAGTACCATCCGGTGAAAACGAGACCGACGAGACTGCTCCAGTGTGCCCCTCCAAGGGCTCTCCTAATGGCTGTCCCGTCACAGCATCCCACAGCCTCACAGTCTTATCTTTCGAACCAGATGCCATGCGAGTACCATCCGGTGAGAACGAGACTGATATAACTGCTTCAGTGTGGCCCTCCAAGGGCTCACCTAATGGCCGTCCCGTCGCAGCATCCCACAGCCTCACAGTCTTATCCTCCGAACCAGATGCGATGCAAGTACCATCCGGCGAGAACGAGACTGATATAACTGCTTCAGTGTGGCCCTTCAAGGGCTCACCCAATGGTTGTCCCGTCCGTGCATCCCACAGCCGCACAGTCTTATCCTCTGAACCAGACGCGATGCGAGTACCATCCGGTGAGAAAGAGACTGAGTGAACCGCTCCGGTGTGTCCATTGATTACGGCCTGAATAACCGTCCAGTTCAAATCACGGCCAGATGTCAGACGAATGGTATTCAGAAACCTTGCCGTAAATTTCGTAGCCATGGTGGAGTTGATGGGCGAGAATGGCAGCGCTGATACATACAGATGTGGCGTGCTGTGCAAAATCATGCCGCCAAACACTTGAATGAATCTTTGTACATCCATCGTGCTGGACCGCAGTGCTTCGTATCCAGAATGGCCCTGTATTTATTTATGAGCGGTTCGTCCGACGCTGCCTCGTAGGTATGTGCTCACCTTCAGCCACTTGGCAACGAGCGCAAGCACAGTAACGGCACCGCTGATTGCATTGAGAAGTCCGAGTGATTCAATCCAGAACATTAGTCGTTCGTCGTCGAAGAGTGGTTTTATTTCCTTTGCTAGCTTATCGTCAAAGTCTGCTATTTGAACATGCGTGGCCCAATATCGACAGGAATAGGAGAGATGTGGGGGAATGGATGTTTTGACTCGTTGAGGTAGTTCTGTGTCCTGGGAATTAGGGAGGTACGACGATTTCAAATCACAGATGTTGAAGCGAAGGCCATCTTTTCGGGCCATCATCACTCGCAGTGACGCAAATGCAAGGTCACGCTGTTGCGCCTTCGTTCTCTCGACGAAGAAGTCTCCGCTGGATGATTTGTCCGTGAGGAATTCTTGAAAGGTCGCATGAAGGGGTCGGATGGGGGTATGTGAGTCGGTAGTGCCGCTGAGGAGGGATCCCATACGTTTTATCACTACTTCTATGTCGTAATGGTCGTGCTCATCTGGGAAATGATGTCGCATAGCTTGCAGCGAATCCAGAGGGAGGGGTTCGGCTGCGGCAAATATTTGTCCCATCACGGAACGAAATCTCGCTATTACTTGCTGGTACTGGAATTTTGTATACTTATGCCTTGGGGTCATTTCTTCTAAAATGAGCCGATACATATCATACAACAAGTTTTTCCGCTCCCCAGGATTGTGGTTCACGATATCATTGAAGCATTCCATGGGCGATCTGTCGAAATGGGATTCCTTGATGTATCCGCACGCGAGACGCGCCCACTCGAAGAGTCCACCAGATTTTGCAGCCAGCAATACAAGGTGTGTGTCCTGAAATTCTGGTAGGTTTTTCAGCTCCTTAGATACATAAACACGGATGTCGCCCTCCTCTACTTCTTTTGAAGTCATGATGGACACCCGCAGAATATGATCAGCACCTTCAAACTCCTTTTCGATGTCATGAAGTGGGCGAGAGGTAACGAGAATACGAAAGTTGGAAGGGAGTTCGGTGATTTGGGGAAGCCCTTTGTCCTGAAGTCTACCAGAAAGTATGCGGAGGAGGTTACGCCGCGTCTCCACTCCACCACTCTCATCTAGTGCTTCGATCACAATCAAGATGGGCCCCACACTTGACGCAGAGAACTTCTTTAGCGGTTCCATGAGAAGCTTGCGCCACTGCTGGATAATGTCCGTCGTATTCTTGAGTGAGTTTGCATTCTTGACTGCATCCGCTAACGCTCGTTTCATTCCCGGATCACGATCAGCAAGATCGCGCGCGATGGTGGAGAAAATCTTTTCATGACGACGGTCTCCTTCTCTATGCCGATCGAAACAAAAACATGAACCAAGGCCTCCCGTTTCGCTGAACCAGTTTGCAATCGTGTGCGCGATGGCTGATTTGCCCGTGCCTGCAGGGCCTGATAGCCACATTACACGCGGAACAGAATCTCCGCTGCTGGTGATCCACTCGGTGATATGAGAGAGAATGTTTGTGCGAGTACCTGGCAGACATTGTTTTGCAGTATCTCGTCCCGCGCCCGCAGCATAAGTCATGCCGCTGAGATCGAGTGTTTCATCTTCAAGGGTATGAGTAGATCTAAAGTGGGAAACATGCATGAATCCTCACCCGCAAACTGGATAAATATAGCTACGTCCCGATGAGCTTGATCCCGAAATTGTTGCATAAGTTCATCCAGGACGTTGTTGTACCGTGTGATGATATCATCCGTTTCCGCAAGGATGTCTTTACCGACTCTCTTCCCTATTATCATAGTAAGCATAAGATTCATGTGCGAATGCAATAGTCCGGCGACTCACAGAAGCTCTTCGTCTCCGAGTATTCCCTGATGAAACGGGCACACTCAAGAGTCTGCTGAGCCATCTTTCCGATGACATCATGCATCGATTCAATCTTGGAAAGATTATCGTCTTGGGTAATGAAGCGATAAACTTCTTCTAATTTCTGGAGAAGGAGTTGCACTGATTGTTCGCGCTCCGTTTGAGCAAGAACGATCTGCAAAAAACCATAACTTCTGAGTGTGACAGATCTCCGGGAAACATAGAACGTACTTTAGCTGCAGCAGAAAACATGCCCAACACCATCTTTGCGTATGGATTTACCTATAACCTGATTAGTTCACTACCAACTAAGGAGGGCAGCCCATACATTTGCGAGATTCTCAATGACAGCTTCAAAATTTTTCAGGGGTTGGAGGTAAGTGGTCTGGAAATCATCTGCGGCAGCGAGACCTCCTGGGACATTCAAGTCGTTACCGGTGGATGTTGGCCCAGGGTCTTCTGAATCACTCATCACGAGTGGTCGATTACTGCGAGTGAAGTGGGGGTGCAAGAAGTAGGTGGGATAAAGGAGAGGACCTGAGGCTCTGGCATGAGCCGAATTACCCTTGACCAAAGCATGGACAACACGTTGACAAGCGCTAATCATGATTATTGGCCATATCCCCATTGCCGAAGGAGCCACGAAGCCTTGAACCTTGAAGGGGCATGGCCATAAATCCAGACAAACCTATCACAGAACCGACGGATGTTGATCAAAATGAAGGAATTAGCATCATCATGATAGGACACGATTGATTCACGAACTTCACACTGTGCACGAGGTAAATACATACAGGCAACAGCAACTACAAGAATCTGATGTTCGGCTCATGTTGAACAGTTCAGAATGTTCAGAGCGGGTAATAAGTTGCAAAGTTGCAAGTAGTACTAATATCAATTATTCCGTGCAGGAACATAATTTTATCGAGTCCATCAAACTGCAAACATTTAATATTTAATTGTTTAGCTAAAGTATTTCGCAAAACATTGAAAAAAAACCCAATCAAAGGTTTTCTGTAAGTGGGATGTACAGGATCCGAAAACCAGCTCAAGGAAAATGATTTAGTTGATACATGCGTAGCTACAATTTCTCAGATCTTGCATTATGATAATTCTACTGAAATGACAAACAACCTTTCAAGAGATGACCATGCCTCATAATCGTCATTATTCGTGGACTGCTGAATCTCTTTATTCCGCAAATTTGAGAAGTCGTTGATGTCCCGACCGCTGCTCAGCACGAGGACTTCGATTGTGTTGGTGAGCTGTTGCATAAATCGCGTGTTGCAGCCGTATGTGAAGGAGAGTCGATGAAGACGTATCCCCGAGACAGATGGTGTAGCGGGGCGCTCTGGCAGGACAGGACGGGAGTGGCAGGGGTCCTGGCGCGGTGGCAGGAGTCCTGGCTCGTAGTCGGTAGTCCTCGCGTGTGTCGTAGTCTGTCCTCGATAGACAGAGCCGTAGCCTCCCGCCATAGAGGTCTGGCCTTGGTTCCCTTGCAGTCCGTGCCCGTTCCAATGGGCGCAGCAATTAGGACAAAGACAATGTGATACATACAGTCTTGTTGTCCACGTCATTTTGACTTGATGTTGTCCTTCCAAAAATGCTGAAGCGTCTCTACGATTTTGTTTACGTTCGAGGCTCATCCAACAAGTCGCAGGAATTCGTATCGCATTGTTCTATTCCTGCATAGCATAAGCGTCATCGTCATCGTCTTGTCTGAGCAAGGATTGGAGAATTGATACGTACCTATGAGATGGCCTTTGCAAACGAAATACCCAAATTTGCAGCACCTGTATATAGAATAGCATTTCCGCGAGACAAGTTCTACATGATACGACGGTAAATTCGATGGATCGTATCGACGTCCCTCAAACACGGTATCGACACTTAGGTCATGCGATACGGCATCCGAGAATTTGAGTAGGATGTAGATGTCTGATGGAGATTTGTGTTTGAGAGGTGGTAGCACCCATGATACGTTCTGTCAATTGATCAATGTGAACAGGGACCTTTTTAGCAAACAAATAAGTTCACCTGGATATAGGTGCTGTTCCATATCATACAAACGTGCTGCAAGAGTTGATGTCATCGAGTTAAAAATAGACCAGACCAGACGTGCAGAGTGGGGAGGGAGTGCAGCACCTTGTCGAATGTGTGCCACAACCATCGATGTAGTCCTTACGTGTAGGAAGATGGACTTAGCACCGGTTGCAGACGAGAGCGCTTGATCTACACAGCAATAAGCTGTGAAGCGAACACGAGGATGATGCATGTGACGCACCTTAAAAGACGCTTGAATGAACGAGTGCCAACTTCCTCAACTCCCAACCAGACCCCCTCTGATTGCTGGTGATTGAGCGCTGGGTTCGCCTAGACAATGCTTCTCGTGAGTGATGCTCTCGGCTCTTCGACTGACGGCATGCTTACCGCCAACTTCGGAAGATCTCTTGCATATTCTAATTTCACAAATAACGACGCAACACCTCCTCCATAGACAGTCCCGAAATTAGAGTTCTGGATGAGAAGTGGATCCTGTAGTAAGTGGGCTGTTTTATTAGCAATGGGTGCTCTAAATTAAGGTGAAAAAGACAGGTTCCTAAACTCACCAGCAATTACTGCTGTTGCCAGATAACTTGACCTGATCCCAATATCCTGCCTCTCTCGCATATATAGTCCCCAATCGACCGAGCGCCAACCAACCATGTTTTCCTCCACCAGTGAGGTGCCCGCGATCACGCCACGTCAGATGTTGCAAGGTCATACCGATTGGGTGAATGGTGTTGTACATCTGCATGCGAAACGACAGGTCATCACATGTTCCGGGGACCGCTCACTCCGACTATGGGACCTAGAGAACGGCACACAGATAGGAGAGGACTGGCGAGATGAGGAGGATAAGGCGAAAGTGCGGTCCATGGCATTGTCTCCAGATGGCAAGACAATTGCCAGTGGATGCTATGACAAAAAAGTAAGGTTATGGAACGTCGAGACGAAGAAGGTTATTGCCAAATGGTTAGGACACACCGATCTTGTGTATGCATTGTGCTGGAGTGGAGATGGCAAACGAGTGCTGAGCGGGTCCTGGGACGGGACGGCAAGAGTCTGGGATGTCGAGAGCGGCGAAACTGTCCTGGTCATTAAAACCGGGCACCAGTGGGTGAACGCGGTGATATACTCGCCCCATGCAACGAAAATTGCAACGGGCGGACTCGACGAGGATGCGGTCAAAATCTGGGATGCCAAGACAGGCGACCTGCTTAACACGCTCAAACACGATTATCAAGTTTTGAGCTTGGCATGGACATTGGACGGGAAGAGACTTATCTCCGGTTCATATGGCTCGATTAGGATATTCGACACAGCCACCTGGCACGTGGCCACAGTCCTTGACGGTCACCAATACTGGGTCTACTCCATCTCCTTGTCCGTCAATGATCGTTTCTTTGCAAGTGCATCCGATGATAAGACAGCACGTCTGTGGAATCTCGACACCAACCTCCCGATCGGTCCACCCCTTCAGCATGAAGATGAAGTAGACTGTGCAGCCCTTTCAACTGATGGAAAGCTGCTAGTCACTGGTTGCGAAAACACAAACGCGTACACATGGGACATTCGAGTCATCCTCAAAGAAGCTGGCCTTGAAGACCTCCTCCCACCTTTATCTGATGTAAAGCTCATGGTTATTCAGTGAGAATTTTGCTCATATCTCCCTTGCAGGTGGCAGCTCAAGAGCCATTAATGGATGTACGCGCTACACAGGCCGTGGATGATGAACTTTCACCAGACTTTTTCAATGACGTGACACATGGCGTTAATGTGTGTCATCAGCGTTTTTAATCGGTTCATGTTCTGACCTCTTGATCTCAGTCATCTGGAACGTACGGTAACTATCACCGTTCCTCTTCCCGCCACCCTCGCCCTGTCGCACCCTCTTTTGGGAGTGCGAGTGTACTCTTCGGTCACCTTTCGTCGCCTTTCCGCCGCTCTCACTCCAACATCAATAGATCAACTGAACTCCAGCAACGCCCAAGGCGGTCCATATTGTCTCGTGGTCCTCGTGTTGTCGAAGTGGCTGCAGTAAAGGACAGAGAGGTATGTATTTCTTCGCATGCATTTCCTATCATCGTGGTTTGATAATTTCGGTCCAGGTTATATTTACTCTTCCACCGCCGCCAGAAAAAAAGCAGCAGGAAACCCAACCACAAGCATCCGCGTCACAGCCTGCTCCAAGCACTAATCCTACTACATCACCAAAATATAAGCATTCATTACCCGTCCGATTATCGCTTCGTCTCGCACTTCTTCTTTTTTGTTGCGCATCACCTCAGCACGCTAATGCAAATGCACAACCAACGCAGCAGCAGAAAGGCCAAGTCCAGCCCCAGGCGTCACCATCACAGACTCAGCTTACTGCCCCCTCGGAGCCCGTGACACTTGTTGCTCTTGATAGTACTCATACTGCCGCGCCAGACGTAGCAAGCGTGCAGCTATGACACCTTCCATTACGGATTCGTTCGTTCTTTTTTCTGCCGTGCATTGACACTGTAGTATATGGACAGTTATTTCATCCTCTGGTTCATTTCTAATCTGTGTTATCTCAATGTTCACGCCGAAAATGTATGTATTTGATTTTTACGACCTCAATTTCAGGTTGCTTTCAACGCTATACCGTGAAGCCTCGATTTCAATCTCAAGCAGTTGCTAGATACATGTCCTGGCTGCAAATCCTGGTGCTGCACATCTCGTGCACCAGTCATCCTGTCCGTATCTAATCCTTGGGTACCCCATGGTAAGTATTCGCAGTATTCCGCCTCGGACTGAATTTTTTCCTCCCCCAATTGCCCGTGCACACCCCAACCGCATTTCCCGCAATTCACGCATGTTACCCAGTCAGTTTCAACATGCTATGCTGATCTCATAGCAATTTCCCGTTATATATGATGATATATCGGAACTGGTTTCAGTACAATCTACGGGAGGACTGGTCAAAAGCTTGAGTTCGCTCATTCATAGATATTCACAATACCTTCCGCCGCTCCCACTCCAATACCGATGGATAGAGCAACCGAAATCCCGAAGACGGACCATCTTTACTCGCAGTCCTCGTATTGTCGGGCTTGCTACAGTACAATACAAACAGGTGTGTGCTCCTTCACTGTCGCCGTGGTATAATGATTTTGTTCCAGTTAATGTTCGTTGCACTACAGCCAGCGAACGCAGCAACAATGGCAAAGCAGGCTTACAAGCAAGCCTCGTCATTGCAATTTCAGCGTAGCGCCACCTCGATTCCACCACACCTCGTGGTGGAGCATCCGAGCAGTCACTACCCGTCGCATTGTGAGCTCGTCTTGTGCTTGTTCTTTACTGTGCATCTCCCCCACATGACTGGTGAAGCATTTTTCTTTCATGTTTCCACTTACTCTTACATTTGTTCATGTTTTTCGCTCTTTGTTTCCTCATCATGGGACTCTTGTAGTGTATCGGACTTTGCAATGCTAACTATTGTGAGCGAAGGACAGTTCGATCGCTCGTGTTCTTATGTTCTTTTCCTTTAGATCAGAAGGGAGTTTCTGCTACAACGACCTCAATCATCTCGACTGGATCAGAGAACGGCATCACAATCATGAAACAGACTGTCTGCATTCTATGCTAATTCACTATCGATGATCTGTTAAGTGCCATCCCGTAAGTTTGTATGTATCTTTAGATGGATCTTGAGGGCAGACACTTATTTCTGCTCATTTCTTCCGGCGTTCGATACCCCAACTATTCAGTGTTGCGGTTATCACCATACATTTAGGCCGTTACTCCGCTAAGATGGACGCTTTTCGTGTGTAAAACCTGGTGGTTATCTCGGGTTTCTACAAGCCCAAAACGTATCTCGACACTTTCATCAGGTGATCTCTCACGAACACGTTCCTCTCCCTCATCCTTTTCTCTATTCCTGGTTTCTCTGTCTAGGAGAAAGCAACTACACAGATACCTGTCAGACCACAGTGGATGATACAGCACTAGGGCATGCGCCTTCCGCAGATCAGCCATAGTACCTGTGGTTGTTGTCCTCGACGGTGATTAGGATGGTGACGGTCAATCAATAGAAGCCGGCGTTGCTCCGAATCAACCAGACATACTCGCAGTGCGAGGGCAGGATGAATGAATGATTTCGGATCCATGTGGTTTGTTCTCGGAGAATATTGCCGTGACGACAAGTAGTGGTAGGAGGGATTAATTTGTGGCTGAAAGAAACATGTACTGCTATGGAGACTAGATGAAGTATCAGCGCAAAAAAAGAAAAACAGCTGAACTCCCAATCTAGAAGCGAAAAAGCGAAGGCAGTATGCTACACACTGGATGTCCGGATTCATCTCCAGGAGGCATGCCAACACGAAAAGATGTGTAGTAGACGGTTTGACAATTAAAAAAACTCGCCAGCGACCATCAAGATGATGTACAAGACACTCAGCAAGAAGGCCGCAAGAAGAGTAGCAGAGCGTGTGGTGCATCGAAGTTCATATATACAGATGGACGAAATGGTAATTATCACCACGACATCTAGATCCACTTGGGGTGAGACGCCCGCGATGGGCCACAAACGTTACAGCGACCCAATGGGACCTGATTATCTCCCGAGGTACCCCATGAAGGCACAGAGAGCTGCCATGCAAACGATACAGTTCGGAGATCCTAACACGTATGACTGGGTATTTCCACCGGGCTTAATCGATAGTAGACTTAAAAGCCTCATGTAGGTCTCTATAAAATGGTTGAAAACTGTGCACTGCGGGATGGAATAGTTGCAAACACACTGTTGATCAGTCTTTTGGTAACTTTAAAGCTTCCTCTGCAGCTTTCTTGCGTCCGCCCATAAGTAATGTCACATAGTCCGCACCTCCGAGAACACGTTCTCCCGTGACCTTGCTTGATGACGGTTTTGACTTTGACTTTGACTTTGACTTGAGATCTGCGCGTCTGTTTGCGGCTTGTACGTGCGATGATACTACAGGTGCATTCGGTGTATTAGCAGCGCTGAGAGATCTGGATGAAGGGTGTGACGTAGATGATGTAGTTGTCTTCTTTTTCTAAGAGGACTTCATTATTACTAGAAGACGGGAATAAAAATTGATCGTCGACGACTCACGATGCGTTTGTGCAGCTTTGCGTTCCGCCCCATCTTGAAGCTTGACTCGGATGGTCTTCGGAAGGAGACAGCGCCCAGTGGCAGTGCTCACACAATTTTCGGCAACTAGTCACACGGCATATGCATGACCTCTCGTTCGTTTTCTCGGTCTTTCTTGGTTGTACATTTCACTTTCTACATCCACCAGTGGACGCAGGTAGCACAATTCCGCGAGCGATCAAGATCTCTTGAACACAACAACTGTCTTTTATCCAACCGTTGGCTCTGTACGCATTGCGGCATTGGACATGATGTTTTTGGTTTTTGGTTTTTGAATTGGACTATGTCACGCTCATATCAAATCATCTCACATTTTTGACCAACTCGCACTGGGCCTCCGGGACCGCAGTGCATACGACACGCACAATATTTATTGGTGCTATCTGCTCTACCTGCTCAAAAGAGACTGCAATGAAAGTTACCGGTGCCTGCCTTCGTCTTGATACCCTCTTCACCGTGGCCAACAATCGTATATCGTCCAACAATTACAAGGAGCCTCATTGGGTGTATCGTTCAGCTTCCTGTGTGCTCCTACTCCTACTGTTGAGTCTTGACCCTCTTCTCCCTCTCCGTATATTTCGCAACATTCATCGGTTCTTCTCTGAAGATCTGGTGTTTGGATCAAATGATGACTCGACACGCTGTCCTCAATCCTACTATGATACCCGATAGCAGCTTCCCGGCCATGACTCAAGTGATCGGCAGCGTTGGTAATCATATCTTGAGCACCAGTGAACAGCACTGAGTACCCTCTGACCAGACTTTGCATATCTGCACGACCTTATGGCTCCGGGTGTTTTGCACTGACTCCGTAGTTTCTATGATGGGAGCTCCAGCAAGGTAATGCAAATCGAGAGTCGATTGCTAGTATAGCAGCTTCGATTTTATTGTGGAGGTGAGCTTGAAAGTTTTGTAATCGGAATGGTGACTGTGCCCTCTTACAGCAGTGGGAGCGTCGTTTTGTTCACAGTTGATTAGTTTCGGCGCGCGAAGAAATTTTACGCCGGATGCTGGTGCGCAATACATTTGGCTAAACACATCAATTACAATTATGCGGCAGCAAGTGGGATTGGTATTGCTGTCCATTGGAGGTACGGTGCGTAGTACATACGTACATCCGTCTTGACAGCTGTTCTCCCCCCAGGATCCGTCCATAATTATCTACGGCCGTTGGTACTGGTTGCAGTGTTGTTTGAACGCTGACCCCGTTACCATATCTTCTGAAATGCAAGGACAACACTCCTTATTATTGGTTTTACCTGAGTGCGCGTGGGGCTCGATTTAGACCCGTGTGATCACCACGGTTGACACACGATTATACCGGAAGCTTGATTATCATCATTGAAAAGCACATGGTCTCAGGAGTTCACCAGTGCAGTGGAGATTCAGCGGAGATAAGTACATTGATGCTTTGTCCGGTACAATGGTCTTCGGGGTACCCGTTTCACTTGCTGTCACTCTCACAACTCAAACCACTTGCTTTTCGTTCTATCCGGATCCTCCCAGCATCACGCCTTCGTGATTGCTATCATTATCTGTTTACTGTATGGTTAGATCGACAGCGCTTGGCGCTTCGCTGGAGATTGATCACACGCAAGCCAACTTTATGCCTCCCGAAACAGCAATGATCCAACATTGGCCAACCAACTGCATTGGGGACAATCGTCTCCGATGTGGTCCTTCTAAAATCCATCACTGTCTTCGTGGTCGATATGTAGATGAGTTGTGTACGATATTTCTAGACCGTTGAATTCAGGTTTCTCCTGTGCTCTTAGTTTGAATGTCGCAAATGTATGCTGGGTTGACTGAGTTGTTGTGACATCACACATTGCAACTAAGTACATGCAGTAACAGATCGTGGTCCGTGTGGTACAGGGTAACAAAATACTTGTCCGGTTGATGTTGATATTCCTCGAACTGCACATAGGGCTTTGAAACACGCATGACAATAACCAATCTAACATCAAGCAGTTGGGAGGACATATGTAGATTGGGGTCGAGACCCAAGTCCACTCTGCATGTCCAATTAGACAGACCATCGCCGAGATGTGACACTCACTCACCTCTTCATAAATTTTCTCTATCCATTCCATATTTGCAATGGAGTCCTCAGGGCTCACCCAGGTTTGTGGTGTTCGGCCCTTAATCTTGTCTACGAAAGCTTCCAGCTGGTACCTGTAGGTGGACCACCACTCCTCTCCTTTACCACCCTCGAACGTGTATACCCTCTCGGTCCTCGGAACGTCACCGTCAGGTCTCACAGTGATAGAATGGTAGATCACGGGCATCACGAAGTTGAACACATCGATAGAGCCACGTTCACAAACTGCGTGTACGGAAATTTCTGGCCAGTGAGGGATAAAGCCCCATCGGGGAGGGACGGCGAAGTCGCATCTGATAGTGGACCTCACTGGCTCCTCGCCAGGCTTCGAGGAAGCAAAAGTGAGATTGGCAGTGGTGCCTGTATCAATACGTGGATCTCTTGGGTACCGTACCGCGGTTGCGGACATCACCGCAGTAGGGTTGCTTGATGCAAGATAACGAACACAGCTTAAAGGATAACCTTGTAAGATCATGTTAGAAGGGTTCATCGTAGGAGAAAGGGGAAGCTGACATCCGCAATCCATCATCGCACCACCACCAAGATCGTATTTCATCCGAATACCATCATCGTTGCCAGCCATACCCTTCGGGAGCGTAAGAGTTGCATTTACCTCCTTGATAGCACCCAGTTCGCCGTTGTCAATGATGGCCCTGACACGTTGAATAGCAGGGTGAAACCTGATATACGTCAAGACAGTGCTTTGTTACGATCAGAAAGACATTTACCTATAGTGGAATGCCTCAAGAAGAACGAGCCCCTTCTGGTCCGCGAGAGAAAACATGCGCCTCGTTTCTTCGGCGGTATTACCACTGGGCTTCTCCAAGAGCACATGCTTTCCGGCAGCAAGAGCCTTCATTGTCCATTCGTAATGTAAACCATTGGGCAGCTAACGGGCCCTCAGTCACAGAAACTTCGCACGCAGCGGCATTCAATTGGAACGCACGGGGTTGTAGACCATGTCTACTGCAGGGTCATCGAGAAGGTCTGTCATGCAGCAGTAAACAAAAAGGGTGCCACTCTATCAACATATTGTCTAGCTTACCTTGGTATCCATCTTTCCCTCCATACCACTTCTTGAAACCATGCTTCTTCGCGAAATTCTCGGCACGACTGATGTCTCGCGCTGCAACAGCATAAAGCTCTACCTCCGGATGGCTTTTCGCAGGCAGAATAAGAGCATGAGGAGCAATTGCGGCCGCGCCTAGAATACCAATTTTCAGGGGAGGAGAAGCATCGTTATCTTCCACGTTGGGTGGGTGAGGTGGACTAATGAAAGCCTGCGATAAAAACAGTGAGATAGTACGGCTAGTCCTAGGATGATCTGTACTGGAAACTGACTTACCGCATAAACGCGCTTGAACACACCGAAGATGAAGAACATGATAGGCAAGTGTTGCAATTGGCAATGTAAGGTCACGGTGAGAGAGTCCGGTCACCTACTGTTTCCGGCGAGTCTGGTCAAGGCTGTGACAGAATCAAAATTCACATCTGATTAGTACCAGTCTTCAAGCTTCAAGCTTCAATGATAACTGATGATTAAAACTTCAGAGCGAAAGCGGACTTGTGAGAAGGTCGGCGGTACAACAAAAGTTTACCTAGAATAATCAATGTTTCATGGTTGATTATATAGGGGCTATTGATGGCTGTTTGTAACCGAACTAGTACGCTAGTAGCTAGGACTTGCCAAGGCAAGGTCAAGACTGTTGTGCACTTTAGGGTTGCACTAGTTGAACTAGTACGTGGAACATTGGTGTTCTATGATGCCCTAGTGACGTGTCCTGTGATGCTCCGAGTCGATAGCATACCCGAAGCCGGAGGAACGAGGGCAATGCGTGGTTTCGGGTGCAGTACGTACGTCGTGACGCAGAAATCCTTCACCACACCACGACGTAGTACGAACCTTGTCTCTCTTAGCTCGCCGTGGCTAGTGACGTGTCCTTTGATGCTCCGAGTCCCCAGTGTCGGTTGTCTTGTACTCATTCTAGTACGCAGTACATCTGTCTTATATAGTACCTTCAAGAAGTAATGCACTCCTCCTAAATTTTGAATACTACACTAAAAGTACAGTTGTACATTGCGTAACGATTTGACAGTGATGACATCATTGACATTGTTTAAATTCACTGGAAGAGTGCGGTAAGGAGAGAACAGGTGAAAGCACTCCAACGGAGCAAGAGACATCAAGTTAGGGGCAATAGCTGGGAAACGCCACAAGCTACTAACGAACAACTCATCGTCAGTGTGGGGGTCCCTATAGGGTCGCCGATCTGCAATTTGCCAATTGATATTTGCTTAGGCCCGTATACCGCATGTTACGGGGATACATTGATGACGTCGCCGTTTGATTTGCAGTTAGATCTATGCATTGATCAGATGACGAGCTAACCGAGACTCCATCACTAGCACTTACGCCTATTCGTGAAACCTAATAACTTAACTGCTAAGGCCTCAGGCCTTAAGCAGTAACTGCGAGCTACCGTCTGCGGGATTCTATCGAATAGGATAGCCTGAATGGGTTCATTCGACAAGTGCATCATAGATTGCGATGCACTAGCGTAGAACCCTGTTATTAAGCCCGGTGGTATGGTAAGCATGTCAATATTGGTTAGTGCGTCGGTTGTTCTGGTCAGCGGTGGGACCTTGAGCGTCATGACCTTCAGATTCTACAGTACTTGTACGTATCTCACTACGGGCCAAAGTTCATCGGTGGTGATCGGCAGGCCGTTCCTTGATACCGAAAGATATCAATAGACACGAGGCTTTTTGAGCGCAACCTCCGTACAGGTCTTGAGTGGGAGTGTCTTTGAATTGTGGTCGGTATTACTCTCTGAAGGCCGTAGCGAAAGATCACATACCGATATCACAATTAAGCCGTGAGCCGACGTAGATGTGATCTGAGAGATGATATCAAGCACCGACAAACGGGAGGCCGTGTGATTTGGGGGCCGGGTTGGTGCAAGGTTCGTCCGAGCTTGGACCAGTTCATGGTGGTTTGTGCCATCAGGCTCGATCCCTATTGAGGGAGCTTGCACCGAAGCCAGCGGTGGAATGCAGTCAGCATCTCCACGGGCCAACACTCCATGACCAATAGCAGGAACCGCATTTAAGATGAATCCCCGATGCCGAAGAGTCATCCTGCTCGCATGTGATGACGTTTAATGACGCCTGCCAATGCCGAATTGTCCGGGTTATTGATATTGACTTGTTCTAAAGTTGGTGGGATAAGTTAAGTATACAAGATCAGTGCTAATTTTGAAAACATCTCATTTAGCACTAGCGTGTCAAACATGCCGCCTCGAGGATAACAAACAGGCTTACAAATACAGAGTGCCTTTTCTAACGTGGTCAGATCAGAATGAAAAACCATCGAGAACGTCTATTCAAAGACGTTCCGTGCCGTACCCCTTGCAAATCCGTACTCACGATCTAATACTACTACTAGTGAAAGGAGCGGTAAAGCTAAAACAGCTTTATTAATACAACCAATCATACGCGTCGCATTGCTCACCATGGGATTTAATGCCCAATGCCCATCAAACTTGTCACCCCAATATTAAGCAGAAGCAAACGCGTAGCTCATTATCAACTGTCACCGGCCGGATGTTCCTCCGAGACGTCCACGCACTTGTTCTACTGCGCGATACATGTCTGCTGCTGACGATTGTGGAAGACCAAAAAGCTGCAAGATCTGCGGAATGGCTTTGCGAGTGAGTAATAATCGTTGGGAGGTCTTGTGTACGTTAGATGCATCAGGCTGTGATGAAGAAGCTGTCGGATCATGAGACGGGTGGCCGTCATTCATGTTTGGAGTATTTGCTTGTAATGAAGCCGCGGATCGGAGAGGGGGAGCCGTCGGTGAACGCAAACTTTCAATGTTCGATAAGGATGGGACGTAAGAAGTGTAGAGTTGATCAAGTGCTGCGCTTGGCTCTGGCGTGATCAACCCCTGATCTAAAAGGGACGATAGGTATTGCGAAGTTCTATATGCTGTATAGGGTGGTCAGAGTTGTCCATAAGAAGAAACAAAGAAAGGTCATCCCGTCTCAAAAAAAGACTGCACTGACCTCTGTAATGTGACCAAGATCTCCATACACAGAAGAAGAATGGCAGGTTGGGTATGACAGCTATGACCACATATAGATTCAAAAGAAGGTCGGAGGTGTGAGTAAATGTTGAAAACACGTTACTCAATAACGCGTCACGACCGGAAGACTCACGGACAATCATGAAGGGGGCCGTAAGTGGTGCAATTGCCATCCACATCCAAAATCCTCTGCGATGCCGGGGCTCCCGACTGGTTAGAAGCGTGCGGAGGTGTACAATCGAGGGATGCGACACTTCATTCACACCCGTGGGTGGTAGCGAAGCGTAAATGGATGGTGGATAAATGAGGGGTATCTGTCAGGCAAGATCAATACACGCTCGGATAGAGCGTCATTCATCTTACTCGCAAGGCCTCCGTCGGACTTTGCTTCTCCGAAAGATTTACCTCATTTGCTTTGTGTGTTACATCTGCATCAGTAATCGATGGCCCTAAAGAAGGGTCAACGCCTTTCAGGGCTAGCTCCTCGAAGTCTATGCGATCGATGATGCGTTCGCCAAACTCATAAGTTTGCAACTACATAACCGAGACATTAAAAAAATGACGACCGGATGCAATATTTCAGGGAGAAAGACCTGCCTTCCAACTGCCTTCGGGTGCCTTTCCAAAACCAGCCCAAAGGTCGGCAGCCTTTATCGACGCCCATTTCACCGCTCGCTTTATACTAGACTGATCTTGGGTTTTAACACTGTTGCCTTGAGAGAGGTCAAAGTGGTAGAAAATAAGCATCCGGTTGGGGTTAAAAATTGCGTGTGGCTTTAGGCCATGATCAGGTGGAATATTTGGGCGAGAAAGAGGCAAAGCAATGATGCGCATTGTACGCATCGCTTTAGGAAGAGCAGACATGATCCTGAAAGCAAGAATACTCAGAACTAGTAGTGAGGTCTGGGACAGCAGCAACTAGTACCTCCGATTCTCGAAGGTTGGTAGTGGACCACGTGACATGTGGCAGCCAGGACTGAACGCGACTTGCATCGTGACCAGCGCTGTCCACCATGAACTCTCCTGATCCAGATTCTCCGATCTCAACTGATTCATCTGATTCACCTCCACCTGATGACTTCCAGTTCGTAGCAAGTGGCCCGAGCGCCCGCGATTCTCATACATCGTTCCTCCATTCCGCTACGACTCAAATATTGGGAAACATCTCATCGGTGATGCCTAGCCCTGGATCTAAGCGCCGCCTGCCTGGCGGCTCTTCCTTCGATGGTCCTTCACGGAGAGATCCAAAGACGAGGAGACGAGAGGATGCAATGAGCATGGGGGGAAATTCCCGCAGAATGACTGAAAGCCAAAATCACAATGCAGGAGGAAGTAACATTGGAATAACTGCGAATAATGCCTGGGGAGTGAAGAGCGAGCACGGGAACAGACGTGATAAGGAAGATCTTGTTGATGTTTTAATGGCAGAACAACTTAGAAAAGGTCAGTCAGCCATAATTGCACGTTTGCTGATACTCAATCTAACTATTGTCGTATACTGTTACTTATAGAATTTGGAGATCCGTTCTTGGAGACAGCCATTAAAAGCCTGAGCTGATTGATGCACTACACTATCTAAGACGTTCTCCCTAGTTGGTGAGGGATAATTCTTGCCTGAAGTTTCCACTGTTAACCTCTATGATTACGTGAAATAGCCACTTGTATCACTGTCGTTCTCGTATTGGACTAACGGGGACGTCTTTTGAGCGCACGAAGTGACATCCCTGAGTTGTTCTCGTTCTTTGATAGCGCGGAACTTGCATGATTCTCTTCCATATCAGCCCGCGGTAACGAATGTAAGAATAACTCCCTATGTTGTAAATCTTCCGACCAGGGTAGACTGTATATCACATCGGACCGACAATTCAATCTCGAGTATTCAAATTCATGTATGAAGAACCTCGTTCCAATAGATCATCCGGTGCTCGTGCCGCCATACAATACGCATTGGTTAACACTCCCTGAAGTGGGGCTAGTACTCCCGGAATCTCTGGCTATACGCCGACGGGCAAACCAGCTCAATTTTCCCTCTTCGGTCAACAAAAACAAGAAGTTCGCGTGTTTGTTAGTAAAAAAACAAATTCAAATATATGTCCTTCGAAGCTTCGGGTTCGTAGGCACTATGTTGGATCCTAGAGTTCCATTAGAGTGCGGGGGGACTTCTTATTGCAGGAGTTTGCGCCAACGTTGCTTGCGAAGTAGATCATTGGATTCATCGTCAAGAAAGGGGCCCTGGGACCGTCTGTCGAGGCACACCCATCTTCTTTGGCTCGGGACTTTCACCCTCAGGCGCCAGCGTCAATGTATATACTAATTAGAGGTCCTGCGGCTGGTTAACTGGCATGGTTCGGTTCTGACGTTAGTCATAGAAGAAGTGTCAATAACTCAATATTCAATAACAAACCGAATTGTTTTTAGAAAATGTCGACAGTAGGGTCCAAGTGCTAATTTAAGACCATAAGTTCTATGAGACTGCAAAGTGTTTCCAGAGTGAAGCGGCCGGTCTCGTCCGCGGTATAAGCTGGGCTGGTTCGATACTAATGTACACATCACGGTCGTATGGCGTATATGGTCGCAGATTGCGCAACTGAACGTGAACCTCCGCCACATATGCGATAGGGTTACGATAGCATAGATCTCAACATTCGGGATCGAGAGAACAGACGCTCCGAACAAGCTTTCATTTGAACGGTAAATGAAACCAGACATTCTAGATGAATGAGAGAATTAAAGGTTAGCGTAAATGACTCTGGGATGCAAAGATGGTTAGATCAAGACCATTCAGATGTTAAATCAGATCTATCCATGGAGTCGGCAAACACGCACAAATTTGTCAGGTCTGTCGACTATTCCTCGTCACATATCCCAAAGTTCAACATCTTGCTAGCATTCGAACCTTGCTGTAGGGGATCCAGATGGACCACTGCCAGTCACTGGCTGGTCTATCTGAACCAGATCGTCGCGAGTGGTGATGGTCGGCCGGCTTATTCGAAGCAATATCAGATGGGTCTCTCTTCAAACAAAATCGCCGTCTTCCATAATTTGCACACTTGTTGGACAAATCGTTCGCAAGTGACCTGAGGGCTCCAAGTTTTTAAGTGTCTTGTACATCGCACCGCACGGAAGCAAAGTTGAGATGAGAGCATTCAAACTCCGCGAATCGTTAAAACAGTGTTACAGGTATGTTAAGGTCACACTCCATCCTGGTTACTTTGCAAAGACATACACCAATCGTACTAATTCTGATCTTACGAGCGGAATGGCATCCAGTGGTTTCCTGCGCATCACATCTATGTCCCTAGTCATGGGAGCTGCGTCCTTTGGGGCTGGCCTCGTACCGCTGTCGTTGTCAATGACTAGTATGCACTACGCTGAACTTCAGTTGCACTTGGATTAAGCGTCATTATAATTCGCAGAAAGTCACTTGGCGAAGTTATCTACCTTGAGCACTGGATTACTCATTGGTGCTGCACTTGGTGTTATTATTCCCGAGTGCGTCTTGGTATCTTTTCCTTCACAGTTCCTGCCTCTCTAAGTTAAAGTATTAACAGAGGAGTAGCAAGGACGATTGCTGGAGACCCTGAACCAGAATCGTACTCTCGCAAGATCGCGTTATGCATACTTTTGGGGTTTGCATTCATGTTCCTCGTGGAGGAGTATATATCCCCACATGCTCGACCGCTGCCTCTGGAGATTCGCCACGAAGTAGAAGATGTCCACTTTGATATCGCGCTTGATGAGCTTGAGCGTGAGGAGGGTATGACACTACCCGGTTCACACGCGTCTACTTGGCAAATGTTGCGACGTGCCCCTTCCTCGAGCTTACAACGCGCATACCCACTGTCGTTAGGACTTACAGTGCATGCTTTAGTCGATGGATACGCATTAGGCGTGTCGTCTCTTGAGACACGATCGGGTGCTCTATCTTTCGTTGTTTTCTTGGCTATCATAATACACAAGGGTACGCCTGATGGCTTTCTATTACTCACCAATCCTGCTGACCACAAACAACAGCACCCACAGCGTTAGCTCTGACATCCTCTCTCTTGGAAACATCCCTTTCTCCTTCAGAGTGCAAGAGACACTTGCTAATTTTCAGTCTCGCGACGCCAGTTAGCGCCATCCTCTCTTACATATTGTACACCCACACCGGTGATGGAAATAACCTGTCGGTTGGAACGCCCTTACTATTTAGCGTAAGATCCATTAGTTTCTTACCTTCAATTAGTACTGATGACTTGATGCGCCACAGGGAGGTACCTTTCTCTATGTAGCGACAGTAGTGAAGTCGCCTTCAGAACCCACACTTTCGCCCACTCAAGAAACCATCACCAAAACGTCACGAACGCTTCTCCTGTTGCTGGGAATGTTTTTCCCATTTATAATTAGTGCAATGCTGGGCCATGGTCATTAATGCCGTTGCAGGTCTGAGATAAATTTAAAGAATACACGTTAATGGTCACTAGGACTAGATGCTGCCTAGACGCGGAATTTATAGGGTTTAGTTACATCCCAGGTTGATCTCAATCATCCCAGGCCTCAGGGTAGAAAGGCCAACATGTGTTTGAATTGCCTGAGCGGCCAGCTTCATTGTTCACTTCTCTCATGTCGGACGACAGTCACTCTCAGTCTGATGATAAAGAATCACCGCCACTAAAACGAGCCCGCCATGATGACCAGTCTTTCGAAGCCACAAAAGTCAATCAATCATCTGTTCCTTCCACCATGAACACTAGCTTGCCTCCATTGTCACTATCAATTCTCGGTGTCGAGCCTCTCGATGAATTCATTCGAGAGATCGCTGATTTCGTTCACCATATGATCGTGACGAGACCTGTTTATCCAGATGCAAAGATTGAGGTAGAAGCAAAGCTTGGTGTCCTGAGGGACCGCACAAGTGGGCAGCGGATGGTATTGCCAGTTCTTGTGGAGACAAGTATGTTCACCAAGTCGTTCGTGATCCTTGCCTGACAATCGGTAGTCTTGATCCCGAACTTGAACGAGGTTGACGTTCGATTCGAATCCAATATGTCTCTTGTCAGCTCTGTTTCATGTAGTCCTTCAACTATAGCTCACGCGATCATTTGGAACGGCAGAACCAGCACAGGCACTTCAACAACATGCTCAACGATCTGAAACGAATATCATCTCAACCGTCTCACCCGACGTCTCCCCTGGAGTATACCCATGTCAAAGTGGTCGACTCCTTCTATCTATCCGAGGATAGAGAAAAAATACGCGTTACTCGCGAAGAGAAGAGTAACACCGTTCTTGAAATAACACGCAAAATAAGGCTTGGGAACCTCAACATATTTAGTCCCAAGAGGGCGGCGGATTGGAGGGTCAGCGTGTCGCTTGAAGTTCCAGGTATGCTTGTATGCATCCCATCAGATAGTCGATAATGACGACTACTCGATAGTTCCCCATCCCGTTGGATCTCCAACCCACATACGACGGAAAGATAGGATATGCTACTCTCATGAGGAGTTCAACATCGACCTGACCCAAGTTCATTCCAGTAACAATACGACATCTAATCCACCGGTACCGGTATGATGTCCTTTTAATTGTCGTGAATATGATACTAAAATATCTCCATGAAGCCTCAAATTTTTCATGAGTTGGAGGTGGAGATCGCTCGCTCAGCATTGCTGCTTTCGACTGCTTCCAAGCGTGGGGATCCAAATGCGTCAGAAATTGACCGCAACGCGTTTGATGAGCTTATTCGATCGTTTGTCAATAACGCCAGAATATTGGTGAAGAACGCGAATGATGGCTGGCACACGTAACTACATTTGAGTTACTCTTCAGAAGCTATAAATAAGTAATATTCGAGCATTCCGAATTACGAGCTCTAGTAACTACTACACAGTAGTGGGTTGCCAATGCCGCTCACGCTTCGACTCCCCGACTCCCATTTTCACACCAAAATGAACACAATGTCAAGACAAGCCGTACCTATACCACATACATTATTTGCAAACGTCCAACTTCCATTTGATCAGTATCACATGGTGCGCAGTCGAGAACAGATATTCCGCTCTACCGTCATCGTCTGTTATGAGTTTCTTTGAGTACTCAGCGGGGTGAATCTGCAACATACTGATCCGTACTGTCCCAGGACGGGTTAGGGTTTGAACCAACTTACATTCACGATGCGAGATGTCATGAGTTGCTGCAACAGATTGAATAACAACAAAATGCAATCAGCAATACTCAGAGCTTGAGGGTGGGCGGGGCGGCGGTAGTGCACAAAATGTCGCAGTTATTGCGGCAAGTGAACACGAAGATCCCACAGGCACTCTCCAAAGCTCAGCAAAGCAAAGCTGTCGAGCAGTTTAGGAGACTCTCGTGGATATCACGTGCAGTGCATTTAAGGAACGGATCAATTGAGGCGGTTAGAGGTTGATTCAGGCAAACGGGACAGTTTGACAGCATTATGCGACGAGAAGGACAAAACTATTTGAGGCATCGGTCGAATACCCGAGATGTTGAGTAGGTGCGAAAGCAAGCACAGCGTTCTCGTAGACAGTTTGACAGATGGTAACTTTTTTGTGGTCGACAAAACCCTCCTCCCAGGCCTACTAGCGTGAGAGTACAACAGTAAGATGATAATGTCCCAGACTAACTGAAAAAATTCAAACCAGTGCAATCACAATCCGACAACTTCGACCAGATCTCCATCATCTAGATCTGCCTCTCCGATTTCCATGTCATCTGCCATCTTGTCACCGTCAACCATTAGCTGAGGTATCGCTTGTGCTGTCTGCTTGTCCTTTGAAGAAGAAATAGGATATTGATCGGATAGACCGGCTGCCTTGAGAAACGCTTTCACGATGGCTCCACACGTTGTTGTAGGTCGGACTGTAAGATTAACATTTTCCTCGGTAGCCGCGGATCTGAGTACCAGTTTGATTTTGTCACCGCCAGTGGACTCGGCTTCCGACTCTGGGTCTGATTCTCTTTCCGGAGACGGTGAATTCTTTGACGACTGAGCGGCCTTTGGAGCCTGTTGATGGCGTTGAGCACGTACGTAATCCCAAGTTGTTTGATCACATGCTTCTATTAAAGGTTTTCAGTTTCACGTCCCCCGCGCACCGAGAATAACGCACCGAGCTCTCCTTCTGCCCAAATTCGAAGACTGTGAGGTGTGCCTGAAGCAAACAAACGCTTTCCATCATGACTGACGACAAGATGGTCTACCAAGACGGCGGCCAAGTCTGCTAACTCCTCAAACAAGTACTGGAATGTGTCATGCTAACAAAGAGTTAGTACCATTAGTGGTGCTACTCATTGCCAAAGGCACCCACTCTTTTCATTTTAAAGTTCCAAACATCCTTTGCGCCAGCTGTATTCAGTGGATGAGGCTGCCATCGAACCTTGATGATAACTAGCTCAGGGCCGCCGCCTTGTTCTGGCATGTTCTTGGTTGTTACAGCCCTTCTACGAACTTCCTCGGCAATTTTTGCGAGTTCTGGATTCAAGTCAGAGGTGTCCGTTGGGTCATCGGGAATTTCAATTGGTGACGGGGCCCGAGGTGGTGCAACAGCAAGCGCTTGTCTGGTAAATATTAATCTTCGTGAGTGATACAAGTTTCGCCCAATGTGGTTTTAACACAACCTGACCAATGCCCTTGCATTATTGAGTTGGTGTATGGGAAGTTGCGGGGGTGGCGTAATAGATTTCGAGCGGCTACGGTCTCTTTTTCGTTTTCGGGGGGGCGAATCGTTAGAAGAGATCCTTGGTGTGTTTTCCGTAATTTCAAAATCGTCTTCTTCGTTATCTGAAGAAAGGCTACGGAGGAGCTATCAATACAACCGATCCGCCGACCATGATGGTATTCGTGTACTATGCCGAGGTACTCTGACAGCACGAGATATAGCAACGAACTAGAGAGACACACGCACAGAGTAACTATGTCCACCGTTTGCCACCGAGGCAATTCATGCTGTTTATTTGATTTCTTCTTGCGATGCCTCGGGGTAGATTCCGGTTCAGTTTGTTCACCCCAATCGAGGTCGTCCTCATCAGCTTTGTCGGACGGAGTGTCTAAGCATCGGATTTTGGGGTGAGATCAATGTGATAACCTATGAGAGCGGGCACACCCTTTGTCATTGCCCGAAGCTTGTTCCAGCATTGAGAGGTTCTTCCGCGATTACGCAAGAATATAGAATCTTCGTCATCTAACTTGTTCCCTGCAATAGGATTTTGCGTTGTGCTCGTAGAAGAGGAGGGTTGCACTGGAGATGGTGTTGAATTTGGGTCGACTGTTGTCGACGATGCAGTCTTAGGCTTTGCCACTGGACGTGGCCTTGGACGCGGACGTGCAGTAGACATGATGAAAGTAGATAGCGTGGGAAAATTCTGCTGGCTTGCCCAAGTTGTCCTGTGGTCACTCTTCCATTCAATTCGCAAACTCCTTGTCAATAATGTTCAAAAAACCCAAGTCAAAGCTGACTCCAAGGGGTAGGGAGAAGTCACCTGAAGATACATCACAAACAACATCTGGGAATGGAGAGACCGTCGAAGAGTCGCCAATAGCTCTCGCGTCTAGACTCAAGAACAAAGCCAAACGCACTAAGCCTAAATCTACGCTTAGTTTCGGTGGTGACGAGGAGGTTCGTGTTTTCACTTCATATACTGTCAAATTCTTGCTTACCACTTAAGGTGTCAGGCAGGAGATGGGGAAGTCTTTCAATTGAAGAAATCGAGTCTTAGTCAAAAGTTGTCCCTGAGCGCTCATCCTGCGTATGTTCATATCTGTACTGCTGTAGAATTTGGTTTGCTAATGAGATCTATTAGGAATGTGTTGCCTGTCTCGCTTGACCAAGCCACTATCACTCCCCATTCTAATGGGGCACCCGTATATGACCAGGCGTACCTCTCACAGCTGAAAGCAAGCACGCCTTCGTCGCGACGTGCCACAGTCGCTGAAGGTTATGACGCAGACGTTTCGATGGATCCGGGTGAAACTAGTATAGAGGTCACTGAGATCGCTGGTAAGATCTTGCTTAGGTGCCTTGTTCACTGTCTAATGACGTGTAGACGATGTTGACACAGTGATTCCTTCGGAATCGTCTATACTATCAGCTAAACAAAAACGAGAACGTATGCGGACTCATGGTACAGAAGATGATTTTATATCTCTTTCTGTCACGAAACGTGATACCGTACCGCAGGGTCCACATCCAGAAAGTCGATTGATGCGTGAAGAGGATGAGCTTGGAGAAGGAGACGACGGTATGTCATTTATCAGCTTTTTTGCACCAGCCTGACGAAGGATAGAGTACGCGGAGTATACCAGCGCTCAAGAGCGCATTGCACTTGGCAAGAAGTCGAAAAAAATTGAAGCTTCGAAGCGCAAGGATGCTATGCAAGAGATGATCGCAGATGCGTATGTATAAGCATTTTGCTGTGGATTTGATTTGACTAACATTGTAAAAACAGCGATGAGGAAGACGAGGAGACCATGGAGTGGGAAAGGGAACAGTTACGGAGAGGTGGTCCATTCCCAACTTCTCATGAGGTATCTCCCGCAAGACAGGTCTACAAGCCTGCCGCAAGTGAGACTTGTGTCCTTCTGGAATTGCCGTTGACTAACTGGAGCCTTGGATAAGTTCCTACATCGACTGCGATACCATCTCTTGGACCGGCAATGGACCGCCTGTCTCAGTCTTTGACCGCGATGACTACGTCGCACACAACAAATGTGAAGGCAGCATCATCATTGGTCGATGAACGAGAACAATTGGATGTCCGTGAATCAGAGCTACGCGAGATGATTGCCAAAGCTGAAGCAAAAAGGTCGTGGTTCGCTGCATTCAAGGAATGGGTCGAAAGTGTGGCCACATTTCTCGATGAGAAGGTTAGTATCATCCCTATCTTACATCAAGCAAAATCTCACGGATGCTTAGTTTCCGAAGCTGGAGAAGCTTGAGGATGAATTTGTTTCAATACTCAAAGAACGCTCTGGAATGATTGCTCAGCGACGCCAAGCGGATAACCAAGATGATCTATCTTTGATTTTCGGTTCTCTTTTGGCGGCCACAGATCAATCTGAAGAGGTGGATGATTTAGGACGCGTTCTACCTCGAGCAAACCCTGTTACTGTACGCCGTGAGCGAAGGGCCGCGCGAATAGCCCGTCGACTTCATCGTGGGCGTGGACGTGCAGCCAGGGCCATCATAACGCAACTGGACCGAGAGGAGGGCTACTCAACGGACTCCTCTTTACCCCCATCAGACGCCATAGATTATCAAAGTGCTATGGAAAGAATAGCCAATGATGGGCATAGTTTGTTATCTGATGTGCATGCAGCAGAGTTCAGAGATCCGAGTTTGGGGTTGGCTAAGTGGTTTGGTGGATGGCGTAGACGCTTTAGTGATAGCTATACTGGTGCATGGGGTGGGCTTGGACTCGTCGGTGCTTGGGAGTTCTGGGTGCGGCTAGACCTTCTTGGATGGAACCCCTTTGAGGTGTGTTGATTTTTCTATGCCATGAGGCGCTAATCTACCATAAGTGTCAGAATTCGCACACCTTGGATGAATTTTCGTGGTGTGCTTCACTACACGAGTACTGTGGAGATAATGATGATCCAGGGTCGGATACAGGCCCGAATGATGACTTGGTTTCCGCTATGATTTCCACAGCAGTCGTGCCCCTCATCTGCAAGGTAGTCGAGGCAGGCGCGCTTGACTCGTACTCGGCATTGGATACCCGCAATATGATAAACTTGGCAGAACAAGTGGAAGCTTCCATCGGACACGACAACCCCAAATTCCAGGTGACTGGATACTCATGGTCACCACGAACGAGTTGCTATTCTGACGCAATTATCTAGATGATATTAAAATCGGTGTTTTCCGTTTTCGAACGCTCTGTATCAGCATCGGAGTCCCTGATAGCTCCCTTTGTTGCACTCAACTGCCCCGTTTTCGATCCAGATGCCATTGCCGCCCGTCGGCGTCTACTTTGCCACGCGTCAAAGTTTTTGGATACCCTCATTCAATGGCGCAAGTATACTGGCGGAAAGTTGGCCATTGACGATCTTTGCATCCGACATATGAACAATGTAGTTTTACCAATTGCCGAAAGCGGATGGGAGGTTGGAGGAGAGGAAATAACTCGAGAGGTAATTGACGGGAATGTCGGATATTTGCGTGGCTAACTCTACATCTTCTAGATGATTGCCATAATGCCATACGAAGTAATACGCGCACTGAAAGCGCCATTAAATTCTTTGGCGTCTTGAGTTGACAGTTTGTTCTTATGGTGATATTCAAGCGGGGTATGTAATTGCCTCAAGTTATCCCTTTGTTTCTCTCCGAGTAGTCCCCGTTGTATGGCGAGGATAGTGCAGGGTACCTCCCACGTAATCACACTATCACCGCTCGGCGCTCGGAAGACCAATATGAAGCCAAATGACTGTCGTGCAAAGCCTCTGCGGCTTCTATACGCATGAACGGTTCGTTCCGCTGTCAGACACTTGCGCCGTTGTAGCATTTCCCACTGTCATGCGCCTCCATGATCGCGCCATTGTTTTTGTCCCATATCACATTTCTAGACGCTGACTGCAGATCTGCCACAGATTCGACAGAATGAATATTTTTTCTGCTTGATACGTCTTGTGTTACGTGCTTTACCTCGTCGGAATACCTAATATTTGAATTGTGTGCGGTAACCGTCGGGTAACTGCCGTAGAATTCGTGAGTTTTACTCAAATTAATTGAAGCCGACAAATGAATGCACGAGTCCGGCTCTGTTTTATGCGATATGAATGTTGTATCTTTTGCGCTGTGGAATCTTTTCTGGTTGGTTTCGATGCAGGATCAGTCGCTATCTCTCATCGGGGTCCTCTGGGAGAGTGCGGTACGCGTGGCCTCCTCGGTGACTGTTTTGGACGTTTTTGGTTGTCTGCTTTCACTGAATCATGTTATTCGCAATTCACGAACCACACTGAGAGCGACAACTCCATGGCAGTGGAGGCTTCTGTCCAGGAATTTGCCGTCTCCCCTTGTACGTGACCATCCTATTCAAACCTATTTTAACCGATACGGAACTCTCGAAGAAGTTGCAACGTGACTCAGTGCGTTCGAGCCTTTTCGAAGATTGATGAGATCATCATGAGATTCTTGATGAAAATCAAATTGGGATTTAAACTGATGGACGAACTTAGACCGGCTCGATTTGTTTCCACTTCGAATTGGTTCAGTTGATGCGAAGGCCCCGGAACGATGTTCACGCTGTTGCGATAATAATAGCAGACCCTGTTTGTTCATCTCCCTGCATGGTATAGTGCGGTATGAATGCTTTTTGCCGACCGTTTTGTCGATGCAAAGCACACACGGTTGTGCTAGTCCGAGATGTACGTTACGTTGCCTTACACTAATTCGTGCGTTCTGATTGGCTGACAGGTCCGAGACTCCGAGTATGTATTAAGCAAAATAATATGCATAGATAATATGTGTATAATCTTTCCGCAGGTGGGTTCATCCATTACGCTCACATCCGGAGCCCGGTTGGGCCATGTACGTGATGCTCATCATAGATGATAACAACAGGCAACTATAAAATAGGCAGTTGCCAGACCCTGTTCCACAGGAGCTTTAGCACTCTGTCCTTCCTTTTTCTCAGCACAAGATGACCGGTATCATCGAAAAGCCTCGTCATTCCGAGACGTCGAACAACTCTTATTCAACTCGACCCAACGATATGACCGTCCTAGGAGTCGTTGACTTCGCTGACTGCGATCAATGTTCTCCGTACCCCAACCGATGGTCAAGCATCAGGTAGTACCTACCTGTCCGCAAAATATTGACAATAGCTGACTGGACCTGTTGCAGGGAGCACATCTCCGCACCAGCAGCCGAGTTCATGGGTGCCTTCATTCTATGCTTGCTTGGCTGTGGTGGCAATTGCCAGGCAAATCTCTCTGCCAATAAAAGTGTATCTGCAAGCCCGGCAGGGGTGAGTTCAAGGGATCGAAAGTGATGGATGGACTGAAACTCATTGGTGTTTGTTCACAGAATGCTGTCACATCCAACCTCGCTTGGGCCATTGGTGAGCGAACCTTCATCTTTGTATGTCGACGTCTTCCTTACAAGCTGGTCAGGACTGTCCCTTGGTGTATGGATCTCTGCAAACTACTCAGGTGGTCATGTGAACCCTGCGGTGGGTACCTCTGAATATTTTGCATGTGACTATTTGTGCTGACTCCTAGTAAGGTCACCATAGCATTTGCTACTGTCCGCGGTTTCCCCTGGAAAAAGGTTCCAATCTACATCCTTGCGCAAGTCCTGGGCGCCCTATGTGGGGCAGGTGTAGTCTACGCTACTTACTTCAATGCGATCGACATCGTCGAAGGGGGCTCCGATATTCGTACAATTGCGGTATCTGGTAATCTTTTTGGGACCTACGCGGTAGGTTTAGATCTTTGACATGATTTCCTTCGGCTCAAATCTATCTAGGCCGATTATCTTCCTTCAGTCTCCGCCTTCTTCGCTGAAGTGAGTAACTAGCGGTCTTCAATTGAACACACACTGACAACCCAATGTAGTTTATAGGGTCTGCCATGCTCCTTACCGGAATTTTCATGTTCACGGATAAAAGAAATGGTCCTTTGCCTGCTGGTGTTCTTCCTGTTGGAATATTTTTTGTAATCCTTGGCATCAGTTCGGCTCTTGGCATGGATACTGGAGCAGCCCTTAATCCTGCCCGTGACCTGGGGCCCCGTATCCTTACCGCCATGGTTGGGTACGGTAGCGCAGTCTTCAACTTCAGGAACCAGTATTGGCTCTGGTGCCCTATCCTTGGTCCAATTTTTGGCATGATTGTGGCTGCGTTCTTCTATGATTCTATGCTCTACAGGGGTTTAGAAAGTGTTACGAACAGGCCGTACGTTTTAATGTTTCTGTATGACGCCAATACTAACTTGTTGATATGTAGGAGTGAACAGGCTGAAAGACATCACCTGCACTCGTGCGCTCGCACCAAACGTAATGGGGTTGCAGAAATAGTTTGATGATATTGATGATTGACAACGCTCGTAATGACACTAGTAGCTCGGACATGTTTTTTGATACACTATACGTATGATGCCCATCACTCAATGTGTGTTTTTTTGTATTTTTAAGTAAAGTCCCACCGATAAGTTGGAATTTACGTAGACGGGACGTACTAGAATGAAGTTCGCTTAGGCACGCGACACCCAAGTTTTGAGTTGAAGGCTTTTCGTTTATTCGTTGTTTCTCGCACAATGTCATTACTTGGTCTTTTCGTTCCCATCGTTTGACACAAAGCACCGTCCAACGTACTGGAAAGAGCTGTCTGCTTGGCTACGACTCTGGTATTGTTTCGAGCCGAATTAATAACCCCTGTGACGTTGATCTGTGTACTCTCGAAAGATCCGGGCCTTCCGAGATGACTACGTGTTCTACTAGTTACTTTCCTCTATGTTAGATGAAGGAAAATATTATGTCAATAACGTCATCCCAGGTCGCAAACCTTCAGATTTTAGCAAACTGACAGGGAAATCGAAGCCCATGTCAGAAACGTCCAGCAGAGCGCCATCGAGTCTGACGGTTGACCACCTCCTTAGCGCCTGCTGCAGACACCCGTCTACCAAGATAAGGGTCTGTTAGCTGGGCCAGAGGGAGGCTAGTAGAGCGAGGTGAGGCTAGCGGTTTCGAGCCTGCGAAAGCTCTTGTCAGGGGCTGTCGCTAGCTAGCCCTACCTCTCGTTCCGTTTAGGATTACTACTACTGAGTCTAGGCCCTATGTACCTAGTGGGAGTACAGCCTGAGGTCCTGTCGCACGACTGCAACCACGAAACGAATTGGCCAGCTGCGTCCAGTAACGATGTCACCGGCAGGGTAGTTTACGGTTGGGCTGACAGAACGGCTTTGTCGCAAGGCTGGAGTCTTCTAAATGACAGTCGGGTAGCAAATGAATTTTCTCCTCAGGCTGTGTATGTCGCCCTGTTACCCGAGGCTCAAAAGCTCCCGAAAACAAGTTACGTGCGTTACCTCACTTACAGCAGAAATCAAGACCTCCAGCACCCCTCGGTAAGGTATTTTCTGCTCGGGTCCAAACTTTGCCATCGCGCGTCTACTACCACCCTCAGTAGTCTTCCTCTGCCTACAACCGATACCTTCCGCATCACGTGCCAACTACAACCTCTGATACTACCTACACCTCGAAACCTCCTCCCAAGGCCCTCCTGCCTACTTTCGCCAAGCCATCAGAAAAATGTCGGAATGCTTATTGAAGTGTTTTCGCTAAGTGTTTTTTCCAAGGATTTCATCAACTTAAGAACCGCTGATTTGACACATCATTGTAAGTAGTCGACAGATCATGATGATAACCGCCACCATTCGGCTGCCAAGCCATGGCGAAAGCAAGGTACCAGCAGTCTAGGCCCTCAGAAAACTTTTCATCGATATCTCATCGATCATCTCCGGTAGCTAGTAAGGAGCACCTTTGGAAAATACTCACTCCAAGTAACTCTACTAACGATAAATAATTTTCAGTGGCCGAGAGTCGAGACCTTGCGGGCAAACATCGAAAGTTGCCCAAAGCGGTAATTCCTGAGCACTACCGCCCAAAACATGTCCTAATTTGGTATTCCAAATATTGTCATTTTCTAGCCCAAGTCATACTAGTGGGCTTGCGCAATCATTAATAGCTAGGTTACATCCAACAGAATATACTGAACTGCTATCAATGCATGGGAGCGCATACTAGCTATAATGCTCTCAGGCTGTACCTCGTCCACAAGAAACACAGTGAAAATATTAATGGACTTGCACAGGTCACACATCACCGGATAGTCCTTCGTCTTCCTCATCTTCCTCACGCTGTCTCATGATGAGCGCTGTGCAAGCCAAGGACACTAGATCAGAGCCGTTCTGTGATATTGTCGTGATGGGAACTGTGACAATTCGGTGAAATGGATTTAAAGAGTGGTTGAACGAGTTGTTGCCGTCAGTCGTTCAAGAACTCGCCAAAGTTCATCAAGACAGAACAGTCAGTCATGATGTTCCTTAACTTAATTTGATATCTTCGACTCACTTCCACGATAATCACAGCGGCGCTTACCTTGACAGTAGCGCGTGACATGAATATATACATTAGGAAATGAAGTCTGGACAACGTGAGTGCTCACCGGTGCACCACTATGCCGCAATGCGATTCTGAAAAACCAGTCACGACGTCAAACTCGCACTGGTTGTCAAGCTTCAAGCTTCATGAATAGAGCGTGTTCTCTCTCTCTCGAACAGATACTCGACTGTGTCGACTTCTCAGAAAGTACATTTTAGCGGATGATCAAACTTGGGCGTAAAACAGGGGACAATGAGTTCGACACAACCTAGTGTCCTCCTGGTCGTCCCTGAGTACTGAGTATTCACCTTTGGTGAAGTGAACCATCTGGTACTTCGACTCGTGAACCACTGTCCTGACTCTGGTTCCTCGATGCACTGCCAATCTTATCCAGCGATAACAGATTCATCTCCGTTCACTATACCGGGAGCTTCCATGCGCAGGGATTTCCCGCAAAAAGTCGAAGAAGATCGCTGAAGAAACAAGAATAAATAAGCGAATTTCATCAGGAGAACGGCACAATATGATCTCGTTTCTTCGCAAGCTCTTTTGGTGAATTTAGCTCTGCTTCATTGTCTGGGTTCGTGCCTGTCGGAACGGTTGGAGTTGTTCAAGTTCATCGAAAATGGAAGGGTGAGGATATGATAATGATAAGCTAGGGGGAAGACACAACACACGCGATGCGGTTGTACATCCTAATATACTCATGTCTCATGCGCTACTGTCAAGATTTTTGCGCACAGCTGCTAAGTGTAAAACGGAAGACCTGCAAGAAAAGTTGATCACTCTAACTAAAGAAGGCCACACATGACAAGGAAAAATTTGTTTCCAAGTAAGAGGGAGACATATCTCCATGTGTTTTAAAGCTCGTCAAACTTCAACGGAGGATCCCGAAGCGAACAACATGTCTAAGTTATTGTTGCCATTCGCGGTGCGAGTGCGAGGATGATGTTTGATAGCAGTGATACCCGTACAGGCTCGCCCAGGCAATGATGATGTCGATAAGATTCGAGCAGTACAGTCCTCCATACCCGGGGGACATCATGTTAGATAACTCGGTGACGGCGAGTCCGGTGTTGTCGACGGGATAGGTTTAGCAGAGGGAAGGTGGGCTTGGGCGGAAAAGGACGATGGTGGTCATGTGAGGACATGGACGCCAAAAGCGCACCTTCAATCACCAGAGAAGGGCAGAGGCAGCGAAAGGGATGGACGAATTGTGTTTGGTGCTGTGAGGGCGCATGCACCAGTGAAACTTGACTTGGGAGTTAGATGAGCGCAGATGGCAGGTATTCTGGACATACAAAGAGATGGGTAAAGGACAACCCGAGTTGTAGATCAAGTCGATTGAGGTTTAGGTGGTGCCTTTCATGTAGATGAATCGTCGTTGGCATTGGAAAGCGCCGGAAAGAAAGGTGGTTGAACGTGGTTCACCCTCGGCACAACACAACCGTCCAGCACGGCGTTTCTAACAATATGTTGCATGATGTAGAAAGGTTTGTTTTGTGGTAGCGCTGGTCATTTTCACTGCCTGGCCCGTCTTCGAATAATGCTGGGGCATATACTTCTAGAATCACGACTTCAAGAACTGATTAGTAGAGGGTGACTACTAGCATCATGTGATGTGAACTCGGAACTCAAGTTGAAGGTGGGACTTAAGCTGGCTCTATGTTGCTATCATATTTTCACGTTGGCAGAACTACCTCTCCCCACAACACTACTGCCGATGCCGATGCGGACTCAGAACCCTCCATTCGCACTTTTTATTTCAAGACATGTCCTGAAGAAAACCCGAGTCACGCTACCATCAAAGAACTTATCTAGGATTGTGCTGCGGCAGCGTTCGGTGTGCTGCTAAGTCTGTTGTCCTCTAAAGAAGGCAAGCAGTCCGTAAATAAGTGATTTTGTTTGACGTAGCAGTCTAGCAGAGCTCGACTTGTTCGTCTGGTCACTGGACCTACTACTCTCTAGAAAGGACTACGTAGCTCCTGCCCATTATCTTAAGGTACAGAGATATGGCCCATGACCTCGGTAATATATATCTTGATTCCATTTCTGAACGAGCAACTTTCAGCACCCTAAATCGTATTTTGGGTGGTGATTCTGTACACGACCCAGTCCCCGTGTGGTACATCAATTACAATGAGTCCGACTCCTCGTGAGTATCTGTTAGTAGAATTTCTCATCACGAGCATGCTTACCAGGCCACAAACGAGAATTTATGACGCGGATTTCTTCTCTAAGCCGAAATCACGAGAACCTCACATGTGGCTGGCTCCCTGGATCATCATCGCCATCATCAAAACCTATTACCTAAGTCAGCCGGCTCCACTGTGCTTCCACCTAGGAAAAACCATGTAGGCATAGCTGCGGGAGATCAACTTGTTTCATCCGCAGGCCATGTGATGTTTGCGATCTTGTGCTCTTGTGCTCTTTGCCGTCTCATTGGAATTAACACACCACCGAGGCTAGATACGTGACTAAACCATTTCGACGTATAAATATGATTCTTCAGGTGCCTCTCCTCTCCCTGCTGGCTCCCCGAATCGTATCCCTTGCGAATCATGTCGATAATCACTGAGAAGCCAGAAGAAGTATACATAGAGAATGTTGGCTCTTGCGACGACCAAGGATGCACTTCCTCGGTTAGCATGGTATTTCCTAACAGGTGGTCGAGGTTCAGGTGAAGAATATTTCTCGGTTATCTACGTACGAGCTTCCTCATTACACTGTCCAGGTATGCTATCCGTGAACCAGCGGCCGAGTTTCTAGGTACAATGATCTTCGTGATCTTCGGTACCGGTGTCAACTGTCAAATGTTTCTATCCATAAACCCGAATGTTGAAGCGGTCCCAAGAGGGGTAAGTGGATGATACAAATATTCGATATCTACCATTCAAGTCGAAGTTCTATATAGGATTTCCTTTCGCTCAACTTCGGCTGGGCTGCAGGTGGGTTGATATGTTGATCTCGCTCCTCACACTCACAAAACACGTCTTTGACAATACCTTTAGGCGTGGCACTCGGGGTGTGGATCGCAGGAGGTATATCTGGGGGGCACTTAAACCCTGCGGTAAATTAGACTTTTGCTCTTAGCGTATCATTTTCTGAGTAGTAATTCCGCAGATCACGTTTACTCTGGCAGTTTTCCGGGGGTTTCCTTGGAAAAAGGTGCCATACTACATCTTCGCTCAGCTACTGGGCGCATTTTGTGGTGCTGGTGTTGTCTATGCCAACAACTTCCATGCTATAGACATAGTAGAAGGCGGACCTGGCATCCGAACTATTAGTGGTTCGGGAGATCTTCTTGCTACATATGCCGTGCGAACTGTGCTTATTCATACCACCCTTTACTGATAATTCCGCAGGCAAGCTTCCTGACCCCTGTCTCATGCTTCTTTTCCGAGGTTAGAATGGTCCCTTCCATTTTTCCGTAGGAATACTGATTTATTTATGAGATAGTTTTTGGGCTCTGCAATATTAATCATTGCTGTACTCTGCATCACTGACAAGAGAAATGGACCGCCCCCACAGGGTCTCGTCCCTCTTGCCCTATTCATTGTGATACTCGGCATTGGGACTTCTCTCGGCATGAACACGAGCTATTCCCTGAATCCCGCTCGAGATTTGGGGCCAAGAATCTTCACGGCGGCCGTAGGCTATGGAACTGCAGGTAAGTCGAGGATATCGCTGATGTAGATTGGACGATGGCTTGAAACTATCATCAGTGTTCACCTACCGCAATCAATATTGGTTATGGTGCATTGTGCTTGGTCCAGTCACAGGGATGTTGTGCGGTGCATTCGTTTATGATACCTTAATTTTCGAAGGCGGCGAAAGCATTATAAATAAACCGTAAGTCCATCTGGACTGGCGTAGGTCCCTGCTGATTTTACTTGACGCTAGTAACACCCAAGCCATAGATCGCTATCTTCGGAACTCAGGACAGAGAGAACAGCTCCCTATGAGGATCGAGGATGCTCGGATGAACATTGACAACACATGATCTTTGACAAGAACGTGTTTTCTCCAGCTTCGGCAAATGTCGCCCACCATGTCTGATCTCCATTTCCCCAATGGTAATTGGGATACATGTAATGATAGATAGTGGTCTGATTGTGCGGCTGAATTTTTCATTCTAAATACAAACTGAACCATCGGATGAACACAAGTCCACGCAGCATATGATCTATTTAGTTGTCCGGTCAGGTGCGGGGAACACGGAATGTCCAGTAGTTTGACGTCCGTAGATATTTGGGGTAACGCTCAGTTCTGGAAACACGCGAAGGCTATTCTGCGGGATCGTACACTGCCGCGGAACTTACCATTTTCCAATTAGTCGGCCACCCGCCCAAACCATCCCAAATACACTGATGGGCATCAATAACAACCAAACGCCAACATCCCATAACACTCGTCTTCCAAGCCGCCTTCGCTGCAGCAGCCTCTCTTTGCGCTGCAGAAGGGCGTCTGCACTGTGTAGCGGAGATGGTGGATGCATCGTTTGTGGTGTGCTCGGGACCGAATGAGGTATCACAATGGATATAGGCCGCCTGAAATAATGGATCGTAATGTGCGCCCATGCTATAAAAGAAGAGATGTAAGAATAGCCGCGCCGAGAGAGAGCCCGCTGAACACGCGTACCTGGAAGGAAATAGCTTCTACAGAGAGCCAAAAATATAGTGAGATCATTAAGGAATGCCGCCATTGATGGAGGGGCTAAGCTGAGCAATACAACAACGGATATGATAATGGCCTTGCCGAGGTCCAATTTACAAAATCTCCGGATGGCTAGCGGAACTGGTAGAGGAGGTGTAGAGACTAGCACGGAAGGGATGGACAATAAGAGAGAAGATGCCCCAAGGAGGTGGACTACAGTATTACGTGTATCGCTGCTAAGTGCTCCCTTATCTTGACGTTAGCAGCAGTAAATTAAAAAGACGGAAAATCATACTGGAATGTTGGGCGAGGAGGCTGTCAAAATTAATGGCAATATAAGGAGGGTCGCTATGACTGTCGATAAGATGCTCAGCATCTGGAAATATGTCCATCCGCCCGTCTTGTTTGATGGAGTAGAAGGTCGCCCGGCCAAAGAAGCGGATAGGGGAACTGTTAGCGAAGTTGCGAACGAAAACGCGATAGACGCTACGGCATATAGTTAATAATTGACGGCGAACAAAGAAGTATTACCATATACTTACTGGTGCCATTCCAGAGCACGCCAAGTTGCACCAGAATGGGGCTTGGCATCGTGGTGCCAGTCATGTGGTTATACAGCGCAGCGACTAACCATGCGGTATACAAGAACACTGATAGCCATGTGGTGCAGATCACTTGCTTCGCCGCTAGAGATTTGGGAAAAGATACAACAAATAGGAGCAGGCCCAATGCTAAAGTGGCGATAAGTCGAGTTTGCACAGGAAGGGCCTCAATTAGAAGTGGATAAACGGAGTCCACAGATGCTTTTATTTGATGCTAAAGTCAGACAGTGAAGACGGCAAAATAGCTATGGTACGACTGACCGCGTAAATACATAGATGTCATCAAGATTCTCAACGACCCAGTGACGCAAAAAAGTAGTCGTCGGATCTTTTCACGTCGTCTGCGCTTGGCCGTACTAATACCTTTCGCAATCACCTCAAGAAAAATATCCTCCGCGGTACTCTTCCGTAGGTACCTTGCCAGAAGGAACCATAGGTTGCGAGAGAAAACTGATAACGCTGCAGCAACAAAGAGATTTACAAGACCGAATTTCAGCGAGGTAATACCGTTTGGCACGAGAATGGCACCAAGCCTGAGGTATGGCGCTAGAAGGTACAAAAAGACTGTGGCAGCCGGAAGAGGAGGTATGGCGAGCTTCGCAATCTCCAGCTGAGAGTCATGTTCTTCATGTTCTTCATCGCTGCTGAACTCAAAAGAATCCTCTTCATCTTGGCTGGGAAGGATCACAAGCGCTGAAGTTGAATCAAGGACGGATATACTCTCAGTTGGTGAATACGGTGACGCCGATGACGTTGGCGATGCTAATGGTGAGCCTGCTGGGGAGTCCAAGCTTGACTGACGACTAGACGAAATGGCCTGTGGCATGAAGGACAAAAGAGTGGAAGAAGGACAAGCTTGTCCTGGAAGAATACCTGACAGAATACAATTATCTTCTCGACCTGATTGCTCGCAATCCGAGTAGGTACCAAGCGGAATTAATCCCACAATAGCCGTGGGAATATTATTATGTAATTCACTGTGTCACGACGTGGCTCGCGTCTGGTCTCCTAGTACTCTCACTGTCATTCAAGTACTTTCTTGGTCAACATTTTCTTCTTCAAACCGTACAGCCTCCGCCATGAGTAAAAAACCGATCGTTCGCGCAAAACAATGGCAACTAGACATCCTAAAGAAAATGCACGCAGAGGAGGCTCGGCCGTCAACTTCTCAAAGACATAAACTGGCTATGGAGACTGGCCTGTAGGTTCAACTTCAATACCACTTACCCTTCCGGCGAACATATAAGTATTACAGGGATGAAGCGTGGATCAGGAACTGGTTTATGAGAAAAAACAGGGTGCCTCGTCCTCCGGTTCAGACGCGCCCTGAGGCACGGCTAGTGCATATAATCAAGCTGAATCCGCCTCAACCCGACACCCCGACCTACTCTGACGCGTCAAGGTCCCGAGGTCCCTCTCCTCCGCATCCTGTCGCGACCCAGAAAATGTCGATTCTTCCTCCAACATCAGAATCACTTCTCGCTTCGGTCGGCAGAGCGGACAGCGCTAAGTCGACGTGGAGGCTGGCTTCCGGATACAATCTCCCACACTCGGTCGAACCCCGTTCTGTCGGCTACACTTCAGACGCGACACCTGTCTTGGGATCCAGTTCAAGGTCATCCTACTCGTCCTTGGGAAAGGAAAAGGCATTACAGCAGAATACGAGAGCGTGGCGATACTCCAGGGACCCGCTTCACAACCGATACCCGGATTTTTCAAAGTTCTTCCTTCCCGCATATTCCGACACCATCGGCGACGCTGCCAAAATGCCCGAGCTTTCATCAATCGCCATGCCGTCCTTGACACACAATCCTTCGAGCATCGATACTGCACTGTCTCTGGATTCCACCTTTTCTACCATGCAGCTGTATTCATCAATTACAACCCCCGTATTTTTTTCCACAAGCTCATCCCTATTGCACAACATGCAGACGCAAGATGCACAAGACTCGCCATCTCCCGGTCATTGAGGCTGCACCCAAGGTACGCCCGGTGACAATTTAGCCATCTCTGTAATTTTTATGTCCTTGCAGCATGAATGGTTCTTCCGAGCGGGTTTGTAGGAGACCATTTGTTCGAGTTCCTCGGGCAGGTTCCGTAGGAAGAGTGATCCACTAAGTACATTCACCTTTCCTCTGTACTGTAACAAACTGCGGTATCTTAGTAATCCACTAGTCCGTTCACAATGAGCTTTCTTACCTGGCCCTTCTTGGGAACACGACACGTAAAGACAGTGCATTGTGAGCAAAAAATGGACCGCCGCCTGTAATCAGCACTGCATTGCCTCAGACTCTTCTTCCATCCTTTGACCTAGGTTATATTTGTAGAGTGCTGCACCCGATGTGGCCCACAAGCCCAAAACGCCTTCTTGCTCCTCAACAACTTGGAGCGCACGGATCGGATCTTCAAATGGTTTCTGAAACACGCTAGCAGGCGAAACAAGCGGTGCACCTCCTGTACGGAGCGACCATAGACGAATGCGGCGGTCTTGACCGGCTGCAAAGAGGAATTGTTCATGAGGATCGACGGCAATAGGCTGTGTAATGTTATGAAAATGGAAAATTGCGACTAACGCGTGGTCTTACAGTCTTTGTAGTGTAGGTATTGATATTGCCTGTAAACGAGATTACAGGCGTTCGGTTACCAGGGAAGCGGAGGTCAAACATAGCCAGCTGATGTCAGGTTCAGTAAATTTAGTACAGGTCCTACATTTCGTGAACTCACGCTTCCGTCTATGTTACTTGTGAGAAGTTGCCAATCGTAAAAAATCTTGAGGTTGGTCACTGAATTATGCTGGGTCGTACATGGGTCGCTAAAAATGCGATCACCCTTGGTGCTAGCTATACGGCTATCAAAACGTTGGACAATGCCAGCACGAGACCCTGTATAAATAATATTCTGTGGAAACCATTAGAGTAACGCGGGTACTGTGACGCCCTGAAACGTACATCGTCTTGGGCAACAGCAAATACGTCGCTACCCGTTTTCATAAAACGAATAGTCGCTCGATCAGTAGCGTCATCGATGACTACAGCTTGATCATTTGTGCCTGATATTCTTTGAGCATCGAAAGACAATAGGCATACGTCGAACATACCCAGCACCAAACGGGAACCTTGAAAATCAGCTGTCCATATGTCACGAACAGACCGATTATTTACACGAGACACACGGATGCTGCACCACGCGAACGAAATAAGATACCGTGAAGCAGGTAATGGCAAAATTTTTTACTCTTCTGAGTCCAAGTCGAGGGGGAATTGCAATATTTTGCTCTCTGGACCAAACGAGGTTGCACTAGATCACACAGATAAGTAGATGAACGGAATCATAGGTAAGGTCATACTGACATGCAGCGGGAACCAGATATACATATGGAAGAGATCTGACAGATCAGATGTGTGATGTATTTTTCGTGTTGAACAGCCAGGTACTTGCCTCTGAGGAGAGACTGAACTCTGGGCGCCAGTCATGCGAGGTGTGATACCCCGTGACTGGCTCGTCTCTACCAATGACTGACGAGTAAAACCATCCTCCAGTATCCCCTGCGAAACTGTGGACATTGTTATTGTAGGATACGGCCTTACCACGAATCCAGCCATTATGAATATGACTGCAAACAAGGTTGATGATGATGGTCGTACCTGGAAGGCGGTGATAGCGCAGGGTGCAAATGATAGAATGGACGATAATGCAACATGGGACGTCTGCGCTACTTGGAAGCATGATATCTGGCTGTGCGCCACAATGATGGAATTCACGAGCAGTAGTCATTTTAGGTATTGGTGAGCCCGAGACCTATACCAGAAAGAGGGACGTACTGCATCAACTTGTTTTTATGAGCAGTGCGGAAGCTGAACCTGGCATCTTCCCTTGCTCGCAAGAGAGAACGAGTTCGATGCCTTTTTAAGTTATAGGATTCCCCTGTAGCCTGAGGTGCTGCCAAAGATTGCGGCTTGGTTGGTGGATGTAAGGTGCTGGGGCCTACAACCTGAGGCCTCCGTGACGAAGCTAGGGGAAAGTAACGTTGTTTTTCTTCATCCCAGTATAATCCAGGTAGCTCTCGAGGCATATGTAGAACCGTTGAAGTCCGAAGCAGGCGTCAAAAAAAAACGCCAAAAGTTAAGCTGCGTCAATGATCGTAGAGCGCCTTACATAATACTCACTCTGGTTCAAAGACTAGCTATTATTAAGTCGGGCCTTGTTGTCGGCTCACTCCAACTCTCTTACCTTCTCTGACTACTTGTTCTGTTGTACAACTCGTAATATCTCCAAGCAGCAAAGCCACTAAACACCTCAGATCACGCTTAGGCAGCCTAGCTCATTTATTTGTGATCCGAGGACAAAACATGCTCTTATCCACCTTTCCCACCGTCGCCATTTTCCAGAACACTTTCGCAGGCTACCAAAACGAGACGCATATTGCTGCGGTTAGGTACGACCTGCCGCGCTTAGCGCCCACAGCTGCTGAAACTTGTTTTACTAGTAGCTGGGCGATAAAGTGTCAATGTGATAACACGGCAAATGATATCCCATGCTCTGCGCCAGAGGAGTCTCCGTTTCAGGTATGTGCAGTTCTCTTACACCAAAGAATTTCCTGTTATTGCTTTAGTGCTGCGGCTATGGGCGGTCTTTGAGGGCATTTATCACATGCGGCGCAGCTCCATGATGCATGTGCTGAACTATAATATGATTGCCTCGCTGCGACCTGATCACGTGCTTCTGCTAGCAACCAGCGCTGTCATGGAAGGTGACAGTTTCACGTCTTTATCATACTATAGTTCCTCCGTGGCATGGCATAGGAAAGTGCTCATCTGCATTTGTTCCCTCAGATCAACGAACCCTTTCCTTTCTCTCTGGATTTGTCTGCATCAATGACAGAAGACTCTTTGGACCTGCTCTCGTCTGAGCCCAAAATATCTTCGCCTTCGAAGAAGATCAGCTTGCTTCACGTCAACTTTCCTGCGAAACGACCTTCACTACAGTCGCTACTTACTCCACCGTTTTTCCAAACACCCACTTCTCCCTCAAGTAGCGCGTCTCGAGCTCGCTCCCTCTCAGCAGTCACGCTCACCCATAATGCCGCTTTCGGGGAAGATTCAAACATCCCTATCCCTGCTACGTCGTCTCCTTTACTGGATGAGGACCCCTTTGCCAACTTGCACTCGTCCTCTTCTGTAATTGCATCTTCAGAATGTCCGAGTGCATATCCCAACCCTTCTGTTGCATTGCATCCTCCGAGATCATCTACTGTACTACTTCCGTCGCAAGCATACCGTCAACATCATAATCCCAAACGTCCGAAGTCATCCAGTCACGGTCAAGTCCGTCCCGCTCACACTAGACCGGCAATCGCTTCTCGACCGTCATTACCCTCTTTGAAGACATTATCTCAAATGAATATTGGTATCCCACGCAAAGTACGTGTTTTGTAGTGTTGATGACGCTCGCATTAATGATTACCATCAGCCTCGTAAGGGAACCCCTGGCGCTCGATTACCACATGAACCATGGAATATGGAACCCACTCCCCATCTGGGTGCCACATCTGCTTCTTCTGCGGAACCACTTACGGGACCCTCCAAGCGGCAGCGTGCAGCTACTGTCCCGCAAACGCCAGCGCCTTTGGATACCAGACAGGACTTCACTCTCAGTTTAGAAGGCACCGCCTCACCGGCGAGTTCATCAACATCAGAGAAAATTGTTACAGATCCGGGTGACTCCGAGAGTAGCTTTCATTCCACCAATGGAAGACCAGCCTCAGTTCATCTTGATGATGCCGATATTGATTCCCTTCCGTCGCTTTCATTTACGGGGTCAGAGCCTCAGGCTTCTTCATCTTCACTCTCACGTTCCTCATCCACATCATCTTTACCGTGGTCCACATCTGCGACTGACCAAAATAGTATTTGTGTCAGCCACGCTCAGGGTTCGGAAATGTCTTTCGCCCACGAGGTCGATGGCATAGATGAAGATCATCCTCTCAGTTATCACTCTGATTTTGACTACTACACACAAGTGCACTCTGATCATTCGGAGTCAGAGTGGGACTTATCTTCGAAGGTCACATCTGCAACCCCTTACCCAGAAGTTACACCCACACCATACACCTCTTTTTACTCTCCTGAAACATCTTCGGACACACAGTCTTTTCACGCTATGCCTGGCATCCTGCACGACCAGCCCCAGAACAAGAAGAAGTCACATCCCTTACCAAGACTTGAAGATGCTCCACGTGACGGTGATAGCACACCTGAACAACGAGGCCCGCCCCCAGGGCGAGACCGTGATGAGGACAGACGGGGCCGTAAATACGGAGGAAGAGAGGAGGGGGGTCATTCTGGAAACCATGGTTCTGGAGGGTACGGTCACGAGGGTGGTGGGGATGGTGGGGACGGAGGGCGTAGACCAAGCACACGTTCACCAGCATGGAGTGACTCGGATTACAGTTCTTCTTCAGATGAGGGAGACAACGGTACCGTTTACTATAGTGTGGATGGACACTCCTCTCGGCCGCCATCCCGCACACGTTCCATCCACTCAAGGATGGTTTCATGTTCTGATGACGATGTACCACTCGCTCAAAGCATGCCCACGGCACTCACTGCCCAAAAGTCTATTCGAAGGCAATTGCGTGATGAGCGCCACCAACGGAAGATGCAGCGTGCGAAGGGCACTCGCGCAGTAATGCCGTCCGAACGACCTCCTGTTCCTGCCCTTCCTCCTACTGTCATACATGGTCGACAACGTTCTGCGTCCGTCACGCCCTCGCTTGCTCCATCAAGAGGCGAAAGGATTCGCGGCAAACCAGCTCCCCTCGAACCTTTCCCCGTCGATGATTTGGCGATGAAATTAGCAAACCTTCAAATGGCAACAGCTCCATCGACCGCGCCGCCTTCCTATAATGGTATTGCTTCTGCATCACTATCCACAAGGATACCTATTTCTGGTTCTGGTTCTGGTCCACGGATTCACGGTCCGCAAGCTGTGGACGAAATAGCGTTCCTCCAACATGTTCCAGCTCATACCACCGACAAACTTCCACAAGATCGGCAATTGAGATCCACACGATCGTTCCATCGTCCAGAGGGGCGAACGGTGGATACAGCTCAGCCACATCTAGAATCATCCTTATCGCAACGCCTCGGACGTAGACCGACGGCTACCTCGCGCAGACCAGAAGACCCGCTTGTGCGCCGGGGCAAGTCCGTTACCCGTCCATCCAGAGATGGTTTTGAGATTCGCAATGCCTCAGACCCGCTATTGAGGTCTGCCCGTCCAAGCGAGGATATTAGAAGACCAATACCAACAGTCCCTCGCGTTTCCGTAGATCAGGATGTCGAGCAGCGTGTTCTTCAACGCCCTCCCGTCGAGCCGATACATTTACGGTCTCAGCCCGTCCCTGTGCCAAAAGTACAGGTCACCCAGCAACGAGTCTTTATCGGAGATATGCAAAGATTCAACACGGTGGAGATCACTCCCAACACCAATGCTGGTGATGTCGTTGCCTTGATTGCAAATCAAGGATCGTTGGATGATACGGCAGTCTGGATGCTGTTCGAGCTTGCGAATGACTTTGGCATGGGTAGGCAGATCTTACATCTTCTGTGGACATCAAACGACTCACGCAATTGCAGAACGCCCTATCCGAAGTTACGAGCTACTATCAAATGTCACTGCTTCTTGGAACAAAGACAAACTTTTGAATGCCTTTGTGGTCAAACGCACCTACCTGGCTCCCTTCCTGAGCCGCTCCGTTAGTTTCTCGTTTGTTACCACCCGAAACCTATTGAACTGGTGGCATAGAACATACCCACAAGCTCACCCACCAACCGCGGATATATCGAATATGAGAGCAAGAAGGGCAAGTGGAGCAAACGTTGGATGGAGTTGCGAGAGCACAGCTTGTGGTTGGCCAAGCGCGACACGGTACGCTATCCTCTTCGGCCTCTCAAACCCGACTCAAAGCTTCTTTCAGGGAAAGGATGAGACTTTCCTGTGCTCACTCTCCAATTTCGACGCGTACTATATCACCAGAAAACGCAAGTCTCCTAAACCGTTTGTTTTTGCCATCAAATCTACTGACAACATCTCACTATTTGAGAATGTGTCGGACTATGTTCATATTTTGTCATGCAACCAAAAGGATGGCGAGAGATGGATGGAAGCCATTCTTGTAGCGCGAGTAAGCCTTTGTACCCGATTCCTCAAACCTGTTGTTCACCGCAGTTCTAGTCCTATGTTCTTTTCCAGGAACGACATGTCCTATTCGCAAAACCAGGGGAATCTACCTCGATCTCTAACAACCTATCTCGGTCTCAAACCAGAAAACAGTCCATCTCTACGCGCCCTAGTCAACCTCTCGTTAGTGTCTCAGCTCCATTCAGCGCATCAGCTACCGCCGTCACATTCGAACCTGGCTCTCTCCTGGCCAAACACAGAGGAGATGCCATGTCATGATGTGCTTTTATGTGTACTGAATATACCCACGCATCTATTATCCGTGTCATTGCATATTGTATATTGCAAGCTGTAACTACATACTTCTGTAGTCGTATTCAAAACAAATTTTGAAGTCATGATGATTAGCAAGAAGAGTAATAAGGAGCAAGTAAAAGTACACGAGTGTTTCAATCCGAAGATACCTTGGGTTTCTTCTTGGCGGGTTCATCCTCCTCACCTTCCTTAGGACCAGAAGCTTTGGGTTTCGGTTTCGGTTTTGGTTTCGGCTTGGGTTTCGGCTCCTCGTCCTGGTCAATATCCATGGCATCATCGTCCTGTTTCTTGGCTTTAGGCTTGGGCTTAGGTTTGGACGCTGTTTTCTTGGGTTTATCTTCATCGCCTGCGTCACTACCAGCTGCCTTGGCCTTGACCTTCTTCTTGGGTTTATTTTCATCATCGCCAGCATCACTACCGGCCGCTTTGGCCTTCGCTTTCTTCTTTGTTGGTTTGTCTTCGTCATCCCCTGCATCACTGCCAGTTGCCTTGCCCTTCGCCTTCTTCTTGGTCAACTTCTTCTTCTTTCCTTTCGCGGCATTCGCCAGCTCGCGATCTCCGCTAGCATCAGAGGCAGTAACACCGCCGTCAGAATCTGAGTCGCTTTCACTCGGTGAACCCTCGTCTGTGGACGAGGCCTGGAAGTCTTCATCTACAACACAAGAATGAGAGCTATCACATGACATAGAGAAAAATCCGCACCTTCTTCGCTATCCTCATCATCACCACCCAACCTTGGCTTGGGCATTTCGTCCCCACTACTCGCAACACTCTGCATTTCTTCATCAGAGGAGTCACCTACAGCAGCCAGCATGTCGACATCGGGCACCATCTCATTCTTCAACTTCACTTTCTTTTCCTTGAGGTAAGCCTCGACTGGCTCGTGTTCCTCTTTGTTGATCGACGTGAACGTGTACTCTGGGCCGCTCTTGGTCACAATCTTCAGATCGAATGTGCGGGCCGCAGTGGCACCCATGCTTGCACCAACTCGAGAGAAGACACATTGATGAATGTCAGATATTTCGATGAGAGTCGGCTGTTTGGAAACGAAGAAGATGTATTTCTCCAGCATGAACAAGTCGCCTTGCACGGCCTTGAGATTCGCTTTGATGCCTGGGTGACCATCGCGACTAAGACAGGAGTCAGCCATACTCTAAGCGCAAAATGACTTGCTCACCTTTTGAATGACCCTAGGCTGATGATCTTTTTCTTGGATAGAGCACGGAAAACACCCGAGACAACCTCAAAAGTGGGGTCTTCATAGTTCTTTTTCAGTCTGTCGTACTTCTCGATGTCTTCCCTGATTTGCATATGAGTCATGATCATGTTGTGAATATCGATGATTGGCTTACTCCGACATATTGAGCTCCGCTGTAGTCTCCTCTTCCCGAGCAAATTGCATAACAAGATAAGAATATCTCGTCTGTCCTTGCCGAATGGGCGTGCTCAATCCCAGCTATAATGATTTTAGTCAAAGGTCAAAATGAAGTAGATGTGACTTACAATGAAGAGTACGTGTTGATCATCTTTGGGTAGGAGAAATAATCGAGCAATGCTGGAATATAAAATTTTGTAGTCGTACGTCTTGCCACGAAGACGCAGGAAGTCAAGGAACATGTCAACGTCGTATCGTCCACGAGGGGTCAAGACGAGAACTTCTTCGAAACTCAGGACCAAGTCCCCAGAAACTTGACCAATGTCTGCTTTGTCTTTGATGGCGTCATGGAATGCCTGTGCTGCGCTCATTTCCTCTCCCTCTCCCTCCCTCTCTCCCTCCTCGTCATCGGATTTCTGCGAGCCAGCGTCCGACCCTCGGGCGCGAGCTTGCGTACCAGGGACATAGAAGCGAATCTCTACCATCTCATCTGGTGCGCTGCGAGAAGGTTTCTTTCCAGACGGTGTTGATGGGGCAAATTCTAGTGAAACTTCAGTGCGACCAGCGATGTTGGAGTTTGCTACTTGGCTCAGAGGGAGTTCAAAAGCCGTCTTGTTTGACACGAGGAATGCCAGATCTTGCCCTGGAATAGATGTTTGAGATTAAATAAAAAAGACTTGAAGCACGCCGCACCTTGGATGTCCGTTACACCCCAATTCCAGCCTTTGAATGTGACATCTCTGACTTCTAAGGTCACCCCAAAGTGCTGTTTGAGTAGCCCTGCGAGCTTGTCGTGATCCTGCAAGACTCCTTAATAGCAGTTCATTGCTGAAATCCTGCACCAACCTCCCGTAAGAAGCCATCAAAAGTTTCTCGCCGTCTGTCCTTCAAGCCTATTCGCAGCTGAAAGTTCCTTGCAACGCGACACCATTGCGCCCATTTGACTTCTGCAGACGGTATCGCAGTTACTGTATCATTCTCTTCGCCCTTCCAGGCCATTCCACTTGCTGCAACACGAAATTCTGGCAGGCACCATCAATACAGGATGTGAGATCAAGGGGAAGTCTCCTTACTCCCAACTTCAGATGAGAGGCCATAATAAATTTTATCGAACTGCGTCGTCGCCATAGCGGACAACAGAAGGTGCCAGAAAAGAAGGATAGTACTTGGATGGAATTATGCAACGTTGAGACTCGACGCGTTCAATATGACAAATCATCGAGATCGCGTCTTGAAGTGTGTTTCCATATATATAAGCGAACGCCCGAGTCGATATTATCATCATACTACTACTTTGGTCTACCCAGGCTGTTGTTCTCCACTAAGCATCTCTAGGAGTACGCCTTCACGTCGAGCAAATCAGCTGGCAACGCGATCTCTTTACATTTCAAGTGCTACTCACCAATACACAGTGAACTAGCTGTCCAGTGTCAACTGCAATGGATTCAACTCAAGAAAGAACCTTCTGCAAGTGGTGAGCTACCTGGCAGTACACTGCTGTTGATGGAATAGTTCATGTTGTTATCTAGGCTTAATACCAAACTTGAAGCAAATGGTTATCCACCCATGCACTCGCTCGTCCAAGACCTTTCGGACGGTGTGCGCTTAATCCAGCTCATGGTAAGAGGGACAATCGTCTTCTAGCTCGAGCAATCATGATTGATGCCTTGTCTTGCATAGGAAATAATGGGTAAGGTTGTATGTCATTTTAATTCTATATGGTGTGGATAGCTCGCGTGTTGTACAGGTGATACATCCCTCGGAAGATACAATAAGAACCCCCGGATGCGCGTCCAGAAGGCAGAGAATGTCAACAAAGCACTGGAATTCATACGACAACGCGGTATCAAGTTAACAAATATTGGCCCTGAAGGCACGTTGCACAGTTGGGTCTGAAGGAACTCAACCAAACCATTGGACTCTAGACATTATCGACGGCAACTTGAAACTGATCTTGGGTATGATCTGGACCTTGGTTTTGCGTTTTACCATCGCAGACATCAGGTAAGGCAACTCGTACAAGAAGATGCTTCGTTGAATGTGACTATTTCAGTGAGGAAGGCCTTTCGGCGAAGGAAGGCTTGCTACTTTGGGCTCAACGCAAAACTGCGCCGTACAAAGAAGTTGATGTACAAGACTTCTCCATAAGTTGGTCGGATGGGCTGGCGCTGTTAGTACACTCCCTGACTGCAATCTGCCTCTGACTTACTCTTACTCGTTCAGCTGTGCATTAATTCATTGCCATCGCCCCGAGCTCCTGGATTACGACAAACTTGACAAGGCATGTAGCAGTAGAAGCATTCGTAAATATCGTAGCTAACTGCGTTGTTCAGTCCGATCGACACGGTAACACTCGCCTGGCATTCCAAGTGGCCGCAGACCATCTTGATGTTCCAGTAAGCTCACATTAGGCAACACTTGCGGAGGTGCTTACTTTGCCTATGCAGCAACTTCTTGAGGTAGAGGACCTGTGTGATTCGATGCGTCCAGACGAACGCAGTGTCATGACCTATATTGCAAGCTATTTCCACGCCTTCTCAACGATGGGTACGTTAGAAATTAAAATTGCTGTCACATCATATACAACTAACTGCCTGGCTAGATCAAGCCGAAACTGTTTCCAGACGCGTCGAAAAATTTGCTGAACTGATGCAATCCGTTTGGATGAGCAAAAACGACTACGAGCGTCGAGCTCGCGCTGTGCGTCTACTTACATCGCTTACTTCTCATAGCTCACGCCTTCTTTGATTTCAATAGCTCCTACATGCACTTTCTGAGGTCCAAAAAACATGGTCAACTAGCCGTTTCACCGGCTCATATACGGATGCGAAAGAACAATCTGCTACTTTTACAACTTACAAACACACAACCAAACGTACATGGGTCATAGAGCGACAGGATGTCACTACACTCCTTGGCAACATACAAACGAAGCTTCGGACTTACGGGTTGAGAGAATACATTCCTCCTCTCGGTCTCGCGCTTTCGGTGGGTATTCGAGATGCAGTGTATTAATTTTGTGCCTGATTATATACATCGAGTTCTAGGACCTCGACGATGCTTGGAATGACCTGCTTCAATCTGAAGCGAAAAGGTCACGATTAATCAATGCACAGATACGACAGTCAGTCACACGTTTTACATCGCTCGTTATTGATGTTCAATGAGTTCAGGATAAAAGAGTCGTTGCGGAAAGAATTTGCGGATCTAGCTAATGATTTCTCGCAACGTCTACACACCATATCATTGGAACTCTCGGGTGTCGCGGGGCCGCTAGAGGTCTGTATCCAACTTGTACATAGACAAAGGCTTACGTATGATGATATAGACCCAGCAAGACCAGGTTAAAGAAATTCAAACCCGCCTGCCGACGTTATCGGAAGCCCTGACGCGCGTGGCAAAGGCAGAGCAAGACTGCGTCGTAGCAAACGTAGAAGAGAACGACTACACAGTGTTCACATGTCAAGACCTTGAGTTTGAACTAGGACTTGTGGCGCAAAGCCTTACGAAGAAGATATCTTTTATTGACAATCAGGTCAGCATCTCTTTGAGCACATCCTACTTGACTAAATGCAGTGCAGATTGTCTCCCGAAACATGACTAACCTAACACCTGCACAACTGGAGCAATTTGAGAGCACTTTCCGGTATTTCGACCGCGACGAGACCAACACGTTGAGCTTGACAGAGACGAGCGCAGCTCTCGCTAGCCAGGGTCTTGTGTACTCGGTGAGTGGATCATACACTGCATAGCTACGCTGCTCATCAAGCCATTGAACGATTAGGATGAAGACATGACTTATATTTACGACCAGCTGTTACAAGACTATGGCGCGGTCACTTTTGAAGCCTTCATCAATCTCTTGGTGAGCTGATTCTCCTTCGACATCAATGGCATTCTGACAGATGACTTGTAAAAGGTCGACATAACAGAGGATCAAACGTCACCAGAGCAACTGCGCGAATCATTCCGTGGAATCGCGGGTGACAAAGTGCGTGACTTTCACTTGGTGACTTGTGCGCTGATGAGATTCCTTTCTGCAGCCTTTTGTGACTGAACTCGATTTGCGCCTGGCTCAGTTACCCGTAAGTGCAGTCGACTACTTGAGTCAGGTGATACCGTCGACAAACAATGAGGTGGGAGAACCTGAGTATGACTATGAGACTTGGCTCCAGGACGTCTTTGCATAGTGTGAAACAATCCACCCCCGACTCTAGGGAGTGGAGAGAGCTTTGTGGAGTCACGAGGTTGGGCGGTGTTGGGCGTTTGAACTTTGAGCTTCCCTAACATTGTAGTTACTGTCAGCACACGAATTTAGAATCACGCAATACATCTGAACTCCACAGCATTGTAATCGTAGATCATTCCTGCTACTGACGTGCTGACGTGTCTTGTCTGGGTTAAGATGGCAGCTGAATCCTGAAATGCACAAGCCGTTCGCTGTTTTCACCATGTAGCCAAGGCAGTAGGACCCATATTAACCCGGTTTGATGTAGATCCAACGAAGAAAAGACAGCATTGTCAGTTAAAAGGAGACAGCGCATGCATTGCGTTACAGTGATATTGTATGCATTCAACGCAGTAGCGTAGGCCAAAAATGTTCATCTCGAACCAGTCACGGTCCGATTCGTTGGCTCAACTATTGACAGGGATTTATCTGTGACCAAAGACAGACTTTGGTTGATAAGGTTCCTCAAATACTTGCGCTCTTCCGGGGTCAGAGTGATACTGATGGCACCTTAATAAGACTCAGTTCAGACGTCTGCTCTTTGCTTACGAGACACATACCAAGGAGATCCTGCAGGTGCTTCAAAGACGTGGTCCCGACGATCGGCGCCGTGGCGATGTCTTGTGCCATCGACCAAGCAACGCATCCAACGCCGAACATCTACCATAATAATCAGGAGACATGAAGTGACAAAGACATAAATCAAACCTCGAGTGTCGGAAATATCTCTCGTTCCTCTTCGCGATAAACCAAATTGTGGTGGTTCTGCATAGAAATGAAAGTTGTGAGAGGGTTTGTGATCGCGTAGTCTAAACAGATCCGTGCAGTTAGATTTCGACTCGCTCACGCCAAAGATATGGATATGGTGTTACTTTGCATTGCCTGGACTGGAGCTGCATCAAGATCAGAAACATGACAGAATGGCTGTCAGAACGATCTTTAATCGAACACCGGGTCGGGACAAACACGACAGCATCAACATAATCAAGTTGCAAACGCTCTTGATGGATGCGAAAATATGCTATTTGTTGTGTCAGATCAGATAGTGCAACAAACCCACAGGAGCCAACATCCTCACCTTGCGACTCAAACCCCTTTGATTAACTTATCAGGACGTACACCTAGCTTGAAGAGCTTTCACTCGGGGTACGTCCGACGACTCTATAGACCTGAAAGATTATTTATCAAGACCTGCGAACTACCGATACGTCAGAGATATGACCTTTGTCATGACTACAATCTCATCCCGAGGTAAGCTGAGCTTTTTGATCGCATTTCCGAGTATGACATCAGAAAGTCCATTGGAGTATATCTAATCCTATAGATTAATAAATGCCTGAGGCGAAGAGGGGTTTCATCTCACGTCTGCGGCGTCAAAGGTATTGATGCCCACGTCATAACTTCAATATCGACGGTAAAGACACGGTTTGGCATTGAAGTCATGTTACAACAGTACTCACAAAGCTTTGATGTGGATGATGACTTCTTCCTCTCCAAGAACCCAATATTGCCACTCGCTAGTACCTATGTTGAAGACTCAGGTGACTTTAGTCATTCGCGCGAGTAAACGCTCTACACACCGCACTACATTGTTCCCATAAACGAACGACTGATAGTACCATACCATAAGGCATTCCCTTCTGTGTGGTCGACATACTGGCTGGGTTGGGGCAGTGAGGTTGTTCTGAGAGCTTAGAATAGGCTATAAAGACATTAGAACATTATCATCGAGGCGCAAAGGTCCGTTCACGGGATCTGACAGATATGATCGTCTTCAGCCAGTTTGCGGGATATTAAGTTCCATTAAAGTTACTTTGTCTGTGGATCGAATACAGCATCAGATCAATAAAATAATAGAGCATACTGGTCAGGCGATCGGATGCCAGCACAGAGTCTGTGTAGTCGCTGATGAGGCCTAGGAACCACATGCACTGTCAAGTCTGAATCTGTCGGGTCGTGTTGACGTTGAAATGTCACGGTAAGATGTAGCCTCGCCATCTTCCATGAATGATAATATAGTGCTTGATCTATGTATAATTCGATGTGACAAGCAAGGAACAAAATGATTCAACAAAGCCACCACCATAATTACTATTAGCGGAGTGTCAATTAGGTCACGACTGTTTGTTGGACTTGGTAAACAAGATAACCCAAAGGCCTTAAGCTTGTCATGGCACCTCATGCCTCCCCTTCTGTTGCCCCTCCAGATAGCCGACCTCCAAAACGACCTCGTTTATCCAAATCTACTCATCGCGTTCTTAATGTTTGGGCTCAGCTCGCCGAACGCTACAACAAACGTCTTGACGAAGATGATATTGTCGACCTCTACAGCGGCACCATAATCAGCGACAGAGGAGTACTAAAGAATGGAAAGGACTATGATTTTGGTCATTTTGCTTCCGATGATAGTCAGGATGACCCAGATCAGGAGCAGGAGCAGGAGCCCGGCGAGCAGGACCAGGATGATGACGTCGATGAATTGGACACTCTACCCGTTCGGCGCGCGCCCGACGGTACTATGGCATCAACTTCTGAGTTGCTTCGTGCCGTGCCACCTCTTTCAGCAACAACAGACGCTGACGATCTCAATGACTTTTTGGAGGCTGAAAAGAGACGGAGAGAGCTGTTGGGGGATGAGGACGGTGATGATGACTTGTCTGTGGAAGAACTAGCTGCGCTACGAGAGGCTTTACACGAGTCAGAGGAAGATGAAGAACAGCCGAAGACCGTTGATACAGCAGCCATAGAAGACGAGTCCGAGGATGAACTTAATAGCATATGGCAGCACGACGAGGCTAGTGCTGTGTACCACATCCCCCGCAATGAATCTAAACAGGATTCTGCGGAAGGTGAGCAAAAAGTCTTAGAGTTCGCTGATTCTGACGAGGAGTTTGCCGCGCTCCTCGAGCGACCCCCGCAAGCTGGAAAGCGAAAGCGAAACTCTTCACCACCATTTTCTCTACGAGGATCTTCTCCATCTTCACATCGTTATACATCATCTGAAAGCACTCTAGGTAATGTAGCTACCTTCATAGTCTGCACAATCGCTTACCAACGGTCTACTCTGCAGTACCTGATACACCTTCGACTACAGCAAGCACCCGTTTTGCGTCTCGTACGCCGCAGACTCAAGTCTACCCCTTTGCCACCCCCTCCATTGATCTCACCCAACCATCACTGCGGACTCAAATCTACCCTTTCGCCATCCCCTCCATTGATCCCACTCAACCATCACCGCGGACTCAAGTTTATCCTTTTACCACCCCCTCCATCGCTCCCACTCAACCATCACCGCGGACTCAAGTTTACCCTTTTGCCACTCCCTCCATCGATCCCACTCAACCACCACAACTCCTTCTCTACCAGGCGATGCACCAACTATCATATGCTTTGTCCGCCACGATGTCGACATATGGCTCACCTCGAATGCCTCCGCCATCGACAGGTCCGTGGGGTGCGTACCCCCTAGGTTTTGCGCATCCTTGGGGGCCACAAGGGACGTCTGAAGCATCGCACTCTTTTAAGCTGGACGATAATGTACATGACGATGAACGGCCAGACGATGAAAGTACACTCGTGAACCATGATGGTGGTGCACTAGAGAATGGCAGAAGGCGGAGGCGGTCCACAAGTCCTATAGGTTCAAGGAGGGATGCGAGGAAGATTGAGCGCCGGAAGTCTACCCGATTTTATGACGAAAAATATCAGGAACAGCGTATCGTGTCGAAGGGACCAACACCTGGTACTCCATCTCCTACCCGTAGTCTTACGGGGTCCACTAGCACGAACAAGAAGAAGGGGAAGGCAAAACGCAAGTCGTAAGCTGTATGATCTTCATCCCGTTGTGTATTTAAGCAGTATGTATTGGACATCTTGGGTATGAAGAAAAACTATTAAAATCTGTTGTACTATTGGTATCTATTTTTGCTACCTTCATCATATACCCTCATAGATGGTGATCAAGATTGATACAGACTCATGTAGTAGTAGGAGAACCGATGAGGTCTTTAGCGTATCAATACCCACACTTGTCTGTCAAGTGGCATCTAATAGATAGGCGTACACACGTGCGTATGATATGTTTGGCTTACATTGTTTTTGCATTGTTTAGACTTTGGCTTCAAGACAAGATCAGCCTTATCCAACTTCCAATTTTATTCCTTACTCTTACGCCAGATTCCCGGTGTACGATGGTGCAAGGTATAATAGGAAGTGTAAGGGCGCTGAGTTCTTGCCACTATCCGGGGGTGACTTCTGACGAATGAAATTGATCTTTGCAGGAGCTTGTTAAGCTTATCAAGAGCGGCAAAGTCCCAGACAAAGGTGTCGCTGGTTCCAACTACAAGATCAGGGTCATCGTTGACCTGATAGTAACATAGATTACCTTATCGTAGACGTTAGAGACGATGATTGGAAGGGAGGAAATATCAAAGGCTCCCGGAATCATCCATCTCAAAGATTCTTGTTGGAGGTCGATGACCTTATCGAGCGGACGAAGGATGTACCGATTACGATCTTCCATTGTGCACTGAGTCAGGAGCGGTATGGATAGTCCACCTGATCTTCCCAATACTTATTCACCGCCTCTTGGACAGTGGGCCAAAGGCAGCCAGAGTACGTTCATTCCTCGAAGCGATCGCGTCATAAAAATTGAGAACAGAACAGATTTACGAAGAAACTCGCAACGCTTTGCATGATACGGATCACACTGTGTACGTCCTTCAAGGGGGGTTCGTCCAATTCGGGCAGTCGTACAAGGTAACGTTGCATCGTTGATTTCAATCAGAACCCACCACCAATCAGATATTTAAGGACGATCCAGAGTTGGTGGAAAACTGGAGAGAGATCATTTGGTAGAATCAGCTAGGGTCCTGTGTCGAGGAATTCTGTTCCAAAAGGGTTAGTGCTTCCCTTTATTATGCTTCTCAGCTTCCACCGCTTTCGTCTATCGTGTTGTCTTTCTGCTTGATGAAGCGTTTTGGCATCTCTTCAACAACCTTTTGGAGCTTACGTCGCTCTGCTTCAATATTCCTCTGGCAGACAGTCCTTTGCAAGTCGATCAGTGGGAATATTTGGTGCGAATTTACTCAGAGAACATACCACGTGCCCAAGGAGACAACCATAAAAGTCCCTACTGCCCAGTGTGATCCGACGAGAAACCCTGGACGAATGACGTTGATAACAGTCAGTATAAACTAGCAGATAACGCACCAGCACTCATTATACGAATGACTCCTACTCCAACACCACTGGCGATACCACTCATAAGACTGTTCCGAGCACATGGCATCTCTCCAAGACGTTGAAAATCATCAGCTATTGATATGCGCTAGCTTCGCAAAGTGTTCAGTTGCATAAGGGTTGATACCTGGCGAAGGCGCACCTTGAAAGCTTCTCGCGCATCATGCCAAAAGTTACCAGTTGATTCAACCCTGTAGACGGGTCTGCGGGATTCGGAAGGTTGACTTGATGCAACTTGCGTTCCCTCTACAGAGTCAGAAGACATGACGAACGCTAAATATTACTAGGTTATAGGCTTACTATAGCTGCAACTTCGGCTTACAGCCGATTCAGAAGCCGCTGGACTTCTCACGGCTAGTTCCGCCCAGAAAAGCCAGTTCGTTCCGCCTTCTCCCTTTTCCTTCAGTTCACGTCTACATCATGTCTCTCCCTCAACCAGTTCCCCCCTCATGGAAGGTATGATGCATGTCGCGACTGCCTGCGGTATTTTGGAACTTAAAGTGTTTGAATACAGGACCTCGGAAAGTCCTCTAACGACTTGTTGGGGAAGGACTATCCTTTCCATGGCACATCTCTGGAGGTCAAGACCAAAACGCCATCCAATGTCGCGTTTAAAGTTGGTGGAAACAGGGACTCGAAATCTGGCGCCATTGCCGGGGACATCGAGGCCAAGTACACCGACAAGAAGAATGGCCTGGTTTTCACCGAGACGTGGACCACTTCTAACGCTCTCAAATCTCAGCTCGAGCTCGAGAACTACCTTGCCAAAGGCCTCAAGCTTGATATCGCTACGTCATTGACGCCCGACAAGGGCCAAAAATCAGCCTTGCTTAACGTGATCTACAAACAGTCTGGCGTCCACACCCGTGGCGCATTCGACGTGTTCAAGGTTCGGCGACGTTGAATTCCGTTGTTCTCCGTCTAATGTCAAGGAAATATTAGGGCCCCACCTTCACCACTGACACTGTCTTCGGTCGCGACGGCTTCTTGTTTGGCGCTGAGACTGCGTACAACGTCACCGAGGGTAAGATTACTCGGTATGCCGCTGCCATCGGTTATAACGCTCCCGAATACGCTGTGACTGTTCACGGTCTCAACAACCTCAAAACTTTCACTGCGAGCTACTACCACCGTGTCAGCGCTGATGTCGAGGCTGGTGCTAAGGCTGTTTACGACACCAAGGCAACGACTTCAGGTGTTGCTCTTGAGGTGGGCACTAAGGCGTAAGTTTAGGACCACATGGTGTTGGCATGGTTGGTTGGAAATTCGCTGAACCCATTACGTATAGGTACCTTGATTCAGCTGCTTTCGTCAAGGCAAAGATCAACAACTCCGGTGTTCTCGCCCTTGGTAAGCCACTGCAGCTCTAATGATTGAGCGTTCTCTGACGACATTGGCAGGCTACACACAGGCCCTCCGTCCTGGTGTTAAGGCTTCCTTCGGTCTTGCCCTGGACACTCAACGCTTGAACGAAATCAGCCCCACTGGCCCAACTCACAAGGTACGCCCTTCATCATGCTCTAGTCTGAGTATTGATCATGACTGTCCATCTAGGTCGGAGCTAACATCGTGTTTGAGTCGTAAAACTACGGCAATTCTATAGCTAGTTGTGCCATTCCGCATCATTAATGACATTATCGCACTACGTATTGCCAAGTAATGCAATGTATTGCTTAGCCTATACTTACACTCGAACAAAATGATGGTTGCTATTAAATCGAACTTTGCAACCAAGAGTTGATGATGCACCCTGTGCTGGTACCTGGGTGCATAATGTTATGAATTGATGCGAGGGGGTGCTCCTGAAACGGCTGGTCTTAGGATAAGTCTGCAGATGTGCAGATTTCAGGTCTACATCTGGGTATAAGTTACATTTAATAGTGGGACTCAAAGTAGATTTTGAAACTCACTAAAGCTTCAAAAAAACTTGCTAAAGTTTCAGAATACTCAGCCAGAAAGCCACCAAAACACATGGCACACAGCAGCATCAGAGTGAACTTGGAAATGACACTTGTTATTTTTTGAGGCATCTACAACAAAAATATGTAGATATAGCTATGTATTTAATGAGCAAGGGAAATTACATGAGACACAACAAAACAGAAATCCACAGACATGCACATATGTGAAGTGGTTTGTTGTAGGCAACTGCATGGGTATACCCCCAGGTACCAGCAGTCAAACCCGTACCTGTACCCCAACTGTGGGTATGGGTTTTGCAATGGGTATCTGCAAAATGGACCCGGGGTATGACCTGTGGAGGGTATACCTGCAGGTATCAATCAATTATGTACCTACGAGATAACAAAAGTAGTAGTTAGTCAGTCTGCACTATTGATATACTGTCCCATCCATCATCCATAGCTTCGTCTTCTCCCACAACGTCTGGAAGTTTTGATACCTTAATCACATCCTCAGACTCAACAAGGCCCAACTCGCTTCATTGGCCGAGAGTCCTAGGGATCAGCAGGGGTATGGGTAACCCCTGGGGGTCATGGGTAGGGGTACCTAGGGGTATGGGTATGGGTAGGGATCTTGGGACCCATGAACCCGTGGACCAAACATGGTACCCTTGGACCAAATACAGGACCCTCGGACCATGGGTCCATAGATTGTATATATAACTGTACAGTACCACATGATCAATACACATTACAAATTAACAAAGGCTGATAACGAGTCTAATTCAACTATATCCACTCAGTGCCCGCCTATCAACAAATGTTACCTAAACAAACCACCAAGCCCACTGAGAAGGCACTTGCTATGGCCGCAGAAGGCAATCAAGCAAAATGAAAAACTACAGATAAGGCTCCTGCTTCCACGGTCACATCGAAATGGCCTAAGGTGATGGCATCCATGGAGATAGAGCCTAGCAATAGTACATCATCAACACGGAGTTATCGAGCTAGTGTATAGACAGAAGAAGAAGACGAGGCAGCTCACCATGTTGCAGACACCATTGTAATTGAATCTGATGCTGATAATGAAGATGCAGAGAGTTCTAAAGAGGATCCATCAGAATCATCAGACACTGAGCTAGGTATGTACTTATGAAACATGTCATGCAAAATCTAATGATAGATGAATGCAGAGAGACTTATGCAAGATTGGACATCACCAATCTATGCCTTTTTCGAGCCAATACCAGCAATTGAGTACCACGACAGGTGCCGATGCCATGTCTTTAAATGTGCTGCGCATGGCTGCAAACACAAAGTCTGATGATACCTTGATAAAAAAGATGCAAAATCAACTGGCAATATGTGAAAGCATGTCAAGAGTTGTTGGGGAGAACCTGCCTTACAATCAGCAATGGCTTCAGGAAACACCGAGGCTGCATGTGAAGGGCCTATCAAGAGCCTACTTGAAACTGGATCAATCAGAACTTCCTTCACACGAAAAGGAAAGGGAAAGGTTACCTATTCACACCGTCAGCATACATGTGCTGAGACCAGGTACGTCTCGAGCAAGCACAGTAGACACCTCTGATACCATATAACCAGGGCAGAGGTTGTGCGTTGGGTGTCCAAGAGCCTGCGACCGTTCAAAATTGTCAATGATCGTGGTTTCAATGCCCTAATGAAGACTGGGCGTCCAGAGTATTACTTACCATCACCTTCAACTGTCTCACGCGACATCAAACAAGTGTTCATAAAAACACGCAAACATATAGCAAACATGTTACAAGTAAGTTAAACTTAGCACAGGATAAGACAAACTAAAATGCTCACCAGAACTATGATGGCAAGCTTAATTTCGCAACTGATGCCTGGACCTCCCCGAATCATCGTGCATTTGTGGCTATATCAGTCCATCTGGAGCATGAAGGTCAGCCTCTAGCTATGATTCTTGACATTGTTGAAGTTTCAAAGGTAAAAAAACTTACTGTTAATTGAAATCATGCTGACAGGCACACGCAGTCGCACACTGGTGCTAATTTGGCGGAGGCATTCGCAAATGTCCTAGAACAGTTCGGAATCTCAGACAAGGTAAAAAAAAATTCATTATCAGTTCAAGGAATAACTCACCAGTGGCATGGCACACAGATACTCAGTGTGACAGCAGACAACGCATCATCAAATGATACTCTTGTGACAGAACTTGTAGATCTGGTGCCCCACTTTGCGGGTCAGGCAAGTCGCACACAATGTTTCTTGCATATCATCAATCTTGTTGCTAAGTCCCTGTTACGTGAGTTTGACACCTCAAAAAATAAGGCTGGAGAGGGTGGAGAGAGAGACGAAGATTTGGATGGACTTACTAGGAATATTGAACTTGAGGACTTGCAGACACAGGTCGAAGACCCCAACAAAGACACTGAGAATGACGATAATGACAATGGGTGGGTAAATGAAGAGACACTGCTGAATCACAATGAGCGCTTGGAGTTGGCAGCCAATATTTGGCCAATTAGACTGCTACTCGTAAAGGTAACAACAAAATACTCACCTGTGGTGTATACTAATACTCATTGCAGCTCTGAAAACTCGCCTTCAAGATCGTTCACTCAACAACAATCCTCCTTCCTGCGTGGAAAGGCATTCTTGAAGACTTGAAGCTTGCACAGCGAATCATGCCAAGGGATGTTTCAACACATTGGAATTCAACATTTGATATGTTGAACTTTGCGTTGGAGTACCGAAATGCGATCGACGTCATCGTTGACAAGCAAAAGTTGGGTCTCAAGGAATATGCGTTGGAAGATGATGAGTGGATGCTTGTGAAACAACTGCATGATGTGTTGAAGGTATGTGGTCACATGACACTAGTAACACATGCTGACATAACAGTCACAGATACTCAAGGATGCGACACTTTACTTCTCACGAGCGACCCCAAACCTTGCGATGGTCATCCCAGCCATGGATCATATCGACAACGTTTTCACCAACTGCATCGTTCAGAACGACCACCTTGATCCCGCCATCAGCACAGCTCTTGGACTTGCAAAGCGAACTCTAAACCGCTATTACTCATGTTCTGACTCCTCTGAAGTGTATCACATTGCTATGGGTATGTCTTTTGTTTTTATGTTGTTTTCTAGTCTAAATCTAATTATTTTGTAGTCCTCCATCCCTGGCACAAGCTGTCATATTTTCGGTCTGCCGGCTGGCAGCAGGACTGGATCGACACAGCTGAAAACATTGTTCACACAGAATTCAAGCGTTATGCGTCTCACTTGCCGGTCCCTACTAATAACAATGCTAATCCACCACCGGCGGTATCAGAGGTTGATGAGGTGCGTGCTACTAACATAATTTCCATTATCACAACTAACATCAACCCTCAGGACGCAAATATCTTCGACCGTTTACCCACACTTGCCCATCCCAAGTCCACTAGTACATCTGCTGAGGAACTCAATGGTTACCTCAATGCAGACATTGAGGATGTTTCGGATCCGATAGCATGGTGGCGTGGGCACCGAAAGACTTACCCGCGACTCTCTCGAATGGCATTAGACTACCTCACTATCCCTGGTATGTTTTTATTTTAGCACTAGTATATTCTCTGACATTAATGATTCTAGCAACCTCCGTTGACGTCGAGCGTATTTTCAGCCGTGGGCGCTTACTTCTCTCCCATGTCCGAAGCCATCTCTCTGCACAGACTACACATGCGCTCCTTTGCGTTGGGCTATGGAGCCAACTAGGATTGGTGAAGGATCATGACATCCAGTCAACTGCTAGCTTGCCTGATATCGAAGCCGAGGAGGAGCTGCAGGATGGGTGGGATAGTATTATACTAGGGTAATTTACATGATGTATTCTCGTTGCATACAATTTAGTTCCGCGGGTACATGTGTACCCACCATACCCTTGACCCACGCTGTATCCTTCCAGCTACCCATACCCCACGAGAGCCATGGGTATAAGGGTATGGGTATCTTGCAGGTATGGGTATGGGTTGGTGGCTGCACACCTGCGGGTTTACCCCTGCTGATCCCTAGCCGAGACAAAGAAGTGCGCATGATGACTGTGCCGAAGACGACTTCTGACATGCGTCAGGATGAGGCGGCCATGACTGAACAGTTGTTTGACATCCACAGATGTTGCTGTGGCCAAATATAAGCCTACAGCGTGTCAAAAAAATTAGTTACATACCAGGGATGGTTAGGTAGTCAATAGCCATGCATGAAAGCCAGGGGAAAGACTTCTGACGTTCAAGCCACCAACCAATAGGGTCAGTGATGTGTTCAATGTCCATGAGTCTATACTGTCATAATCATACATTAAATATACTGTAGTTATCAGTAAATTGCCATACATCAATCATTGTTGTCACTACTGACAAGCAAGTAATGTATGATGACGTGGATCCCTACTTTGATGACCAGCTGGTGATATATCACTGATGTATTACTCTTCTTAGGACATGGGCAGTAATGTATCACTCTCATTACCCTCAAAAATAGGACAGGGTTATATTTGGTAATTGTTGTTATGATTGTTGTTACCACTGACAAGCAAGTAATGTATGATGATGTGGATCCCTACTTTGATGACCAGCTGGTGTTATATCACTAATATATTACTCTTCTTAGGACATGGGCAGTAATGTATCACTCTCATTACCCTCAAAAATAGGACAGGGTTATATTTGGTACCCTTTGATGCTTGTCACATAGCTTCCTCGTGCCTACATTGCCTTCCTGTGCCTTTTGTTACCTTCTATTACCTACTTTGAAAGAAGCAGAAAGCATGGAAGTGTCATGCTTGGGCTAAATATATAAACTTAAAGTAAATTAATGACTAAGTCCAACCAACCATCACGTGACAATCAATAGTCCCGCCACCAAGTTCTGAATCCAACCAGCCATCACGTGACATACAATCATTTTTTACCAAGTCCCATTATCTGTCACTCCTCGAGCTCATCTGTTTCCGAGTCATGCGACCGATTGCACCATTGGATAGTTCTCAAGTATCACTATCCTCTTAATTTTCACAAGATTTTAGTATTAAGTAATTAGCACGTATTATGACATTCTATCAATTTAAATTGAGAGTGATAGGGCTGCAACAAGAGATGAGGGAAATGATGTTAACAAGACTCACAAGGATAGAAACAGTGGGAATGGTAAGGATCAAGACTCAAGAGGTAGTGTATTGCAAGAATGGGGTCACAAGGATAGAAACAATGGGAATGGTAAGGATCATGAGGTACATGTATCGCAAGAATGGGCTCAGAGAGTGGCAGGGACAAGTCAAACACATTGCTTTCTAATGGTTGTTATTAAGTACAGCACTGATATATCACTCACTTTGCAGGTGCTCCATGTGCGAGAGACTTTGGCTGCTTCTTCGATGTTGAGTTCTCTTTCCCAATGTTCCTGCTGCCGATGGAGTTGGCAACCTCATTGTGGGTTGACTCCTTGTGCTCTCATTTTGATCGTCCGAGTACAAGGGACTTGTGTTGTTGACAGTTTACCTGTGGGCCTTCCACAGCTCCCTTGGAGGCAGCATGTTCTTCTGAAGGCTGCATAAGATTTTGAGGTGGCTGGACACTAGGAAGTACAGGCATGGGGTGTGGGAGAAGTAGAGGCTGATTGACAGTAGGAAGTGCAGATGGCGTAGATGTAGCATCAACCAGCTCGACAATAGGAAGTGCAGGTGTCTTGGATGTGACAGGTTCTGCTGTTGCCACGGAAATGGGAGTTACTGCTGGTGTCTTGACGACAGGAAGTGCAGACGTCTCGGACATGGTATGTTGAATGGGAGTTAATGCTGGTGTATTGATGACAGGAAGCACAGACAATGTAGATGTTGCATTACCCAGCACAACAATAGCAAGTGCAGGAGTCTTGGATGTGATATGTAATGCTGGTGCCACAGAAGTGGGAAGTGGCGCTGGTGTCTCGGATGCAAGAGTTCCTGCTGGTGTGATGGATGGGTGAAGTGAGACGCTGCTGGTAGGTATGACTGGCTGGTTAGAAGGCAGACCTGGCCAATTTGGATATAATGGCGCATCCAACAAGTCTGTTAACCCCAAAGTGGATGAGGAATTTGCTGTGGGAGTATATCCCTGTGACAAGGGAAGGATGAGTCTGTTATGGAACAACACAGAGTCGAATAACTCCAAGCTTGGTGAATTTGCTGTGGGAGGTGTATATCCCTCTGGCATAGGAAGGATGGGTCCATTATTCTTGAACAACGGTGCTGGACCAGAGGTTTCAAGAGTAGAGAAGACATCATATGGCTGGTCATTGAATAGTCTCGGCAGAGGGAGTGATGTATCATTGGTTGTGATGAAGTCAATTGGCGTTAAGGTGGTGATAGTGGTGTCTTTGAAAGATTGATGAGCGGGCTTGGACAGTGAGGGTCCTGGACTTGGAGTTCCCTTCCATGCTGCATCAGCTGCACAGAACAATCAATTGTCATGTGTTACAAGTTGTGAACTCGGTACTCACAAAAGGCATGCTTTGTGAATTCTGCATATGTGTCATATCCCGTAGTTCCGGACCTACATCCGACAATATTCCCATGCCTCATCCAGACCTTCGGATGCCCTATCCATGTCTCCAGTCCTCTATCCATCCGGATCCCTGCACCTCTGCACATCCACATCCAGATCCCTTTACCTCTGTACATCAGACCTCCATACCTCCGCAGCTAGCCTGCATCATTCATCCTTTGTCCTATCGCCCTAATGTCATATCCCGTATATGCACACTTCTTGTCCGGACCTCCGATCTGATCCGGTCCGATCTGATATCCGATAAGCTTCGTAATTCATTTCCTGTTCATATAACGTTAAACACAGCCTATTCGGTATTTCCTCTTCCCGGTGTCTTGGTTATACTTATTACCGGTATGATTACTGATCCATTAACCTATGCTTCATTTCCGACTCGCGCTTGATAACTTTGCTTATGCTTCATACATAGCCTCGGACTCTTGCTTACTGATCTTTCTGTTATTTCCTTAGTATATAAACTCTTGTATATGCCCTGTAGTTCCTCAGTCTGAATATCATATTAGTCCTCGCACTAGATCTCACTCTAAGTCCTCATATCAGTTCTAGTCTTCCGACTTAGCCAATATCCATCTCAGGCCTAGGGAGAAATTCCCTAGGCCAGAGCTCCGCTTATCTGATCCTCCGAAGTTTCTGGACATTCGTCCAAAACTTTCCCATGGTCCTCCGGACCTATTCTGCTTCGGACTTTGTCCTTGCAGCCTTTCCTCTGTTTGCTTCTACTTAGGACTTGTCCTAAGTAGCCATTACACATATCTGTATCAGGACAAAACCTCATTGTAATTTCCGGAAGTTCCTCCGGAACTTTCCTGCACTCGTCTGGAAGTTACTTGCACTCGTCCGGAAAGTCCTTCCAAACTTTCCCACGCTTCGGATGTCCTTCAGACGTCCTTGGACTTTCTTCAGACATCATTCTGAAATTAAGGGCACATACTCGGGTAAGGGGCGCAGCGCACGAGCTGAAGCCAAGCCCCTCAGAATCAGTCCTACCCTTTGTGCACGGTCTTAACAATATGGCTTCATAATGCATTCATTAAAATCCGAGTAAGCAAGATTGAATGTGTTTCCCATCGCTGTTTGCCCCACATGAAAACTCTCAACCTGAATTTTCCCACCCATACCTGGAGAAGGCCTGCCCATCAACACAGAAAAGGCCCAGCCTGTCTGTTTTGCCAGTTCCGAAAATATATCAGCTAGAACATTGGGTAATTTTTCAATATTCCTGGAAGACAGTAAGTTCTGCAATCAACTAACAACACATAGATGAGACTTACTTGGAGAAAGAAATATCATCATCCTCGCTCAAAGTCTTCTTGTGATTTTCGCGCATTTTGCTCCACTGCTTGACAAAATCAGCTACCTCAGCCTTGATCTTGGGGGTCTCATTTGCAAATAGAGCACGAGTGTGCTTCTTGACAAGAAATAGCCTGGTTTTCTTAGGCAACACCTGTTTCATATCACTTCCAACAGTGCTAGTTTTGTTGTCCTCTTCGTCTGATGTCATTGGACTCAGGCCAGCTTCCTGTTTGAGGACCTTCATCTCTGCATCAATGACAGGTTTGATATGTGTTTTGTAGTATAACTTGGAGTAAGCCTCAGCAGGCTGTAAGGTGTGTGTTCCTTTGAGGCTTGATTGACTTGTTAACATTTTTTCAACAGCACTCGTAGTCTGCACTTTCAGCTTGCACTTGACAGTGTAATTGCCATACACATTATGGAAGCGATGCATTAGTTGCTAAAGGTCAGACAGTTAGTATTTCAATCCATGCTCATGCTTATGGTACATACTTTTTTGCGTGCATCCACCATACTGGCATTGATGACTTTTTGTTCCGGTGTGAGATCTACATTGAGGGGGACATCAAGGAAAAGGTGCTCCCTCTCTGGCCATCTGGCATGATAATCTTCGAAAAAGGAGCCCAGAACAGAGTATAATCTCCTACTGCCTGGCACTCGAGGTATTTTTCTCGATACTCCTGCATCATTTCAACTTGCTTGGCCATGAACTTGGAGCGAGGAGCCATTCTAAATTGTATTCATATTTTCAAAAACAATAGATGCAACAAATTTGTCTCGTACCTTGGTTATCTATCGACTGTTCATGCAGGACAAATAAGTGCAAGGTGTCTTGCAATGTATGAGCCTGACAAGAGATGCGTCTAGCAATGTATGGCCCTTGCAAGAGATGTAGATGGTCATCCACACACAAAAAGGAAGTATAAATCTCACTAGATTGAATCCTAAGGTTAGAGATCTGAGATCACATATTGATGGGCATGAAGGCTAACTACTGCAAAAAGATGGTCAATGTCAATATTAGCCTGCATCATGACAGAAATGGTATGGGCAAATCATGAAGACAGCAGAAGCAGCAATCCCGGCATGTACTTATGTGTCCCAATGCAGCAATCACTTGCGCCAAGGGTCAACATCGACTCAGCAACTCGGAAAAGCAAAGGCTGGCCCACATAATGATTGAGCAAGATGGTGGAGTAAGAAGGGGACAGACAAAGCGACATTCAGACTATGCATGTGTATAATTTTGGAGTTCAACACCGTCACAGTAAATTCAAATCAGTCACATGCTATCACCATGACTGAAATAACAAATCCATCTGATCATACATCACTGCCAGTTCAGCAATACCAGAGAGACTGTAAATGTAAACTTCCTCCAATCCACTCAGGAGATTACTAATGTCCCTGCTTGTGACCTCAGCTTGCACCAGCTTTGGTCCCACACCATGGTACTGCAGGATTCCACCTTCCTCGATACGAGCATCTTTCTCGAGTCTTTGGAGTTTACTGATGGAAGAGCGAATGTCCTCGATATCGGTCGTATTGTCAGTGCGCCCCAGTAATGTGAGGCAGACAGTATCAAGGTAGTCATATATCACTACATCTGGCCCACCAATAAAAGTAGTAAGCTGACTCTTGATACGTGAGGTTGGTGAGATATATCTAGAACAAAATTCAAGCAATTGTCAGTGGAAGACAAGAGAAAACAAGCTACCGTTGTCTCTTTTGGGAGCCATTTGGTAGCCCTGTGTTGGTGTCATTCCCAACAGGAGATTTGGAGATCAATATCTCCGAAGCATTGGTGCCTTCTGAATCACCGTTGAGCAGGTCTTGTGACCTGCTGCATGATATTAAACTCGAAAAAATGATTATTGAGAGCATTTGACTTACCTGCATTTATGTTGAAGATAACACTCTTTGTTTTTGAGGCAGAACTCTTCATGGTTCCTGGAACAGTGGAAGCATGGCAAAAGCAACATAATGAGATGGCATGCATAGACTTGGATGCTGTAGATATCACGTACCTTTGATAATAATTGCATCAGTATGCACGAGCAGCCTCTGCTCCTTGAGACTGTGATACAAATGAGGTCACCCCATGACATTGTGTTTTAGGTGCTAAGTGAGTTATGTGGGGTTAGTCTAACTCGATCGATACATGTGGCATACTTCATTTGGCATGCACACCTTGAAGTAATGCGAGTTTTATGCACCGGTTACCATTAACTATCCATAATCCCTGCAACTACCCACTTGCTATTTGGTCTTATTCTGTCAAGTACCTCTTAAGCACTTTCCCTGAAATATAGTTGATTGTGTTCAATGACTATCACCCTCGCAAATGTGCCAAAGTCAATATTAATATGAGTTTTATATGGTGCTGGATCAGTTCAAATATTATACACACATAAAACTCTCACACACATACATATGACACACACACAGATGCTGAACACACACAAAGGTCTTGTATTGCAGAAAATTCAGTAATCTTTAAGTCTACTATGTTCTAGCTAAGGCATCTTGAATCATTAGGCTGCTGCAGCCCTGGCAAATATCGCACCCTCGATGAGTTTGTAATAGGCAACAGAACTGACAACAGAATTTATATGATTATGTAATATGATGTAGCTACATTACATCATATTACATAATCATATAAATTCTGTTGTCAGTTCTGTGCGATATGTGTCATATGTATGTGTGTGTGAGAGTTGGTGAGAGTTTCGTGTGTGTATAATATTTGAACTGATCCAGCACCATAGTTTTATGTAACGCCACATACACACTTTCAACTACGAAATAGACAACTAACCATTCGCAATGACAATGGACACTCACACTTAGCTATCCTCAAGATCAGTGCGAGATCTCTGCTTGTGTTCAACTTACAGCCTGGCGCGCATGACTTAGGCAATGATTATCATAAACACAGCATCAAGATAATTTCAATGGCTCAGTTCACAACACAACACTACATTGACGTGAGATACTATGGATGCTGAGCAGATACAATACACCCATTTACATCCACATAGCAGTGCCAGCATCAATTGCAGCTATGAGAGCCTCAATGCCCTGATTAATATTCTCTACCTTACCAACAATAGCATGGCTCACACCCAAGACCTTGGGACCAACATTACCCCTGCCGGAGAGCACATAAGTCAAGGTCATTACCCAAACAAAAAACCATACCATCCTGAGAACACACCAATTTTACGGCCCCTTGTGATGTAGTACAGATGGTTCACAGCGTCACTGGAAACAGTGACATTGAAGTATACATGCTTATATGTGTTGAGCATACAACCTTCTGCGATTGCATCATACACCTCATTATTCTCATTCATAACAGTCACAACAGAAGCCACCGTGGGAGGAGCCGCCGCAAGAGTGATAGGCACCATGGGAGGAGCCTCAAGAGTGATAGGTGAGGTTGTGTTGGGAACAGCTGACATGGTGGTGGATAAGCTTAGGTCAGACTCGGACTTAGCATCTGCCGGGTCAGGATCATCGCCCAATGAAGAACAGGTTGGCAAATTGACAGTGTTTGGAGCACAGCCTCCTCCATGAGGTTCTACATATGCACATTAGCAGTCTTCACAAGGTAAATGATTCTAAGGGAGCTTACCGGCGATATCATTGAGAAGGCTAGTCACTAGCACTGCACGATCATCGTCAGTGAGATTGAGTGCCGACAGCAACTTGATGATGGCATCTGGGAGGCAAATAATGAGTGTGATACACGTTGAAAATATAGACCATACTCACCCAAAGCAGGGCTAGTGTCTTTTCTTTCAGTGATAACGCAGGTCATCATGTAGGGTAGCTGAGCAAAAGAGAAAAGTAATGTATGAGTAATGTATGAGACGGACAGATAAACAAAAACTCACCTTTTATCGCATCAAGGGCAGACTTTAATGTTTGTTCCCTGTGTGGTCATCGGTAAACAAGAGGAGGATCAAAAATTGAAAATGTTGTCTTTCATTGAGAATCTTGGTAACGGTGATGCGTAAGATGGTGGACTAAGTGGATCAAATTTCGAAATCCGAGAATCATTGTTGATGGTTGTTTATTCCCAATGGAACAAGCTGTTTGTGGAAACAATCTTGTAGCATTCCAGTTTGTGTACTGTAGTACTAGCAAATACAGGCAACTCCAAGTCTATTTGAAGCTTTTGGGCATACTCATGACTTCTTTGCTCTTCAATCGTGTGTTTCATGGGGTGAGCAACATGAATCCACACAACGTCTATTTGATAACTGGCCTATCATGGTGGGCTGACCAAGCAAGAAAGCCAAATTCTCAAGCTATGTTGACATGAATGAGGCTTGTCCAGTACCTGTGTACGACCGTTTTCATTCCTATGGTATACAGCACAATGGTGACATGTCTGTTAACACTACATTCATGCTTTCTTAACCTACTGATGAAGTACCAACCCCCTCGTCTCCTATTTTACCGAGTGATGATGATTGGAATGAACCTGAATATCAACACCCTGAGCCTCAGGGACAGGAATCAGAACCCATACCCAAGAAAAAAAGGACTGCTGCAGTATGTGTTTTGATACTTAGGCTGATGAAGCACTCACTCCAATGTTTTGAAGGATAATCCGTTGTTACAATGGTTGCCCGAACGCTCTTCTTTCTTGGATGAGCTTATCCATCTTGAAGGCCATGGTAGCGAGGGGACACTTTTGAATTGCTGTTGTGGTACCGACAATGCCATCCATCTTTACTGCTGTAGAGATTGTTTTGGGGTCAAAATTGTCTGCCAGATGTGTGTTGTTCACTGTCACCTCAGCAATCCACTTCACCATATAGACATATGTATTCCTTGTTGTTATTCTCCTTATTTGTTTATCGCAATATTACCAGATGTGGAATGGGAAATTCTTTGAGAGTGTAGCATTAAAAACTCTCGGATTGCGCGTGCAGCTAGGCCATACACCTGGTGAGTGTTGCTACAATGCTCAGCCAGTGTCTTGCGACAAATTCATGGTGATTGATGTGCATGGCATCCACGATGTTGCAGTAGACTTCTGTGGATGCAAAACTGCACAGATTCACTACAAGCAGCTTTTACGAGTTTGGTGGTTTCTGGCTACCACAACTGACCCTTGAATGGCAGCGACCTTCAGCATCCTGGAATTATTTCATTTGCTTTCCTTTGAATCAAAAGTATCTGCATACAAATTTTACCATAGTTTAGCAAGGCGCTCAGACAACACAGGAACTTCACCAATCAAGGTACAGTGATGTAAAACTCCCTCCATTAAATTTAATTGATATGCCCTTTTAGGATCATTATTCGGCATTCTTGTGAATGATGCAAGAATGGCGTCATATAACGCAACTTATGCGTGCTGGCCGTGGCCACGATCCCAATGGTATTGAAGCAACACCAGATGGGGGGTGTGTTGTACATGCCCAGCATGTCCGCATCCAGGAATCAACATTCCTGATGGATGGGAGGATTCGCCACCCAACATTAGGTAAGAAGTGCTTCTTCCTACGTGTGCTTGTCATGGTGCTCAGTTTAAACAGGTGGCAGTATGCATTATTTCTCGCCATCAATTCCAACTTCTGGCTCAAACGCAAGGCTATATCTAGCGATGATCGCGACCCAAGTCTCAATTCAGGATGGGCTTATTTCATGGAAGGGCATGCTTACAAGAAGTTTTTGTTTGAACAAAGTACAGAATGGCAAGAGGTATGTATCCTAGATATTTGTCCTGTTTGGTAGCATGATCTGATGGTTCGGGGGTAGAGAAGCACCTGTGTCAGTCACAACACAGTGAATACTGCTGATACGAAGGCGTCCCGAGGACTTGCAGCGACGGGTGTTGGGTCTGTTGTCTGTGTGCGCCATGAGATGAAACTTCCCAATAGTGTCGGTGACCTGCAGAAGGGAGAAAAGTAGGAGGTCATATATTTTCAAGACTCTATGATACTACGTACTGCACAGGTATATCAACATGGATTACTTTGTCTTTTCGGTCCACATCAGCTTCCACCTTGCTGCATTCAACTTGTCCTATGACATCGCCTATCAGTGGCATAAGAAACTCTGGTCTCACAATAGCACAATGCCACAGCGACTGCAGTTTAACTGTGAAAACAAGACCATCCGCTATTTTGTTCCCAAATTCCACCTCAAAGCTCACATCCAGTCTTGCCAAACAACATTCTTGTTGAATTTCTCCAAAGGGGTGGGTCGGATGGATGGAGAGGCACCTGAATGTGGTTGGGCGGATATTAATTGTGTGGCGATGAGCATGAGGGAGATGGGGCCTGGTAACCATCGTGACATGCTCGACGACCACTTCAGCAATTGGAATTGGAAGAAAACCACAATGTTGGGTATGTTGATTCATTATCATCTGTTGTATTTCATTGAGGTATTTTTAATAGGGCGGACTTTACTGCACAAACTCAAGGAAGCTTCTGCAGCTGCTCGAGCCCATTATGAAGAACTTGCCGAACTCGAGGGTGCGATCAACCCATCAACATTAGCATTGTGGCATGCGGATGTAGAGGCATGGGAGAAAGACAATACCCAGCCAAACCCTTTCGAAAGTCGAGTCGTTCGTGCATCGCCTTCTTGTTTTCTATCTTTCAATACTGATGAACTGGTTGCCATGGTTCTAGCAATGACACAAGCTATGGTTCACTTGGAATTTGCAGAATGTGAAAGACGTGATCTGCAAGATGGTATTGACTCGTCCCTACATGCCAAGATTTCACCCAGTGTGCTCATAGCAAATGGACTCGAACTTGAAGATCAGCAGTATGTCTTTGGGACTCATTCATGTTTGTCTGTTGCTTAACAATCTATTACAGGCATCGCCTATGTTCTGACAGGAAAACATCAAGCCAAAATCCTACTGACAACCAAAAAGCCAAAAATCAAATGCATTCAAATGCGCTGCAGCGCAAACTTGATGCCTGGGTTCAAATTCAAACACTGTATATGCCTGCAGTTGCTTCACTTCACCTTTGTGCCCAGCATGATGACAGCCCGCACAATGAAGTGCCTGAGGACTTCATTCTTTTCCTTCCATCACAGCTTGATGCTGCAACTCCCTGCAATCCCTTACTACATCAAATCGTGTGGCGGCTTAGATATGCACAGGTCGATGATGCTCTGAATGACATTTGGCAGAATGTCCGCCTGCACACCTATCTCAATACCTTCAAGACTCTGCACATCCATGGTTAGTGAGCGAGTACACGTGCACGCAGTGCTCTTGACCTTGCAGAGGCCAAAAAATGTGCCAGTCGCCTCAAATATGAGGCTGCTCATATGGCACTTGATAACCTTGGGGATCATCTGGGTATGGTAGGCTGGTGAGATATATTTCAGCCGCTAAACGTGTTGGATATGAGACCTATGGGTGATGCAGGGTCTGTGGGGCAATCAGAGGGGAGACACGACATCCCGTGGATATGGAAGGCACCTGGTGTTTTGCACAACAATGATGTGGGTCTTCAAGATTGTAAGTTGCTCCTTGTGCGATCCTTGGAGTTATTCTCATTATGGCACTGTCAGGCTTATGTGTCAAATGATGTAAGGCCAGAGCGCGAGCATCCCGATGGTCTGAAGAGTTTTCTTTGCTTATCAGGGAGATGCAAAGAGTACTGGCTTTTTTCCACTGGGAAATGACTCAATGGAATGAACGGGGTACTGTGCGGACATTTACTAAAGATGCTGACCATGAGGGGAGCGTTGCTTATGCACAGCGCCAAGTATCTGTTCGGGAGGGTCTGGTGATGCATTTCTCCATGCTTTGGGGCGGCACTCTCTCCGCTGTGATCTCCAAGCTTGACCCGGTCCCTGAAATCAACACTGAAATGGCCGATGATCGAATGCCATCATTGGAAGGTCCTCCATTACAGGGTGATGATGAGTAATCAAATGATCTGTGCCTTCTGATGTCTTCAAAAAAGTTAGTGAGAGCCTATGTGATAAGAGGGAGGTTAATTGATAATGTATGACTGGAGGGATAAGGGCTTTAATGTATGACTCAAGGTATGGGGGGACAAGGGCCCTAATGTATGACCAAAAGTACTGGGAGGGAGAATGGTCTTAATGTATGACTCGAAGTACTAGGCCTTGTTATGACAATGTTTCATGTATGAGAATTTTCATTGTGCTACAGTATATAATATATCAGTACTACAAGAACAGGTGTGTCCATATGGAGGTACCGGTCGAGCTCAGAGCCTTGGTTAGCAGGTTTGGGGGGTGCGAGCACTGGGAGATTGTCAAAAATATTATCACTCTAAGAATTGTTCAGTACAGATCGGAAACAAAACAAATAAAACTCACCATCTGCACATCATTGTCTGACTCAAAGACATCATCCTTGCACCCAGCATCAGAGTCATCGTTGATTGATAAGTATGAATGTTCAAATTCCTTGCGGACAAGTTGCTCTGCAGTTTTGATCCAGCCATCTTCCCATTGTGTGGCCTGAAAGTAGGCTAGTTTGTGCTGTGGATGTAGGACTAGAAGTATACAAATGTTGGTTTATAAAAATCAGTAAAGATTCAAGACATACCCATTGATATGTGATACATCTGAGATCTGTCTGTGAGCTGGTAATAGCAGTTGAGAGTGTTATTGGCCAGCCAGACTGCAGAACGAATTGAGGGTAGGTATTTCTTGTTGTAGGAGTATGATACAAGCATCTTGTCAACATGATCCATTGCTGGGATCACTGTTGCAAAGTTGGGTGTTGCGCGTGAAAAGTACAATGTTGTGTCCTTGAGAATCTAACAGATACAAACAATGTGAGCGCAGGTTGTGACAAACAAGGAATACACGGACCTTAAGTACATCATGCAGCTGTTCCAGTATTACCTACTCATGATCCTCCAACTTGAACTTCCGCAAACCCAAGTCCTGCCGTTGGGTAATGGCATCTATAGCATCTTGATGTTCAACAGCGTAACTCAACATATCAAAGGTCGAATTCCATCGAGTTGCCACATCTCATGGCATCAGTGTTTGCAGCCGAGCCAAGTCTTGGAGGATGCTGTGCCATGCAGGAAGGATGATGGTGGTCGAATGGATGATTTTGTATGCAAGCTTTCGCAACTGGGATGTAGATTAGGATCAATGATGGTGAGTTTTATTAGTTTGATTGGACTTACTTTTGCAAGCGCTAATTTGACTGGTCAAATGTCTTTGTCTAGTGTTACTCGTTCCTCAACATCCAACAGCTCGGCCTCATCAATAAATCTGTCATCGTTATCTACTTCACACCCAATGCTCTCAATTTCTCCATCTTCCTCAATATCAGCACTCAAGTCTTGAAGCTCATGGTTGATGTCTTGTTTCTTCACGTCAAACTCTCAGATCAGCGATTTTGCCACAAGATTTATGGTGTGGAGGAAACACCTGGTGTGAGTCGCTGCTCCACCAAATCCAGGTACCTTACGACTCAGTTCATGGATCATCATGTCGTTGTTGGATGCATTATCACAAGTCACACTCAGGATCTGTGCATGATACATTTAGCTGCAGGTACATTTTTTTTTGTTTAAACATTACCTTTTCTGATATGTCAAATTTTTCTAGCAGTTTTGCAAATGTCTCTGCAAGTTCTTGGCCAGTGTGGGACTGTTGTCTCATTAGTTCATATGTACATGTTCGATCGGTAAGTTTTACCTTCCTGACTTCAATCACATCTAACAGAATATGTAGCGGCTCCCCTTTGTGCTCAAAGTGGGCCAAAAATGCAATCAGTGCACAATGGTTGGATGATGTCCAACCATTGGTGGTGAAGTTAATTTTGCCTTTGTGTTCCTGGTACATTTTTAATACTTGATTGTTCTCTGACAAAATAACACTAACATGCAACATTCTAGCAACCTGTTTTTGAGTCCGCGCAAAGACGAGTCGCACATCACGAGAAACTGTGGATGGGGAAAGTATGTAGTATTCGGGTCTCCCTGTTTTCATCAGCAACTGAAATGCACGGTCCTTGACAATATCGAATGGGCGTAGGCTCTCGGACACCCAACACACAATTTCTGCCCTGAATGCATTGTTAGACTTAGACTCCCAGGACCATCAGAATACTTGGACCATACCTTGTTTCTGCGCAAGTATGTTGACGGTGCAAGTACGTGATTTTCCCTTTGCCCTTGCATTCAAAGGATGCAGTAATGGATCCATTTTGCAGAATGCTACTGACAATCTTGAGGCGCACTTCATCTGCATCCTTCGCACTATCTGCAGCTTTCAAGACTTCGTCTCCCCAGCACAAGTGCACATGCTTCCACATATTACCTGTGGATCGTGCATCACCCTTATCAAGGAACCATCACACTTTGACCTTGCAACCCCTTGCTTGGCACTTGAACTCATGCGCACGGCAGTCAGCAATCTCAATGATGTGTGGTGTTGGATCAAAAAATGCATAAACAGGTGAGTTCCATTCTTTCATTAGCTGCTCTGTGTATAATCAATTAATCTGATATTAATGTATAGGTTGCTGGACTCACTCAGCTCATCTTCAGGATCCTCATCAGCATCATTGACCTCATCAGCATTTGTGGGCTCGTTATTGTCCAGGTCGATATATTCATGCAATGCTTCCTCCTCCTTCTCTGTGCGCACAATGGCGCGCCTACTCACGACTGGTGGTGGAGTTGGAGTCATGCTCCCCACTGGTACATTTTTTTTGGCTTTCTTGGGTAGTGGTGGATTCACACTATCTCCACCATCAGGTTTATGCTTCTTTGAAGAAGCTTTATCTTCCAGCATGGCTTTTGCTTTACCAGTCATCTTGATGACGTGTTTTGCTGGAGCTGCAAGAGCTTTATTGAGCTGCATGGTGGGCAGTGGTTGGGTGATAAAAATTTGCAAGGCTGGAGCCATCACACTGGTAATGTATTATAGCAGCATATATTTGATTGTTTAAAGTTTGACTATTTGTAGTTAGGTTGATATGATATTATTTGTTGCAAGGCACTCTGTTTTGATTGAAACCTGGCGCAAGGGTATGGGTACGGGTATGGGTATTGCAATACCAAACCCATACCCATACCCCAGAGGTACCCGCACCCCGCTGTAGAGACTCATGCCTCTCATGGTGTGATATGGCACTTTTCACTAGAGAGTTCATTGCACGAACTTGCAGCACCATTCTGTGTGCTATCTGCAGCTATCCCTATATGAGGCGCAGCTTTCCCGCGCAACGCGCGCCATGCGCGCACCATTCCCGCGCTTTGCGATGTATATACGCGCGCTTTCCCGCGCTTGAGTGCCCTATAGCGCCAGCCATCCGGAAGCATCCATCCACTGTCCACCAAGTTCTCTAGTGCGTATGTTTCTATTTCTCTTATCTGTGTATCGTTCCACCTTTATTTTTATCATGGACCCTTACTTACATACATATATCTTTGCATACCTTACTCGGTAGCGATTCGGCTCCGCATGACAGCGCTTAGGCGCCATATAAGCACCAGCATTACATACTGAACTCACTTTCCAACAATTACTTTACCTCCCACTTACCCACTTACTACCTAGCAGAATATAGTTAAAATCTATTCCTTGACACCTCGCGCTCGTATCTCTTGTCTAGTATCTAATCACCACTTAAGCAAACTCACACTTACTCTCTCTCATTACCGCTCACGTGCGCGCACGCTTCCCGTGCCTCCCGCGCACCTGCGCGCTTTCTCGCGCTTCGCATTGGCCGACCAGTAGCGCCTTCAGCGCCTACTACCAGATCCTTGCTGCACTTGCTTCCCCTTTAGGGTCGAACGCACTTGTCGTCTCAGGTATAGCAGACTAGGCAACGCGCGACCTCACAACATTACAGATACAGTCAGGAGCATCATTTGTTCCTCTCAGTATTGTTGTTTCTACACTACACCTGCACGGGCATACCCATACCCGTGCAGTTTCCTAGTTTGTTGGTGATTTTGCTGCACATGTGACAGTGAGGGAGGGGGGATTCTGAAGCATCAAGCAAGAGTCAGTGGACTGTGGGGTCATGCATATAACAGTCCATGTCCGCATCTGTGTCATTATTGGTATTACTAGTGTCGTTATGAGGAAAGGAGGGAGAAGCTTACAGAAGATGCAGATAAATAGGAGGATCATTGTTAGGAGAGCTGTTAGAGGGTTGGGGCTGGGGGGAGAATGTACTGTGGGGCTGCAGGCTGCAGCTGAGCAGAGGATGTGCTGTGTGATGGCAGATGGGGCTGCGGTTGGGAGAAGGACATCAGGAAATCGGCCCTAACTTGATATGACCAGATAGAATTGGTAAAATCATCCACTAAATTATATAAGATTATATACAAAGATAAAGCTTGATATAAGCACAAAAAATAGCTATTGAATGAACAAGGATTGTAAGAAAACTGACATTCTAGTGTAGATATATCATGTCTTACAATTGATTGCAAGAAAACCAACATTCTGATATATATACCCCAATACCAATCAAAATTTGATTTAATTTATGAAATGATAAAATGAGTGTCAATATTGAGACTTTTTAGTAAATTCTTGTCAATTTTATTTGAAGTTGTCTGGCATTATAAAACTTTGTCAAGGATGGCAGATATTTGCAATATGTGTCATAATTGTGTCATTGGTGGGTTTCCCCAGTGTAGTCTAACTATTTAAAGCTTTGTAAAACTGAGTGCCATTATGATGGATATTATATCAATTTATGCTAGATAAAGCTTTATAATGCTATATCATTCTCAGGTCAATTGCCTGATGGATGTGCTGTGAGATAGCCAATATTACAAACTAGGATGATTTTAACAACAGATGTGTAAGTCGACTGTCACAGCCAATCAAGCTCATCCAGTGTAATGCAAATATGAAAGAGGAGGATGTGATTGATGCATCAATTATAGTAACAACTTTTGGGAATGTCTCACTAGTCAATGAAAGCAGCGACACTGATTGTCCATGTCAATCAGATGTGTTGATAAGAAGAAAAAAATGCACTAGAGTTCATATTGAATACAAAGAAATCAGCAAGCAGATCCTCTGATGCTAACCTCAGTTCTTTCAAGTTAAGCTTCTTGCTGAGCACTAATGAGCTTGTCTCGGTCTTTTCATGGGCAATAATAATGACAGGGATGTTATAAATTAGCATGGGGGTGTGGTTGGTTGAGTGCAGCCACCATCAGGATGTTATGAGTTGGTGTAGAGGCATGATTGAGTGCAGCCGCCATCAGAGTTGGTGTGGGGGTATAGTTGAGTGCAGTTGCCATCAATAAGCTTGCTAGAGGTCGACAATATCAGCAATGCTAATGGTGGCAGAAATTTAAACTCTGATTTAAACTCTGCTGAATTAATTGGAGATCAGATAGCTGATAAGATAATACCCCTCCCCACTGTGATCATTCCTCATCTAGCCCTACATGAAGACCTCCTCAATTCTATTGATAAAGCTACTTTATTATTAGCCAATTTGCAATACCAGAATGCACTCCTGTCATATTCCATTCTGGACCCTTCACTCTGAACCTGCTTCTTTAGCACTCCGGATCCAAGATCTGGATCTCTTGATTTCAAAGTCTGATCCACTTATCATTTCGAGAATCCAAACCTTAAATCAGTGCCCAAATCCATTTAGGAATCCTCTGACTCTAGACTCTGGTTATTTATGTTTTCATCTTGATTACTGATCTATTACCTATGTTTCATTTCTGATATGGATTCTTTGTGATCTATTATACTTACTAATAGGCTTTCCATATGCTTCATACATAGCCTTGTATTCTGCTGACTGATACCTATAGTATATAAACCCCTATAACTTGTAGAGACACCTCAGTTTAAATATCATCTTAGTTTCTGCTCGTTTCTCTGTCTTCCAGACTCAAGCTAGTTTTCTTGTCATCTCTGAGTCTTAAGATCCTATCCTAGACTATATATCTAACTCTACCTTAGGATAGTCTTACCTCTGTTAGTTTCTAGCTCAGACTTCATCTAGATTAGCCTTATCTGCTTACATATCTAACTTTCAGACATCCGCTGGATTTATCTCATGTTTCACATCCAGGCATCTGAATTTCCGCCTTGTCCTATTTCAAAAACTCTAGATAACATTTCTAGCACTCAGAAATGAAGGGCACTTACTTGGGAAAGGAGCACAGTGCATGAACTGAGGCAAAGCCCTTCTGATCTAATTCTCTTGAGCATGCAACCTTAATAACTCTTAGATGACTGGTCTGACTCCAAGTCTGATATGAACTGGGACACAGATTTAGACTTGGATGATGATGAAGATAGTATTAATATGTCTTTAGCTCAATGTCCCCCCTATTTCTACTGTCTCCACTGTTCCCATTGTCACCTTTTGCCAGCACTGCAACTTTTTATGTTTCCTCCGAGTCCAGTGATTACTAATGAATCCAGTGCTGATGTTGCTGTATATTATAATAGGCTCTAAGACACCACCACTGCACTTCATGATGAAATTGAAAGAACATGGGTACTCCACAAGCCAAATAAACTCTTTTCATGAGCACCTCAGCTTTATATACTGGTTCATCATGAGGAACACCACTCTCATTTGTTTGAGCAGAAACTTTGTGTGAATTCAGAGATTTTTGATGATATCCTTAATTAGATCTCTAATCACCCTATCTTCCACAACCAGTCCAATAATCCTCAGCTTTCTGTTTCCATCCAGCTTGCCATTTTTCTCAATCATGCAGGCCACTATAGAAATGCCATCACTTTTAAGGATGTCGCTCAATGGGCAGGTGTAAGCATTGGGTCAGTTGTCAATTACTCTTATCGTATAATGGTTGTAGTACTTAATGTACATGATCAGTTTATCAGCTTCCCAGCAGCTGACTCTGAGAATGCTCACTTGGCTTAGGCATTTGCTGAGTCTTAAACCTGTCTAGAGTGGTGTGGAGGCTTTCTAGCTATTGATGGCTCAACTATAGATCTTTATGTTAAACCTAGCTTTTATGGTGAGGCATTTTATGATAGGAAATCAAAGTATTACCTTGATTGTCAAGTAATATATTTTTCTCTATTATCATCAATAAAAAAATTAATTTAATTCTAGGCAGTCATTCTGCCCCACAACCTTTTGATTGTTGATTATTTCCTTGGTTAATCTGGGAGTGTTTATGATACCTTTGCTTTTTGATCCACTCACCTATATAAAGAGTATACTGATCTTCTGTCTGATGATCACTGGGTTTGGGAAGACAGTGCATATCCATCGGAGCCATGGTGTATAGCCTTTTTCAAGAAGCTCTACAATGAATGATTGACAAAGAACCAGAAGACATTCAATTATTACCTTTCTAAAGTATAATTTTTGCTTAGATGGTTTTTCAGTGAATTTAAATTTATTTAGGTCTATGTGTATGTTGAACACACATTTGCTGTGCAGTGGATTAAGTGTTGTATCATCCTGCACAACATGATTATCCACTTTGAAACCCATCATCTCCAGCAGGATGGATTATACAAGAATTCTCTGAAGTGGGCTTGTATAGAGGGTGAAGATTTCATACTTCAAGAGCATGAAGATGCAGATGGTGATAAAATAATTGGTGACAGATCTTATGAGGAAACTCTAGGCCAGGCTACTTGTTTAAAGCTGATGGATCAGCTCTTTGATAGTCCCCATTCAAGGGCTCAACATAGGAGGGGATGAGGACTAAGAAAGCTCATATTGACCATGAATGTGTCCTACTAGTAAAATACTTGTACAACATGTTACTGCAGGCATTTTCACATTTTCCTTCACCAAACATCCAAAAAACATTGAATGAGAAGGTAGAAATTTCCCCTCATTTTTCCTGTCAAAATATTAAAAAAAGTGATTTATGTTTCAATAATGTTCAGTGTATGGAACATGATATAAAAATTAGACATGTTCCTTTAAGGATACTATGTGAGGCAGGTGGTTTGCTACTCTGCATCATCTGATGGAACTGGATCTTGAGGCACAAGGTTTCTTTTTCCTTGTCAAGGACTAAGAAATGTGCCTTGTGCACTCAAATATTTATCTTATGAAGGCAGATTTCAGCATCCTTACTCTTTTGATGGCATTGGTGATTGATAGTAGCTTGTGAGGACTCATGCACATGTATATCACAAAGCCACTCATACTTCATTACAATGATAGTCAGTCTTTGCATTAAGCTTTGCAAGGAAGCATTGATGCTTCACCTCATGGTGCAATATGGCACTGGACTGGATGCTCTTGATCTTGTCATTTACCTTGGCAACCTGTTCCTGAACGTCCGACTTGGCTTTCTTCTTTTTTGAGCCTTTGGTGCTGGTCGGCAATGATGTCTAGGAATGGGACTTATCAAACTATTGGATAATGTGTTATAAGTTGTTGAGGAAGAGGTTGATATGCTATAGAATATTCCTAATAATGCAATAGAGAGTGTTTTTTGTGTCACCCCCTATAACTGGAGGGTTGCTGCGTACTGAATGCCACATGCCTATTATAAAAGGGTGTCGGTGATTTTTGTGGCACTTCAAAAGTATTGGGAATGTTGGAAGAAAAAAAGGATGATGCTACAAGTTGATTCTTTTCCCCAGTGGCTCTAGCATGGCTGTTGAGAGTCATGGGGTCATCTTTCAAGTGGTGTAGTGTATCCCTAAGAAGGGCAGACAAAGGATCACACAGATCCTAGGTCATTATTATCGTTATTAGGGTCATACATATTACAGTCTGCCTACATCCGCATTATTATTGATATTGCTTACTTGAGAGTTAGAAGAGGAAGGAGGGTACTCTGGACAAGTTTAAAAGAGATAGGTAATGTCAATGAACCGTTATTACTAATGTAACTGTAGTGAATGTACAGTACGAAGAAACATGTCAGTATCCACAGTATCCACAAGAAAATAATCTCCATCATGAGCAAAATCTGGAACAAGAAGAGCACCACGAATGATGGAATGAAGCGTAATAAACTCAGATGAAGAAGCGGGCCGTGCGCGAAGTCGAGTTAGTCGCAGTTCTCGATCCATACGCCGACGTGGGCCAATTAAGGCATCCATAGGTAGAACGAGTGCGAGATCTAAGGTACAGCTGCCAACAGTGTGCTTAAACATGCATAATATCTTCACAAATATATTTTTGTCGCGGCCGTCCTTGTCCAGTGTGCGTATTAGAGCGCAGTCACGCCGTTCTTTGCCATGGAAGCTTGGGTTGCATCGCAGGTAGTCAGTAGCTAGCTTCCAGTCAGCGGTAGACTCATAATGCACTCTCAAGTATCGATATTCATGGATCTTTCGACATACAAAGTCAGATTCGAGTAAAAGCGAGGAAAGTCAATTTACCTGGTCTTGTGCTGAAAGTTTCAACCACATTGTTCCTTCCGGCAGCGGTATGTTGTGAGAGGGAAGGAAATGGTTGAGAAATGTTGCGAGTTTCTTCCGGAACTGGTGAAATGCACAAATGGACTTGTTTTCTTCCTCCACTTGCGAAAGGGTTGTTTGATTCTTGAGGGGTGAACCGATATGAAAATGTTCTTCAAATTTCTCATCATCCAAGTCCGTGTCCTCCAGTTCTTCCTGCGAAAGCATGAGTTTGCATCGTTCCTCATCAAGGCACTCAATACGACTGCGAATAAATTCAGAGACGACACTCTTATGGTCGAGCTCAAGGATCTATGTTACACGAAATGAGTGGTATGGAGCGACTCATTGAGAGTTAGAATTAAAAAGCATGAACGTACCTGATCAGCAATATCCTTACGATTGGTCTGCCGTAGATACCACTGTTTGATCGGTCCATGTTGCTTCTCATTTGGTCGAGTGCTGAAGTTCTGAGCGGCACCTTTCGCCATGATGTCATCGAATATATGCTTTCCAGAGTGAATCTTTGGAAAGTTCCAGTTCTTGATCGTGTCCGGATCAGTCTCCTCGACGATTTTGATGTAGTCCTGAGATATCAATGATAAGTGAATTAATACTAACGACAATTTGCAGAACTGCTATGACGTACCTCTAAGCGCTTCTGAAACTCTAACACCTCTGCCCTTCCCGCAGCAATCGTGCTTTCAGTCTGCACGTCAAGTGAAATATACATGTCGATATGTAGGTAGCTCGCTATACACCGTAGTAGTGCATAGCCAGCTTCATCCGCTGCGCGTGTGAGTATGTTCTGTGTGGCATACAAAACTTGCTATGAGAAGAGTAATTCGTTAACATGAGAACTGGTAGCCGCGAAGTCATATCATACCCTGGAGATATCCCGAAGTTTGTTACCGTCGCTGTAAGTAATATTAGTAACCCGATCAAAGTGATTAAGATTGCGCCATCGCGGGAAGGTATCGAACCTGCGAGCAATTAAATAGGGTTGCTAACATGTAGTCTGAACAATTACAACTCACTGATCATCCAGTTTCTTCTCATTGCTGCGTCCAAGGGCTGCAATGCGTTGTTTGAGCTTGCCGAAGAGATGTTTCCACTGACCCATATGATATACATGCAAATGGTCCTGCGAAATCGTGTCATGAGGATCAGAATTTGGGACTTTCCAGAAGACGTTCTGTAAGACATGATTAATGGGGGACAATAATTGGTACATTTGATTGCAAGTGCTGACCTTAATAGGCCGTAGGCCCTGTTTTTTGAGTGCGCTTTCTCCAGCTACACGGTCCCTAGTCCATAGCTCCACCAAAGCTTTCGTGTCATCAGATGATCGAGTCGGATAAGTGGAAGCGTTATCGTAGAGCTTGTCTGAAGGGACGAGGCAGATAGGACAGGGACAGTGACAATTGGTTCCCCGTATCAGTGCCATCACGCACCTAAGATTAGATTAGAAAACCATCAGAAAAAAGTATGAAACGACATTACTGCTCCTCATAATCAGCCGATAAGAGCAAGATGAATGCATACAACCATCTCATGACGCCGTCATAGCATGTATATGCATACCCTGCCTTGGCATAGATGATGATGGTTTCGAGCAGCTTGAAGAATGCCTTGTGCCATACGACACGTTTGAGATTGACATATGAGAGCTTTCCGTCTTCCTCAGAATCGTCAGGAACCTGCGCAAAAGAACTGTTTCGCGCAAAACTCAGAACTAACACTAATTTCACTTACTATTGGTAGCCAGCCAACCATTCGCCCACCGCCAAGTCCATCTGTGTTCCTGATATTGACAGGCAAGTTTCCGCATCGCACGAAGACAGGGTAGGCTTTGACTGTACCGGCAGAAGATAGATGAGTTTTGTCCGCATACAATATAAATGCGAATGGGACACCATTTTCAGGTAAAGACGACTGTGAATTCAATATATAAAGGGTATCACTTAGTAGAATCACAAATGAACAATAATACAAAAAATATAGCATACTTGAATGTTCCACCAACGGTCTCCAGTCCAAGGTTCATGTACAAAGTGCTCGTAACGCATCCCATTGTGCTTGTACAATCGCTGTGCATCCCAAACAAAATGGGGTGCCAGTAGCGGGTCCTGTAGCAAGTCCAAGGCCCAGTCCCACAATGGCCGTGTGTATACGTTGTACTTGAGGTCCTCCCGCTTGTGCTCAACAGTAATGGTATGCTTCTCGAACTATCAAAGGAATGTCTAATACGACTGTAAAAAAAGAAAATCGGGTTCTTCTCTCACAGGTGACATTTGACTGGCAGCCCTGTCCCAGGCTTTTGAAACATCACCATGGGACTTGAACGTGAATTTCACTTGGCCGTCAGCAATTCTCCAGATGAGCCGCAACAGCTCGTCTGTTTGATTCTTGTTCAAGGCAGCCTGGTGTGCGAGTTTGGCGAACTCAAAGTCCGCACGACAAGCAAAAGGCTGCCAGGGTTCGTTGTCGACGATAGGCGGCAGCTGATGCTCCTTGCATCCAAAAGTGGAGAACGACTCTACAGAAGTCGCACGGCCGCTGTGTGGGTGGTATTCCATCTTGAAAGTATCGAGATTAGGAGGAGCTGAAGGCATGATTGGGAGCGATGATAGGGTGGTACACGCGGGGATGCCCATGCTTGTATCTGATTCTGAACCTGTAATTAAGATTTCAGAAAGGGAGCGCATCACGAGCCAAAATAATACATACGTTGACGTGCATCTGAATCTCTACTGATGCTCATTGCATTGGCAACATCTGAATTCCCTTCAAACAATGGACCTGCAGTGAAGTCGTCAGGCTGTTGATCTTGCTCAGGCGACGAGTTCTTTGTGCCATCCGGGACCATTCTCAAAGGGACCGACGGCGCTGCAGCAGCGACAACAGCAGAAGCCATTGTTTGCTCCTTACGATGCTGTCTTTTCTCTCGACGTGCTTCTAAAAATGATGCAAAAAGTATTATTAATTAGTACACTGATATCAACAAGATGATATGTCAATGAAGACAGAATTTAATCGACACTTACCTTTCCTTTGCAGCTCCTCCTCTACTGCACGCGCTGCAAGTGCTGCGAAATCCTTGTCATCATTCTTCTTATCCCGTCTTCTCAGACACCCTTGTTCGTGAGATTTGATCCCGCACGCCGAGTATGACTTGTTACAGTACTGACAATCCACTTGGTTGTTGGATGATGTTGAAGCAATATATTTACGTCCCCGGTTCGTCATGTTTTGGTTGGGGGCCATGCCACAAGAGTAGTACAAATTAAAGATATACAGCCTAAGAGACACAGCTAAAGATTCAAACACGATGATGGGAGGAGTCGGATCAATGAGAAGCAACGACGTCGACGAAAGATTATCATAATAATCTGACATAATGAATTGCGGTTGCAATTATCAATAATCACCCGGCACCATTAGAATCGCTTGTAAGTACTAAGAGCATGCTTGCAAGTGAGTAAAATAAGTCACGCTCCCTGGGAATTTAGTTCCAATGTGGTCCAAATAGCGTCCCAATATGGAACGCTTGCAAGGCACCCCTGGAAATTTCCGACATCAGTCCAATATATATGTAAGTACATAGAAATTTAGAACCTGTAGGCAAAAGTAGTGGCAGAATATTTCAGGTCCAAAGTACATGTAAACAAACATGAGGCGCTGCAGATGATGGGAAAACATGTAATAACGCTGGCTGCAATGTGAGTAATGTGCAAAATAATCAACTGCACATCTGGTGGGGCTAGCAAGACAGGATGGGACATGGAGAGGACAAGTACATGGGAAAATATTGGGTCTAATGTGGCCAAAATGTTGGGTCCACTAGTCAAAGTGATGGGTCTGATGTCAAAGCATCAGGTTACGTCAGGAAGTAATTATCATGCAATAGGCATTTGACACAAATCATGAAATAACTGAATACGAGCCTAGCACAAGCTCGAGTGCTACACTGTCCTGTTCAAAGTCAATGTGAAGACACACATGCTCTCGAAGCCAGATGGCTCAGTAGCTACGAAAATGGAGATAGAAGAGCTAGATAAAAAGATCAATGAGTACTTCCAGAAAGACTCACTCACAGCAGATGTTCAGCATAATCAGTGATCAGGTGTTACTGCGTGTGCAGAAGCTTGAGGGCTCTGCTGCAATGTAGAAGGAGATCCATGATATACATGAAGGCAAGACAGAACTTATCCAAATTAACCTCCATAGGCATCTACAGGACCTCAGATGTAAAGAGAATGGCAATTCTAAAACTCACTCAGGAGAACTACTCCATCTACAGGAGTCTCTAGCAGGCATGAGCACTGATGTCAAGAACTGTGACAGCAATACTGCACTCATAGCATCCAAGGGCAGATCTTTAAGGGGTTGTATGTTGAATATACTGAGTATAATAAACCCAGATATTACTTACTTTAACTGCCAGTGAAAGGGCCACTATAAAAGTGACTACTGGAGGCTAGGGGAAGGGAAAGAAAAATAGGGTTCCAATTAGAAACAGAAGCAAGAAGCCAATAAGAAACAGACAGCTAACACTACAACTGAGACTAAGGTACAAGATTAGTATGCCTTTATCACCTCAGACTTGGCCTCTATCACAAAAGATCTGAATGTACCAGCAGAGTGCAAAGGCACTATCATGGACTCTAGTGTGACATCCCACTTCTGCTCCGATAAAGCAAAATTTACCAACTTTGTCCCAATTGATCTTCAAGATGTCCACACTGCTGATGGTTCTACCTTAAGTGCTATAGGAAGGGAAGATGTTAAGATAGACTTATCCCTAGGTCTAGGAGAGAAAAGGACCAGTGTTACCCTAAAGAACACATTATATGCTTCTAAGATGGTGTTTATATTCATCTCAACCAACTGAATCACAGTGTCCAGCCTTGCTGTCTTTTTCAAAAGACAAATATACAAAATCCTTTTGAAGGGTCCAAAACACCATATTATTGTAGAGATCCTTCAGCTTGAAGGACTACATGCTGTCAATCAGCATTAGAAGCACTATGTCAATATAGTCAGGACAAAACTCATTATTTGCCAACTTTACTGGGTCCTGGGACATATCTCCCAGTCTGCCATCAAGCATATGGTAGAGAATAGGCTGGTCAGAGGAGTTGAGCTTAATACCTCCTCCCCCCTGGAATTCTGTGGAGCCTACACAAAAGCAAAGGCAACATGTCAGTCTTTCCCTATCAAGAGGTTTAATAAGAAAGATTTCCTGGTGGATATTTTTTAGTTAGATATTAAGTATGCAAAGAATCTTTTGTTTTATTCATTCTTTATTAGAAAATTCTTCAATTTCTTGATCTCTTTAGTTAGCTTAACTTACTTATCTACATATAACTTCATACTAGTTGCCTCATTGATATAGTGCTATATATTGAATCAATAAGACACTAAGCAAAGTGCAATAAATTTATTTGACTTGGACTATGCAAGTTCAAAATCTGCAAAATGATATTTTTTGTTTAATTGAAATATTGAATGTTTGCTTATGAATAAGTCTCTCAAAAGCTAATTACAAGTAGTCTTAGTTAAGTGGTTATTACAACAGAATAAAAATCTGTATCTCTTCTATTGTATAGGTTTGAAATCTGCTAAATAATATATGTTTTGTTTTTCTATTAGAATATATCTTAACATTGAGTTATGCATGCTTTTCTTAGACATTCATATCACTGGTTTGGTCAAATAGTTATCATAATAGACTCAAAATCTGCTGACAAGATTTTTGCAGTATATGAATTCTCAAGACCTCAGAAAAGAGAGAATCATATAACAAAAAACACTAGTGACTCAGACTAATGCTGATAACTTTATTATATAAACATAAGACTAAGTTCTAGTAGCTCCGATAAGGCTATAGCAAGTAAAATTCCTATAGCATACTTGCAAGACTAGAGTGCAGTAATTTATAGTTGATCTAAGGTGAGATTGATAAGTTTTAGTGGTTTTTTTTTTCTTTCACATGTGCACACACGCACATAGATGGAAATATGTGATGGCAACAGATCAGTGCTTACCTTGATCATAAACAATCACACCCCATTGTCTGATGTTCTTGAGAGTCCACCGTAAGTCTTCCTGCAATGCATGGTACTCATTGTGCTGCTGAACGTAATTAAGCAATGGTTTGGACATCCTGATGATCTTCATTTGCTTCTTGTCAAGCGAATTGTATTCGTCTTGCAAGGACCGCACATATTGTCTCAAGGCCAAAAGATGATGCTGACCAGACACCACCACGATAGGATTGCTATCCTTCATTTTCAGTTCGCATACCTCTTTCAGCTCATCAAACATTTTCAACAGTGAGTCCTTGTTCGCAACACGTTTGAGATCGACAATGATTGGTATTGCAGATGTGTCCTTCATCGGGGTGATACCAGACTTGAATGATCCTACCAGTTTGTTCGTTTCCCCGTCATTTTCAGCTCGATCGTTGTACACCCCGAATGTCAGGGTGTCTCCGATCTCTAACAAATTGATCCACACAATGCCAGCCCTACATTTTGCAACTTGTGAGTCTAACTTTTGTGTCTCCTTTCCAAGGTCTATCTTCAGAGGTGCCGGTTCTATCGGCCATTGATTCAGCAGTAGGTGCGATCCACCTTCATCCTGATTCATGTTAGTATCTTATTGGTGAGTCTGTCCTTCCTCTTTTTCAATTTTGAATATTCACTCCTCCTGATGCTCCCTTCTTTCCTCCTCCTTGGGCTTTCTTGGGGAACATTTAGATTAACAAAATGGTGATGTTGTAGGGCAACACAATGGTAGGTAACTAACAGTTAAATTTTATGCTATCCGGCTCCTGTATTTTGTTTACTCTAGACCTCTGCCCTCTGCCTCTGCCTCATGTTCTCTAGAGGTCCGTAAGCATCACGTGACATAGAAAACATATAAGTACTGAAAATATAAACATAAGACTAAGTTATAGTAGCTCCCATAAGGCTATAGCAAGTAAAATTCCTATAGCATACTTGCAAGACTAGAGTGCAGTAATTTATAGTTGATCTAAGGTGAGATTGATAAGTTTTAGTGGTTAAGTACAAAGTTAAAATGCAAATTTTGCTAATTTAAATGCTAAATATAAATGTGCACTATATAGTGAGATGGTAGTAGAATTTTGAGTTATAAAAACCAACATAATATCATGTAATTAAACTCTTAGAGTATATATGTATAAGTATATTATAATAAAGCTAGTATAGACAGCATATTTTATATTAGCTAGATGAGGGTGATGTATTATAGTGTATAGATGTCATCAGCTAGTACTAGCTTTCATTTATTATATTGCAAAGGGGGTGGAGAACTAAAAGATAAATCAGAATGTCTAAAAGAATCTATAGAACTAGAAATTAGATCATGTCCTATTTTAGTATTAGGATTGTCTGATTCATTACTATTTGAAGGGTCACCTATCATGAAGTTAAATAATTCTGACTACTCTTAGATATCAGGTGATAAAACTATTTGATGTTTTTTGGTAGTAGTTATTGTATTTGAACTTGTCTGTCTGTTAGCTAAATAAAAAACAAGTGAATATTGGTTAATATACTATTTTTCATGTTTTGAGGAAGGTTTAGCCTAAGGAACAGGGGCCTGCTAAATAATATATGTTTTTTTATTAGAACATATCTTGACATTAAATTATACATGTTTTTCTCAAATGTTTATACTAATAGTCTTAGTCAAGTGTTTATTAAAGTATGGTATATGTAGCTGTGCCACTGTCATCCTATGAACTATCTAACAAAGATTATTCTAAGCTAGACTTACTGTTTTCTGATTTTTTATCTATCATTATGTATAGACAATGACTCCAGCAGAAGTGATGCAAAGGGTTATTAATCTCTACACTATAAAAATCAGCTTAAATAAATGAAGGTGAGGTATGTGAGGACTCCTGGCTCCAGAAGCTTCTTATATTATAATCTGCAAGCACTAGCATAGGATGTACTCTGAGGTGTATCATACTACACTTCACTCATTCACTGGCCTATATAATAGTTTGTTTTCCCTTAAAACTAGCATTGGCACTATTCTACAGAATCTTCATATAGTTTTCACACCATATGAGTTTACATGCTATATTTATCATTGTATACTAATTCTTCCCTCCTTATTACACTGTCATATTATATGTCACATGATCTCTTAGAATCATTCTACCTAAAAGGAACTTATAGCCCACTTCCTCAGCAGCCACTATATCACAGCAGCAATGAATTCTTATGAACCTGTTGGTAATCTTGTTAAATTAATTTTTAGACTAAAGACACAGGAGGCAGTCAAATGCCCTACTAAAGACTGTTCAGGATGATGTACTACTTGAGTATCACTATCATACTACTTCAATAAGAATCATCCTAGTATAGAAGCCTAGCATTTCAAATTCCTAACAAAACACTATATTATGCATTCATATTACTATATCATTAATTAGAATAATAGTCTAAGTCATCAAGTCATTCTCTTACACCTATAGTAGATATCCAGTGTGTCCTCTGCAGGTCTATCTGACCTATCTCCTACAGATCCATTCACTCTATCATTCACCAGTTCAACTCCACAGGCTGTCTATCATTAGAGTACTATAGCTGTACTTTTCTTATTGAGCTAGACTGGCTTTTAATACATGTCAAAATTTAACCAGCTCAGCTACTTGCCCTTTTGCCAACTTGTCCAAGTATGTTCATTAGCTGAGGTTAATGTCATGCTGCCAGGAGATCAAAAGCATATAGAGAAGGGTTTACCAATTCTCAGAAAACTTTTTATGTAGTATATGCTAGACTGTTATAGCTGGTGGTGCAATTGAAACTAACTCTGAATAATAGAATCTGGACTTACTTTAACTCTTTTACTCATGTATTCTTATATAGGGCCTATATAATTCTGGTAATACAGTGTCTTTCAATGATAATATTATATACACATAAAGCCCATACTGGTATATTAATTAATTAATATATACCTTTATAATGTAATTTCTCATTTGAATTTGATCAGATAAAGGCAAGATTCTATTATCTGCCATTCCATCTACCAGAGGGGAAGTAGCTGCAGCTACTGTGCTGTATGATTATGTTATTGTGAAAAAAGACATAATCATAGAATCCTAATTCAGCTGCTTTATAACTTTGTTGTACTTCTAGTGTGACACAAAATTACAAGTATTAAGGTTATGATCTGTTCCTTAGATATATCACTCTATTTGGAGTCTCTAGTAGATAATGATCACTTCTGGTTAGGGAATATTATCATAGTGAGATACACTATGCTTCAACACAGTTAGTTTGCAATTATGCTCCAGTGAGGCTGCATCAAAGCCTCCAGTAAGACTTTTTCCCTTGTAGCCTTAACTATTTTAAGCAAACACCTTCTGATGTCACCCTTCCATAAAGAAATAGTATGCCTGCTGTGGCATCCTCTCCTGATAGTGATGTCATAATGAGTTTGGATGCAATGAGAGATAAAGTGGGAGAGAATATAGTAGAAAATAGAGTGAATAGGAAAGAACAAGAGAATAAGGAGGAGATCAAAGAGGATAAGGAAGAAGAGTATGCAATGCAAAATATATAGTTTCAGGAGAGTCTTCTAGGATTAGTGAGCCATGATCTGAATGATGGTCATGTAGAAGAACTTATTTCAGATAGTTTCTTTGCTATAGAGAATGCAGAATAGTGCCTTAATAAAGATATGTCAGTTTTAGGGTATGTTTTTTTTCTGAACTTTTGAACATCTGTTTAGAATCTAATGCCATGATTTACTCTGTCACTAGTTTGCTATCAGAAAACAGAGCATTTGTTCATCCTCCTGACAACACCAACTTGGGTTTTATAATACTGTTAAGACCATGCACAAAGGGTAGGACTGATTCCAAGGGGCTTGGCTTCAGCTCGTGCGCTGCGCCCCTTACCCGAGTATGTGCCCTTAACTTCAGAATGAAGTCCGGAGAAAGTCCAGTGAAGTCCGAAGGACTTCCGGAGGAGCGTGGGAAACTTCGGAAGGACTTTCCGGACGAGTGCGAGAAACTTCCGGATGAGTGCGGGAAAGTTCCGGAGGAACTTCCGGAAATTACGATGGAGTTTCGTCCTGACGGGGATATGTATAATGGCTACTCAGGACTCGTCCTGAGTAGAAGGAAACAGAGGAAAGGCTGCAAGGACAAAGTCCGAAGCAGAATAGGTCCGGAGGACCGCGGGAAAGTTCCGGAGGAACTTCCGGAAACTCGGAGGAATGGAGGATCGGATGAGTGGATGAGTGGATGAGTGGATGAGTGGAGGATCGGAGGAGCGGAGGAGCGGAGGAGCGGAGGAGCGGAGGAGCGGAGCTCCGGCCTAGGGAATTCCTCCCTAGGCCTGAGATGGATGATTACTAAGTCGGAGGAATAGAACTGTTACGAGGACTTAGTGTGAAGACTAGTGCGAGGACTAATATGTGTATGATATTCAGACTGAGGAAATACAGGAGTATCTACTGGGGTTTATATACTAGAGGCAAGTCTGTGCAGATCAGTAAGCAGAGGGGTAAGGCTATGTACGAGCATGTGGAAATGTATTAGAAAATAAGACGGATCATAGGAAATGAACTCGGAGATGAAATGAGGTACGGAAAATGAGGAAGTCTAACTCAAGAAGGAACATACAAAGGGATAAGGCACGGAAGATAGACGTGGGTCGGATCCGGATGTCCGGAGATGAATGCGTGATAGGTCTGGGTCCGGAACGCAAGGAAGATAGACGTGGGTCGGGTCCGGATGTTCGGAAGTCCGGAGACAGGTGATTACCATAAGGGGATGGGCGCTGATTTAAGGTTTGGGTTCGGACATGACAGATAGGTCGGATCCGGAGATCCGGAGATGTGGATATCAGATCTGGCGTCCGGATATCAGATGCAGGAGTACAGGGATCCGGACGGATAGAGGATTGGGTCTGGAGACATGGACAGGAGGTCCGGAGGTCCGGATGAGGCGTGGGAACGTCGTCAGATGTTGGTCCGGAATGCGGGATATGACAGTATCCCCCCTTTAAGGCCGAGCCCTCGAGGCTGAAGACTCAGGATGTCTGGAACGGAGATTGCTGGTATATGGCAGAGGACAATGATGGATGGATTCCGGAGGATTGGTTCCTATGAGCTGAAAATCTCCGGAGGTTTCGGAAATGTTCCTGACACACACATGGTTCATTATGATGCCTAGTACTTCATCTGGAAACTGGACATCATAGACGGTGGTGAAGAATGGTGATGTGATGTGAGGACAAATAGGTTTCCGGAGTGGAAGTCTGGAACACTTTGAGGATAATTCCGAAGGTGACTGGAAGTCCGGAAAATGCGTGGGAAAATCGGAGGAAGCTTTCAGAGCGGAGGAGGTTGTATCAGGGCAGTGGAAATGCAGCGAGTGCAGGACAAGAGGGCAAGAGTGGATGCGATGCAGGCCTCTTTCTGATGTGACGGAGGAGTCCTGTGAGACATATCTTTCTCCATGAAGCAGAGCTTGTACTGAGGTACAGCTAAGGATAAGTGCATCATCAGAAATCCGGAAATTAGCCCCTATGACCGGAAAATGATCGGAGATGTAATCGCATGATGACTGATGAACTTCTGGAGTGCAGGAAGTGAGA